GTTGAAACAATGCAAAGATATAAATTATAGGATTCATATTCACACTCATAGTATAAGTGACAAGCATATAGATACCTAGTGCACACTGACGCGTATCGAAAATGGCATCATAGCGTTAACCTGACAACCAAAGAATGGAGTACGATATCAGATTGTGAATCATGTTTTCTCCTATGTGATGTGACCCGTGAGGGTGGTTCACCAAGTCGGGTGTGAGAATAAATACTCGCCGTTAAACCATTGGCTGACACACGTGCGAAATTCACTAATTGATAGAAGTTGGAATTCATGGGCCATAGAATTCCCGTCCAAGTGGCTGACAAGTTAACAACCTTGGTCTAGAGGTCTTGGACTCGATTCCCGGTGGAGTGATGGATGTGTACGCCTGATGATCCCCAAACTAGGACGAAAAAGCTGTTCAGTACTCTCTGGTTTTCATTGATCCTCCAACTAACACTAGTGTCCGTGACCAAACTTGAATGTCATATTCTGTTTGTTGTATTGCATATGTACGTATAAATAAACCATTACAGATTCAATAAACATGTATTTCGTTATTATAGTCATAGGTAAGATATTAAACTCTAAAGATAATCTATCCTTTATACAGTGTGTTAATATATTAAGAGTATGCGACAAAAAAAAACGTCTTAGCACAAGAGTACCAATCTCGGTGGTTGATGTAGGCAAAATTATAAAGGCTTATTAAAAATTAGCTAGAAATCCCTGATACTGCTTGTTTATTTCTGCTACTAACACTTTTTTAAAAGCTGGTTTTAACAATGTTTTGTAGCTGCTGGTATATAAGGTGATAATTTCCAGTAATCAGAAAAAACAACTGGCTTTCTACTTTTCCTTTCCTCTTGCTATATATTTATTTATGTGTTAATAACTTAAGAGCTGTTTTTTGTAGATTATAACTACCACTTTGTTTTTATGAAATATATATGTTTTCTCCGATAGTTGAATAGTTTTATTATTGTAAATGTTATGATGGAATATTATTCTCTGGTTTTGTTTGTTTTGAATGCTGAATTTCTCGAGGCAAAAGTGTTTTCCTTTTGTATTTACTCCGAGAATTTGCTTTTAAAAATATGTGTGGGGACATAATATCTGCTGGTTTTCCTTCATCACTTATCAAACTCACAATGCATATGAATACATATAAAAAAATAGAAATCCTATGATAATAATGTCGCTTAGTAGGGACGTGTGTACTACTCAACAGTTCGCTCCGTCCTTCTCAATGGCTCTGAAACATGGCCAATACGCGTTGAAGACATGAAAAGGTTGACTGTTTTTGATCATAGATGTCTACGATCTCTTTCTCACGTTAGGTGGTTTAATAAGGTGTAAGTAATGTTGACGTCAGGTGTAGAGTGTTGGGCAGGCAGAGAGGGAAAATCAATCGACGAGGCTATAAAGTTACATAGATTGAGATGGCTAGGTCACGTGCTGCGCATGTCTAGCCATCGCCTCTCCCGACGGGAGGCGACAGAGGTGCACTGATATAGGTGCAGGTTGGAAAAGAGTAAGTGGTGGCCAAACAGAAACATGGCCCCATCAATCCATGAAATCCTTGACAGTTAAACTGAGTCAGGTAAGGAGATGCAGACTTCCGGGTCGGGGCCCTCGGGACTCTAGGAATCAATGGCTGGAGACAATAGGTGACATGGCTCAAAATCGTTGTCAATGGCGCAGATGTATTCAGTCTCTGTAATCTTTCATATTTCTTTCTACCATTACTCATTCTGTTTCACTCTTATACTTGTGAAACTCTATTGACTCCCTGTTTGTGCTATATGGAGTGTGGCGACTTCAACTGCCGCACTTCGGTGCCAAGTTCTATGTTGAATCCAGACAGACAATGCCGCTTAGTGAATACCATTTCTTAAACGTTCTACTTATAATGGAAGTTTGATTTCGTGACTAAGAAAGACTTGCGATTCAGTGTCTGTAGTTTCCCTTGCTTCCCACGTTATTGTTACATCCGTCTCTTGAAGATTTTGCTTTATTAACTTAAGCATTTGAATTGTTTCGACCAATAGGTCTTAGGTTCGACTCCCGTTCCACCTACTTCAACCTGGCCAACATCAACTTTCACAGTTATATACTAGTCATAAGCTGGGAGCTGTGGAAATTTAATACTAATAATAATACATCAATCTCACAAAATCTTAACAGTTTAGGTTATCAAATTTCATATAATCCAATTTCCTCTGCATTCTTGGAAACTGGTCCTTTTGTTGATGATGTGGCTTGTTGATGAATCCTTTAGTTTGATTACATTCTGAGTTTAGAGTTCCGTGTTCCTTGCTTCTACGATTGATTGTGGACCTAGTCTTCGAGGTACTTGCACAAGGTAGTGTGATTGTTGTTCTTTGGTAGGTATTCTTACACCTTAAATTATTAATCGGTGAAGTAGGTGAAAAGTGAAGTAGCCAACTGATTATTCAGTCGAAAGACTAATTGCATAGAGGATTTCATCATGAGCTGACAACAGTTAGAGAACCACTGGAAAACCTGGGAGTACTGGACAGATGTTTCGTCCTAGTTTGGGACTCTTCATCGGTAAATGGTCTCAATGGTATGCGAGCTCGCCTTGTAACCAGAAGGTCCTGGGTTCGAACCCCGGTGGATGCGTGCTGTTGAAGAGTCCCAAACTAGGACGAAACAACTGTCCAGTACTTCCAGGTTTTCCAGTGGTTTTCTAATTGATGTCAGCTCACGATGAAATCCTCCATGCAATCAAACAAAAATCCGTACAAAACTAATACTTGGAAAGACTGATTGTCTCTGTATAACACCTCCTAGTACAGTTTGTGTGCTGAACAGTTCTTTATCTGTCTTTAAAGTTTGCTTTGTAATCAGTTTGATATAGCTTTCTGTGTTTATGGAGAATATCTGTCTCCAGATATCCTATGATCTATTTTCCTCCTAGTGTTAAAGGTATGATTTTTTTAGGTTAATATTTTAAATTACAGTTAACATGACAAAAAAGTAGAAGGGAGTTACATAGAAATGCATGAGTTCACATTGCTACACATCTCAGCATAACAGTAAATGGAATTGACCGAGACATTTGTTAGAAATTAAACAGTAAGACTTGTACCTAATGTTGTGGCGTTGGACTTGCTGGATTACTGATGCAAAAAAACCCTGGTTATACAATCAACTAAACTGAGCTAGACTGACTCTAGGCAAAACATTATGTTTAAATTCAACTAGCTAGTCATTGAATTCCTTTCAATAAATGTTGCAACCGCATTTCTCGATGGTTATTAGTTAGTGGGGTATTCAATCGTAGCTGAATGCAACGGTTTAGAATTTTAAGAAAAGAAAAACGGTGAATATATACGCATCATTGTGTCTATTTCAAGCCGTAGCATTTGAACCTTCAACGATTAGATTAGGACAGCCGTCAAAAAGATTATAGGTTCGTATAGAAAGAAAAGAACTTCTATAAGCATTCGCTACCTGCTTATGGCGATCATTTGTGTCTTCCTTCCTTCCATTTTAGCAGTTTTGTTCATATTTCAATGATAAAATCAGTGATCTGTCCATACGAAAACAGCAATAGGAAGCTCCAGTTCAATACTACAATTACAGTCTCTGAGCTTTTAATACTAAGAAAAAGAATAAATTTTTAAATATCAGATCTGCCTTTATTCCTGCTTTTCACTCAGGCTAAATTATTACACAATTATATTTTACTCAGTCAATATCTGTTTCCTTTTTCATGCCATTGCATTTCAAGCGGAACATACAGCTTCAGGTTTTGAAGTTTCAGTAGCTCTTGTGCTACTTTTACGCTGTGGGAACCTCACGTTCTATCTCACCTCTCCTACCGGCCTACTACCAGTAGGTGAGGTTTGGGAGTGCGTTGGTCGGGAGTCGAACCGCAGCCACGTGCATGGTTGCCGAGCATTCTCCCTCTAAACCACTAATGCAGAAATACCTGTATAATGGTCCTCTTTTGGATTCATTTTAAGGATTTTATATTGTAGTGTGGGAACTAGAGGAAACAATAATAATGATGACAATTTTTCTGATGTAGTTTACCTAATATGTCATTCTTAAATTATGCAGTTAAGTGTATGCGTGTTTTCATATATTCGGCCACATATTTCGGTAGTTTGATCATCTAGAAGTTGGTTTTGATTAGCCCCGTCTTTGTATCTAAATAAAGTGATGAATAAATCAGTAAGAAGTTAATTAATACAATGTTTTTAAGGCCATTTTATGCAATTGCTGAAATCATCGTTATCATTTTGTTACTACCATATTTCATGAGGATAAATTGAATATAAATAAGATTGTACAGCTAAAGAATGTGATTTCGTTGAAAAGAGACTCTTCGATGATATTAAATGGTTGAAGGTAATCGACAGGATGCCCCGGACCTAGGTTTCGTGCTAGTTGGCTTTTACCAGTCAGCAAGGCGTATCTGCAGCCGGGAAGAAACTCATGTCCCTTCTGAGATTCGAACCCGCGTCACCCAGTGCTGCAGTCAGAGACGTTACCACAGAGCTATTCGGGTTCACGATTGACCTCCGGTAGGACTGAAGTGGATACTTTGATTGGACAATAGTGACTAGTGCTATGTGTCTGGTTCCTTTCTTTGGTGCAGACTGAATTCTATTAGGGACATCAGTTCCTTCCAAGTTGCAGATACACCTTGCTGACGAGTGCCAACTAGTACGAAACCTAACTCCAAAACTCCCTGCCGATTGCCTCCAAACATCTTATATCATCAAATCAATGTGCACCATGATGATGAGCTACCTAGAATGGTGGCGACATTGCGAACCGGACTGGTAGAATTCAGTTTGCACTAAATAAAGTACTAGGCACATCACACTAGTTACTAGTATCCAATCAAAGAGACTCTTCGTTTTCAATAATGTCTGGATGAGAATTATTCATAAATTATCATTATATATTTGAGTTTTTATTCAGTGTTTTGTGTTATCCTCTAAATGCATCTTTGTTTTACTATAGGCGCCTATTAATGATATATTGAGCCTATCAGCATCATTATCATCTAAATAACGCGATGCGTTGGTTTGTCTGGAGTACTTTTCTGCATCATCGGCGAAAACCGGCGTCGTTTTCATTTCGATCTGCATATAATGTAAATAATGAAGTTTTAACCTGTTCACCTAGTGGTTATCGGACATTTTATAGTCTTTCCACTGTATACTGTAGCTATAATAATAATGCTCGTTGGATAAATCAGGTTAGTGTTGTCTGTTGCACGTTTTGCTCTTTTTTTGTTATTTTAATTCATTGATATTGTTATTATTGTTACTTTTATTTTATCATTATTATTATTTTTTTGATTACAGCTTGATTCCACACCGTATATTTTGGTACAAGTATGGAATTTTCACCAAGTGATATCGGTAGCCCAAATTTTGCAGGCCGATCATATATATCAGGTGTTCATCGGCAGGGGGTCGAACCCCAGACCATATGCATGACGGCGAGAGTCCTAATCATTGTAACTGTCCTATATATGATAAGATGCTTATGTGTGTGCGGAATTTTATTGCACAATGAAGACATTTCTATCATATCTTCATGCAATAATAGTAATAATGCCTTAATTCTGAAAAAAAAGTGACTACAAACAGTACAGACGTCCCAGTGTATTTTACCGAACATAATATTTACTGTTCGTCCAGAATTCTCAAGTATAACAGTAATCGAACCATATATGTATCGCGTAACGCAATACTGTGCGATTTGAAACGAATACTAATCCCTTGTGATGTTTTTCCTTCATATCTGTTGAGAAGCTCAAAGGATGTGGGTTGTGAAAGCCAATTAAAAATGTGCCTTGAATACATTTTGCGACCTAAAGATATAATCGAATGAAAAAAAAGAACATCAATAAGAAGTGGAGGAAATCTGATGCCTTATGTTAGAGGATTATTCAGCCAGTCTAGTGAGTTAAGCAGGGCCCGTATAATACGTGTTGTTATGAGTAGTTTGTTCGGTGGTTATGAAGTCCATTGTGAATTATCATACTGTCGATATATAGAAATGGCATAAATTCGGAAATTTCTACTGAGCTTCATGTATTCGTTTCAATGAATGGAATTTGAATTAAAAATAGTTTATGTTGCACATCATGAATTTGTACTGATTCATATAACATTTGTATCTCGAATACTGATGGTATTCTTGTTAACTAATGTTCTCTCTCAGTTTTCGTAAAAATTAGGTATCTGTTAATGTGAACACTGGTCAACATTGGTAGACTGATAGGTTTATCGGTTGACTTCCGGTGACCGTTTAATTTATCCTAAACTGTGGGCACTGATTCTCTTGATTTATACCTTTTATCCATGTCATAGTAAAGAGTGACTCCAACTTCGTCATCAATTTATTAGATGGACTTCACTTCAGGTTGTGGCGTAATCATCGGTGTTCATTTCGATTGGTATAAGTCTTAATTTTAGCGTGTTTCACTTAAGCCAAATTGAAATGTTTGTACATTTAATAAATATAGTCACTTTCAGACATGATAGCAATGATCAATTATCTTTAGAACTAAATTCTTCCCACTCCCCTACTATTTGACAGATGTATATTTTTTAATCCTTTGCGTTCCCAGTGGAACATAAGGCTTCAAGCTAGAGCTTTGAAGTTTCGGTAGCAGTGGTTTTATTCTAATGGGGTGGCATCGCTAGTCCCACGCCCAACCTTCCCTCTCTCAGCTAAGCGAGGTTTAGGAGTGCGTCGTCCGCCAGGGACCAAACCCCGGACCACTTGAGTGGCTGGTAAGTATTCCACCTTTGTGCCACCGACGCAATTGACACATATAATCAAATTGTATTTTGTACTTTTCTGTCTAATTTATAAGAATTGTTTTTGCCCTATTTTGTGTTTTAGCGTATGCGTTACAAACCCCACAGTGCTGGTAGAAACAATTTCGACACTGACACACTTTTGAAAAATGGGCATCTGATTCAAGTGAGTCAGTCGCATTTTTAACTTGTTGTTTTAATATAATCTTATTCTTTCATATTAGATAAGTTTATAATGATATACCACGGCGATGTAGTGTTTTGCAATTTAGGTAGTCGTGTAAGGAATACATTCATATGATAATGAACAATAAACTGCGCTTGAAACATCATCCAAATGTTAGCACTGTATATCGCTGTGTTATATCCAATGAGTTTATCTAATGCTCAACTCCTACTCTCAAAATCCTATTCTGTTTAAGGTGTATGATTCATGTATGTTGTATTTCTTCTGAATAGTCTAGCTTACCACATTTGTGTTTTAAATCTAAGATGAATAGACAAGACAAACACTCCATTGGTATCACATACCTTCCTGAACCTACTTATTCGGGATTTCTACATTCAAACAAAATAAAATCGTTGGAGGATTGTATTTGATAACCATTTGATAAACACTAACTAGGCGTTATATCCTCCTATAGTAATATGCATTACTGCCGATGAGTCTCAAACTAGAACGAAACAGCTGTCCAGTACTCCCAGGTTTTCCAATGATTCTCTAACTGATGTCAGCTCATGATGAAATCCTGTAACCAATATGCGTTACAATATTATTAGTGATAACAATGATAAAGTCACTGAATTTCGATGTCTCCCATTAAAGACGTACGTGAAAGCTTAAGAAAAGGCACATTCCTTTCATAGCTACTCATCTCCTTCTGATACGATCTCCTCTTTGTTAGCCTCTAACGCCCAAGTCATTGTTTCCCATCCTGATTCCAATCGATTGTTGGCCTAGCACAATATGTTGATCAACGATCTGCTCAACCTGTCCTCTTCCCGTTAAACGACGCCGTTAATTAGTGATATCACTAATTTCTGTCTATCACTAACTTATCATCTGCATAAAAGACTATAGTTAAAAAAATATACATACATTCAAAAGTGCAACTTTTGTTTTTGTACGTCGATAAACATGTTACGTAACAGTGAAATGAAATTGTTTCTTTACTCTTCTGTTATAAAAACGAAATAAAATAAGAATTCGATAAGTGTAAAATTGCTATTGAGTGAGAATAAAGGTATTTGAGTGTCGATTTAACAAGTGTGAAGGGGATGTGAAATATACCGAAGGAGCATGTGAGAGTGATAATAATGAATCAATTATTGAAGCAAAAGTAAACGAAAAGTAAAATTAAAAAAGAAAAGATAAAAAGTTTCTATAGGGAACGACTAGTGAAGAGGTTAAGACCGAGGTAGAATAAGAGACTGAACAAACTTTTTCTGTATACAGAGTTCGGGGTTGTATTGACGAATCGCCAGCGCCTCCGCCACACACAAAAGCCGAAACCTGATGTCCTTTGTACCATTTGGCTTCACTTGGTAGATGATGTTGAAAGACGACTCTGGTGAAGCTACGTGGCCTGAGTTCATCAAATGCTCGAGAATTGAGCTAGTAATTATCTTGCATTGTCCCTTTGCTAGCCATGCTAGATAATGTTTAGAAGCTAAGTGAAGCCAAATGGTACAAAGGGCATCAGGTTTCGGCTTTTGTGTATGGCGGAGGCGCTGGCGATTCGTCAATACAGCCCCGAACTCTGTATACAGAAAAAGTTTGTTCAGTCTCTTATTCTACCTCGGTCTTAACCTCTTCACTAGTCGTTCCCTGTAAAAAATTTTGATTTTTTCTTTTCTTTTTTAATTTTAAAGTTTACTTTTAGTTTGTTTTTGCTTTAATAATTAATTTACTATTATCGCTCTCACATGCTCCTTCGGTACATTTCACATCCTCTTCACACTTGTTAAATTGACACTGAAATACCTTTATTCTCACTCAATAGCAATTTTAACCTTATCATATTTCTAACTTTGCGCGGTTGGCTACTACGTAAGTTACAACTTTTAATTTTCACTTTTAAAGCCACTTCTGAAATAAAATAAATTCATATCGTCTTTTTCTTTTCTTTTAGGCAAAATTATATGGTATTACAAAGTCATGCGCCTATGTAATAAATCCATACGATGGTCAACGTATTTATATTTATCATGATAATCGATGCGATGCACTCGATGGAGATATTGTACTAGTTCGACTACTGCCTATTAATGAATGGAGAGTAAGTTTTTGTGGCGTATATATTCACCTCTTTGTTTTACAATAATCTCCCGATTTTGTGTGTAAATTGTCGTTAGTTTTATCAATCACATAGTGTGCGTTTACACATATGTATATCAGTTGAAGATATAAGCTATCATGAGGTGTTTCTGCGTATAGTACGACAAACATCACAATATATACTCTAGCCGCGTATGAAGACTGATAAACCATCTTAAAAGTAGCTGATGTGATTACAGCGTTTCTCTAAGCATATAATACGAAATCTCATAACAATAATCACTTGAGGAAATTAGAAACCGTGATTAACCGCCTACTTACTGCGTATTCAAGTAAGACTGAAACGATGGCACGCCGAGTTCGTTTTGTTATAACTTATATACTCACTTTGATGTGGTATTTAAGTCTATTGACTGTATCTAATAAATGAGGAAAGATTCATTAGTATGAAAGATGATACCTTTTGTTGTAGCTTCATCCTTTAGCGTCGGTGACTGAGATGGTTAGGACATGTGTTACGTATGCCAGCCTAGTCATCGCCTTCCTCGACAATGGACAATGTTAGTTGACATAGGATTGGTCAGGCTGGAAAAGAGCTAGAGGTGGTTAAACCGAAACATAGAACCAGTCAATGAAATCTACAACAGTTAGTTTAAGCCAGTCAGCCACATGGGAAAGTGTAGACTTCCTGGTTGGGGTCCTCGGACGGTAAAAATCAATGGTTGGAAACAATTGGTGATATGGCTCAAAGAGATCGTTCTCAATGGCTGGCGGAGATGCATTCACTCCTTGTGACTTTGATTTCCAATGAAACTACATTGCTCTTCGTTATTACTATTCCTTTGTCCCATACCTCTGTTTACTGTCTCTATTTTGCATTTCTTGTACTTTCTTCTGTTGCTTTGTGTGGTACAAGGAGAGAGTGTGGCGACTTGAAATGCCGCAAATATGTGCAAAGTTCTATGTCGAAAACAGACAGACAGACGGTGGCACAGCTGTTATGACTGTCGCCGACCATGCTCTTGGTCCGGGGTTCGATCCCCAACCCACGCACACCTGATATCAGATATCGGTCGACCTGCTAAATTTGGAGTACCGATATCAAATGCTGAAAATTTCATACTTGTACCAATAATACTGTATGGTATCAATCTATAACCCAAAAAAGTTATTTGTTACCTGATTGAAGAAATTCAGTTTTTTTTCAATAATTTCTCGCTAAGAATGATTACAAATGGTTTAAGAATTTCTTTTCCACTTGAAGCTTTTAACTTACGTTATTTTTGTTTTTCAAAATAAGGTATCCAAATCCAACAGTTTTGTATGGAAATAGTACTGTAATGCATTTTGTGACATATTTTCTTCATATATGGTTTCATAGGTTACTGGTATTGAAAATTCTGAAATGCTCGATCGAAATGTTTCAGAAAAGGAGGCGATTAGTTCAGAGATCGATCAGTCCTCTGAGGTGACGGATACTTCTGCTTTTGATTCTCCTCTTGATCCTGTAATTGAAAGTGATGTTGCTGTGTCTACTGCACTCATGGATCAGACGTTATCAGCACCTATGGAATTTAAAAAATATTGGTTCTATAGTGTTAAACAAGTAATAAAAGGTTTTGAGCATATATCAGACAATTCAACATTAGATATTCTTAAAGACTTAGATTTATCGCATACACCGAGTGCTGCATGTCCTTTACCATGTCCCAATCTAGTACGTGTAGGTGTAGTGAAAAAAGTTGTCAAATCGAATCCAAGCAATGAAAAAATATTGGGTCGTTTAGCTTTTTATCCAAATTTTATAACACGTGGCTTTGAGAATACTGAACCGCTCAAAGTTCTACCTTCAGGCAATACCTTCCGTTGTGTTTTACTTCCGCATTCTAATCGATATCCTCCTGTTAAATTGGATTCATCTACTATACCCTCTGGTAAGCAATTTTTTGAAATGATTCTATCTTTTATTATGACGCCTGGTTGTGTCGTGTTTGGCCCAATTAGACAAAATAATGTAACTTACAGAATATCTTGCAATGACTGTGATATGATAGAGAAGATTTGTAGCTCAGGTGGATGATTTTGATAGTGCGTCGGTGGCACAGTGGTTAGGACTCTCACCGACCGTGCACATGGTCCGGGGTTCGAGCCCACGCCGACGCACACCTGATATCTATGGTCGGCCTGCGAATTTTGGGCTACCGATATCCACGCTGAAAATTCCACACTTGTACCAAAAATACGGTGTGGAATCAAGCTGTAATCAAAAATAAAAATAAATCAAAAATAAAAATAAAATAGTTAATTTGCGAATTGACTATCCAGCTCAGAGAACACAACCACATCACAATGACTGTGATATCAGTTAGATTGTCAGACTTGTAGATCAGTAGTTAGATTATTGGAACATACGAATTTAGCTAAGTGTAGAATGATTGACTCCACGGAGATGAATAGTTCTGAGAAATTGGAATGCATGCGCTAAGACACAATCACTGAATAGAGCGGGACAGAGTTATAGTTTTCAAAAGTAATATAGAGGTAGGTGAAAGGAAGAGGCTGATCAGTGAAGCCTTGTTCATCGAATCTACATCTGACACGTACAACAGAAATGAAGTGATACCAATACTAGAGGCATGAAAAATATAACTACAAATAAAGTTAAAGGAAAAGAAATAATCGAGTTATATATACGAATTTTGAAAGTTGTGTGTGATTGCCTTGATATGATTATGAGACGTCATACATTGTGCTGAAAACGTCATCAATAAAACAATATTTTATCAATGTGCGCTTTCTGAGAAACAAATAGGTGAGCTTGGGTATTCACGAACTGTTTTTTTGTATATCTCTTAGTAGGAATTAAACTTAAATTGACTATACGAGCACCAATCTATTGATTAACTCTTTCAAATATCGTTTTTCGTGTATTTTTGTAGATGCTATGAAGAATGTACAATTGGGTTTAGAGAACAGTTATGTTTGTCGAATTACAAATTGGGATACGAAATCAAAATATCCTATGGGGTAATAATCTTTATTAAAAAGTTGTTTCGTAGTCATCTTTATTATAGATAAATCAGATATAAGAATGTTTTTATGTACATATGTACTTTGAACATATGCATTAGGTGGGCTTGTGTCGTGTTGGTTTACTGATTTAGTAATTAAATACTGATAACCGGAGATTACTAGACAGTCGTTTTGTCCCAGCTCGGACTCTTCATCGGCGCGTACCCATCATCTCATTGAGTATCGAACCCAGGACAATCAGGCTACGAGGTGAACCTGTTGACCATTCAGCTACCCCTGAATTCGAAATTCTGTCATTTTGTGGTTTATAGCTCCAACACTAGCCAATTTAATTCATTCGTAAGTAGTTTTTCCTCACATAGAACTTACTGAAGCTCACGAATCGTAACTTTTCACTACAACTCCAGGGCACTTCGTTCAGTAATCAGTTGCTAGTGAGCTTAAGATTGATTTTTAAGTGTTGATTTGCGTGGATTTGACTGATTTACAGTTTTTTCACAAATGAGCTTCAGTTAGAGGGCACTCTAAGTGTTTAGTGTTATATCGTTAAGGTCGTTTTCATAAACTTCCACTACTCTTATAGCTTGTTAAAATAGTCGATTATGTAAGGGGAACGATTATGCTCATTTATAGATTTTATACATTTAACAGCTGGATATTTTTTTTCTCAATTTACACACAATATATGAAGGTGAAGTCTACTATCAAATGAAATATTTTATTCATTAAAGTACATCACTTGTGTTACTGTGAAACATGTCAATCTGATCATCTTTCAAATGATTAGTTGTTGGATAGTGTCAAGTTTAAATTTTTCGTTGGATTAAACGGTAGGCATACTGATAGCGTAGTGAGTTTCACTGTATCATTCACGAGATGCATCGGTGATTAAGGGGTAGAATACCCGTCAACCGCGGTTCAAGTTCGATTCCCTGCTGACGCACTACTAAACCTCGCCTAATCGCTGGTAAGGTCGTAAAAGAGACAATGTTAGGCATGAGGCTCTGAACTTCACCTCCTAAAACTACTAGCGCTATCAAAACTTCAAAAATCGGAGCGCAATGGGATGAAATGAAATGAATTCACGAAGTTCGTTGTGATGATAACTAAATTAACAATGAAATACAAGCTACTTAACGTTGTTGTACAACTCAGGAGTATTTGTTCATTACTGTAATTAAAGTGTTGAAATTCTTGTGTGTTATGTATATCTGTAAGTATATAAACTGGTGTAGAATAAAGAAGTTTGAATAAAACTCCGCTTTTTAATAATTAAATGCAAAAATGATTCATTAAAGTTAGTGATCTAACATATTAGCCTAGGTCTGCGTTGATTCATCACTAGATGGTGGTTGTACGGGAGGACGATGGCGAGCCGAAATAGGTGAGTGATGTCGCTGACTGCAGGACTACTGGGTGACGCAGGTTCGAATCCTAACGAGGGACATGAGTTCCTTCAAGATTACATTTACTCCTTACTGATGAGTGCTAACAAGCACAAAGGTCCAAGACTTCCTACCGATTGCCCCTAATCTTCTAACATTGGTCTAGTTTACTTCAGTAAATATAGGCTAAAGCACCATTAACCTTATAATGAAATATATTTCAAGTTTGGGATGATTACTTCATCTCCTTAAGCGGTTATTCCTTTCACAGTTGTTTTGTCCTCATTTTAATAAATGTTTTGCATTAAAATATTTTTCTTCTATTTATGTAATATTTTGTTTAACGTTTTTCTTAAACAGAGTGATTGAAGAACACTTGGGAAATTTGGATGAATTAGAAAGAGAAACAAAAAGTATCCTTATCGAATATGGTATCAAAGAGGAGCAGTTCACATCTGAGGCAAGTTTATAATAACTAAATTCATCATTCCTCATTATCATCGTCATGATCCATACGGTGCTTGGTATTAATAGATGACTACTGGAAACAATCAACACTAGTAGGAAGGCGTAGGCAGAGTGAGATTTGATTTCCGTTACCACTAAATATATAGCGGATCGTGGCATTAATGCACTTCATTTCATTTACACATCCTTTCCGAATGCAAACTGAAGCATACAATTCTTAATGGAATACCAACTTACATCTAAGAAGTCATATTGAAGATTTGTAAGCACCTGACAGGTGCATTTTCTTCGTAATATTTTATTTGATGATTGAACTCTATCGACAGGAAACCTTGGAGCTAGGTATCACGTTTATTGGCTCTCGTCAGCAAGGCGTATTCGCAATCTTGAAAGAACTCATGTCTTTCCTGATATTTGAACTAGGGGGGGGGGTCCTCATCAAATAAAGGAATAAACTACCTAGTGTTCAATCAAAGTATCCATTAAAGTCCTACAGGAAGTCAATTGTGAGCTCAAACTGCTCATGGCTAACGTCTCTGACTGCAGCAAACCTAGATGCAAGGCTTCCTGTCGATTACTTTCAACTGTCTAACTTATATATTAATTTGTTCATGTATTTTTTAACCACATTTCTATCATAATTTGAGGGCTAGATCTGTTATGTTTGATAAAAATATCGCTATATACAAAACCTTTAGTTTCTTTTGCTGTTCATATACTCTAAAGGACATAATTATTCAATAGCCCGACCGAAAGCTGCTACCTTGACGTGGTGGTCGGGCTTGAACACCGCAATGACCTAATCAAGCTATACTGACTGAGACTTATGTCTCTTGAGGTCCTACCATGCCAAGCAGGTTGTTTGGATAGCGGTTAAACAAAAAGCAGCTACCCAATCCAACATCATGATCAATACAAAATCACAAAATTTCATGCCGGATCGGCCGTGGCCCGGATTAACAACGACCGCGCTTCCTGCTGTCGTGTCACAGGGCAGGAGTGATAAGTATGCTACTGAGACACACCAAACAAAAGAGAACGAACAAAAACAGGCCGCGTGTGACCGGCCTCAAGCAGTTGTCCCCTGGGCTCTGCGGTCACGCAACCAACTTCCACGGTGTGGGCAGCCGGGAAGTAACAATCGCCCTCACAATCCGAAATGCACACGAAACCTCTTTAATCCTTACTCATCTTTGTCTTCATCTTCATCTCTACTATCTTGCCTTCCTTCCACTGATGCAACTACTCTACCTCATAGCTCTTCACTTCCACTCCACTCTGTGTCCACTAAAAACGGCGGAAGCCAAAAAAGCACCACTGATAGTCTGTTGAGACTTGAACTGCCGCACATATGTCCAAAGTTCTATGTCAGACAGACAATTATTCAATAGGATGTCTCTTTTATGTGTTAATCGTCGTTAATTAGACTTACTTACTTTTTCGTAAAGTTTCATCATGTTACTCTGTATTCTGTCCAATGTCTGACAGGTAGAGGTTGATTCTGTTGAATGTTGACGGATGTCTATCTGTCTATTTTCAACATGGAAATTTGCACATATTTGCGGAAGTTCAAGTCACCACACTCCCTCCTTGTACCACACAAAGCAACAGAAGAAAGTACAAGAAATGCAAAATAGAGACAGTAAACAGAGGTGTGAGACAAAGCAATACTAATAACGAAGAACAAAACAGTTTCATTGGAAATCATAAGTCACAAGGAGTGAATGCATCTCCGCCAGCCATTGAGAACGATCTCTTTGAGCCATGTCACCAATTGTTTCCAACCATTGGTTTTTACCGTCCCGATGACCCCAACCGGGAAGTCTACACCTTCCTACGTGATTGGCTTAAACTAACTGTTGTGGATTTCATTGACTGGTGAGGCCATGTTTTGGTTTAACTACCTCTAGCTCATTTGCAGCCTGACCAATCCTATGTCAACTAACATTGCCAGTTGGTCGAGGAAGGCGATGACTAGGTGTGTATGCGTAACACATGTCCTAACCATCTCAGTCGTTGTAATTTCACGACCTCGTCGATTGATTTCCCCTCCCACCTACCTAGAAAAAGACTGAAACCTAACCTCAATATTCCTTACCTGATTAAACAACTTTACACAGGAGATAGAACGCAGTTTTACCTATGATCGAAGACAGCTAATCTTTTCATGTCTTCCGCTCTCAATGTCCAGGTCTCACAGCCAGAAATGAAGGAGGACGGAGTGGACTGATGAGCAGTACACCCGCCCTTTGGTCGATAGGCGGATATCACGTCAACGCCACAGATGGCGTAAACTGGCATATGCGAAACTAGCCCTCTGTATCCGTTCTCAGCTGAGATTTCGTCAGAGATCAACCCGTTGGGGCTTATGGTACTTCTCACATAAATGAAGCGGTCAGCATGCTCTACCACTTCACTCCCTGTTTCTAAACTAGGAGTCAGTGTAGTCCAGTCTTGTAACATGTAATAGATGTGTATTGATGTTTGTCACAAATATGGTAGAAAATTCGAAAGAATAAATCCCATGAACAATGATGTCTACTGAACGTTTGTTGGTAAAACCCCTGAAATTCAAAAAAAATCCGTAGACCTAGTTAGTCATCAACAGATTCGGTACACTAAATGCAAAAACTGGGACAAGGAAATAAGATTTCTGTATGTGTATATGGAAGTACTACCAACTACACGAGGATTAGGAAGTTTGCAAAAATAAAGATTTGCGCCATCCTAATGAAAGCGACTGTTTTTTGTACAAAATTCTGATTTTGGTTGTTGAAGTCTAGAGGTTTTCAATCCACTTGAGAAAAATACACTACTCATTCAAGGACTTGGGAGAAGTTGTAATACAGCTGTTAAACACTTCAGTACATAGTCTTGAGTTGTATCATTTTTTGTGTTTGTGTGGAATATTATATTCGTCAGTACTATTTCGGCTCTTTTATCAGGTCTACTGATTATAATGTTTTCGTCGTTCCTTAACTTTCTTAGGGCTTCTCGATAGTGTTTAGTCAACAAGCTTTCACTAGAATGACTACTGTTTTTATACTGCTGACAATTGTCGACTAGTGTAGTTGTAAACCTAGCGATTTCATCGTTTGGCGTTGAGGTCAAATCTTTTGTTTGTAGGAAGAGGTTTTCAAACTGGATATTAGTATCGAGTTAGTTGACCTTATACCCTTGGTCACAAAATCTAAGACCCAATGATGATAGAGCTTCTAGCTGTAATTTATCCAGTGTAATACTTAAAAAATTATGGACATACCGATAAGGGTCTGAAAGGAATGCAGGGAAATCCTTTTCAGGATTTTAACTGTCTAGTGATTTGATAAGTTTCGTTCTCCTTTTCTCTGCTCTGTTTTGGCTAACTCTGTCGACCTACTCAATAAAAAGTCAAATAATAAATCCTCAGGAAGTTCATCGACAGCAAATTTCTTCTGTGATAAATTTCTTTGTATATATTTTGGTTAAATACCACCCAACTGTCAGTATCTCTGTTTTCTTCCAAACAAAATCTTACATTCTTTATTCCCCACCTATTTAGGATTTAAAAGGTTTACCAATTAACCCGTGTGATTTCAAAATACCAGAAAGTGAATATAAAAAGCGTAAAGACTTTCGTTCTCATTGTGTAATGACAATAGATCCAGCTAGTGCAAAAGATTTCGATGATGCCTTGCATATCCAACAATTAAACAATGGTGAGATTTTAATAAATTCATTAGTATTTCATTGAAAAATAAATTTGGATTATTATGCTTTTTTGTAGCAAAAGACACATATACTGATGGTATATTGTGAAGAAATCATCTTTATATAACTAAGCTTGTGTAATGCATAAGATGTATTTATACAATCAATTTAGAAAACACAAAGATTGAGCGAAGAAATATTTCCTTTTCAATTAGATCTTCATCTCTACTATAGCATATTTAGCATTTTTATTACAATACACAACTATTTGCCAATCAAGTGGCGATATGTTTGTTAACAATAATTAGTCAGTGTCAAAATGTCAATAGGGTGATAACACAATTAAAAGGTAGAAATGGTCACAACTAGTGGATTGCATAATGCATAATTTTGGAAAAGTGAAGATTAATTAAGGAGAATAAGCGTGTGCACAGGTTGATTACGTAACAGAATGTTAAAGAAAATAAAACGATTTGGGCAATTATGATTTGTAACTAAGGGAGGATGAAGTGATCATAAAAAGAAAATACTTTTACAAGGATAACACGTTATTGAAGATGAAATAGTTAGAAAAAATAAAAAAAATTGGAGAATTATAATTTTTTAAGGTTTAGGGGAGGGGGACAAAGTAGTCTGGTTTACACAATCATGTAGCGATCGCCACAGTAGTCGGTTTAGACTCGGTTTAAAGTCCCAAACATTCTTATCTGCTCTTGTTTGCTTAACTTCTGAATTTCAAGTTAAAATCCTTTATTTGTAACGTCAAAGCCAAAATTGAAAAAGGAAAACACTATTTTTTAAGTATTGGTTTGTTGTAGGGATTTTGTTTGATTGCATGGAGGATTTGATCATGAGCTGACATCAGTTAGAGAACCACTGGAAAACCTGGGAGTACTGGACAGCTGTTTCGTCCTAGTTTTGGGACTCCTATGATGCTCACTAGTAACTGGCCCTATTCAGGCAGTTAACCTGGGGTTCTAGTGGGAAGCCGTGACCAGTAGGGTACAGCAGGTTGAAGATGAGGCAGTAACTCATCGAAGAAGACATTGCGAAGTGGTCGCGCTATGTCGTGAACTGGCAGAAGTTAGAATTCAAGGACCATTGGATCGGGTCCCAGTGGCTCAATGGTCTACGAGCTCGCCTTGTAACCAGAAGGTCCTGGGTTCGAATCCCGGTGGGTGCGTACTGCTGAGGAGTCCCAAAACTAGGACGAAACAGCTGTCCAGTACTCCCAGGTTTTCCAGTGGTTCTCTAACTATTTTTTAAATCACTGCCTGTAAATACAGTTCAGACACTTGGCCCACTCGTCACCAAAATCATTTCCAACAGACTGTATACTTCCGTCAAACAGCTGCTTTCTCTCGACGCTGAAAGGATTAGCGAACCAGCTAAAAACCTAATGTCCAACAAATATGCAGAATTGGCAGAAGTTAGAATTCAAGGACCATTGGATCGGGTCCCAGTGGCTTAATGGTATACGAGCTCGCCTTGTAACCGGGAGGTCCTGGGTTCGAATCCCGTTGGGTGCGTACTGATGAAGAGTTCCAAACTAGGACGAAACTGCTGTCCAGTACTCCCAGGTTTTCCAATGGTTCTCTAACTAATGTCAGCTCATGATGAAATCCTGAAATTTATTTTTTATTTACTTTTAATTACAGCTTGATTCCACACTGTATTTTTGGTACAGTATGGAATTTTCACCATGGATATCGGTAGCCCAAATTTTTCAGTCCGACCATAGATATCAGTTGTGGGTCGGCAGGGGATCGAACCTCGGACAATGTACATAATCGGCGAGAGTCCTAACCACTGTGCCACCGACGCAGAAGGAAATAGAGATGGATTGGATGCATACTGTTGGGGGTGCTGACTGACATCACTCACACCAGCCTATCACCGAAGTGGGACTCGAATGAGGAACGACGAGTTGGGAGTCATTTTGAGTGTAACATTGAGGAGATCGTGTGAGGAGGAACTGAAAGCTTATGAGCAATCGTGGTGTCAGACAAAGAGGATTGCAGAGAGCAGGATGAAGCTACACTGGAATCATCCCCCTCTCTCTCACACACATACATATACATGCACTTGTAATGCATTTGTGTAGCACATTCTGACTACACACACATATATGTCATAACTATTTGTATGATAATTCGACATAATTGATACAAATACTTATGTGGTTTTTAAACATAATTAGAGATTACGCAATAGTCAACTACACAATGGAAGTAAGGGTTTGAAAATGAATTGACAAAGGGGATATTGTCATTTAGATGACAAGCAAAGTGGTCCTCTTGACAATTGTAAAGAAGCTGGGGAAAAGAGTAGTGAAATGTTTAAGAGGAACATGTAAGAGTGATTGTAGTGAATCACTTACCAAACATAGAAGCAAACAAGTAGGAAAGAGTTTCAGACCATGGTAGAATAAGAGATTGAGCAAAATTTCCCTTCACACAGCACTCAGGGTAACATTAATAAATCATTAGCGTCTCAGTTGTGAAATGGAAATGTTACTCAACAACTGCTTGCAGTTCAGTGCAGTTGGTAGTGAGCCACACCTGTCATGTGAGGGCTAGTGATGCTACCTTACTGCCTAAACTGTGGTAAATTGAGCGGGGTTAAACCGCAAAACACACTGGTTGGAAGTTAAGCACTTAGACCAATGACTCATAGCCCGATACCATCAGCCATACATTAATACCGAAACATAAAATCTATTGTACCATTTCGCCCTATTTTACAGATCAGTTTGTACGACGACTCCAGTGGAGTTGCGTTATTTGAGTTCTCAGGGTATTCAAAAGCTGATCTAGTAATTGTCTTACATTATGGATAAAAAATGTAAATGTAGAGGTCAAAAGAAAAAAAGAAACTTGTCGAGATTGGCCTGTTGTCTGTCTGTCGGATAAAGAAAAGAAAATTAATATATCCCAGCTAAAAGTTAAAAAAATTTTTTTGGATTGTTTATGAATTGAATGAGGAACACTCTGTCATAGATTAGAGATAAGGACTAACTTAATGAACTAAATAATCTACAAAATTCATCGCAGGGTTAATGATCATTCCTAGTTATCAAATGAACTTTTGCCTTACTAATAATAGTCTTACTTTAGCATTGCTTATTTAATACGTTTATTACATGCATTGTGTTTTCCCTTTTCTATAGGCTTATATGAAGTTGGTATACATGTTGCAGATGTATCGTATTTTGTTTACCCAAATAGTCCACTGGATAGAAGAGCTGCAGATAGTACTACTTCAGTTTATCTTGTTCAACGAGTGAGTTATCTTTCTCCCGAATGATTTTTTTTCTTATCAACTCAAATAAATTTCACTCCGTTCCCTGCAGTCTTTTTCAATTAGCTCCATGATTGCCTATGGGCTTTCATTTCCTCTTCTCATGATCTCCTATATTTCACTTTCGGACGTCCTACTTGTCGTTTCCCTATTTGAGTTCCCACCCGAAGACCTGGTGAATGATGTCGCTAATTGGTCTCCTCAATGTATATCCAATTCATCTCCACTCCTTTTTGCATATCTGTTGGCTGATAGGTCGATTATGTAATATCTATGTGTTTTGTAGGAAAAGAAATACAGTTCCAATTTTATAAGAACGTCTATATGTTTTCAGTTAAAATCAGTGTATTATTTATCAGGCCATTTGTTATTGATGTATAAAATGAAGTATTTAGGATCCTTTTAAAGCCACCTTACAGTGCAAATCACACTTAATCAGTTGGCGACCAGTGTCTGTAAGTATGGTATGTGCTTTCCACCATCTAAGTACAAAGTACTGTTACGAGATTGGCAGGAGCCTGCACCTGTGCCTGCACTCACTCTTGCAAGTGAACAGCTTGAAGTTGTTGATAAGTTTATGTATCTGGGTAGTTGTGTGAGTGCTGGTGGAGGGGTGACGGATGAGATTTTCAAACGTTTCATACATACATCAACTTGAGCCACCTCTGGCGCTGTTGAGACGTTAGTCTGGCTGTCAAAAGTCGCGTATACAATGTTTTGGTGTGGGCTGTCTTCCTCTACACCTATGAAACCTGGCCTCTCCGAGTAGGCTGAGGATGTGTGGCGGCTCTGCGTGTTCGATCATCGCTGTCTCCGCAGGACTGCTTGCGTTCGATGGCATCATCGCGTGAGTAATTCTGAGGTTCGGCGGCGTTGGTTTCAAACACAGTGGAGACCACCATTTTTTGAGCGTCGTCATCTGGAAACACCGGCTTCGGTGGCTCGGACAGGTGCTACGAATGTTATCCCAGAGGCTTCTGTACAGGTCTCTGTTCGCTGGCCAGCCCCGGGACGGGATGGGGAAGGCGGAAGGATGGTCAGTCCATGACGTGGCGTCGTGGGATGAAGGACTTTTGTGCTAGATTAGCATCGGTTGGTGTCTCAAGACTCCCTGATTGGGGTCCGAGAGATAGCTCAAATCGATGGCTCGAAACGTTATCGGATATGGCCAAGAATCGTAATCAATGGCGAACGTGTTGCAATCTCCTTCTTTCTTCCCTTCCCGGTGATAGTTGACGAATACTGTTTGAACTTGTTAAGTATGACTGTTTTCCTTTCAGATGAAGTTCTTTATCCGTTCTCTATTTATATTTTCTACTTTTGATCTATATTGTTTTATTATTATTGTGTGGTGCATCTTTCTTAGTGCCATATTGTACCAAATTTTTTTCTGCGTTTAAATAAATAAATAAAATAACAATACATGAGTCACAAGTGGCAAGTGTGTTCAATCGACTCGTGTTTTATAAAATATCTGGAAATTTACTGCGCACTAAGCATAAAGGTCAAGATTGAGATTTTCAACAGTAATGTCAAGCCATCCAGTTCTTCTGGATGATGATCCATTTGACTTAGTTTGTCACAAAAAGGGCATTTCGAACAAGCCGAAAACCTTCAGCATCAACTGTCTTTGCACCATTCTCAATATTAGACGACCAGAAAGTATTAGCAACAAAGGAATCTGGAAGAATACCAGCCAGGAACCCATAGCCAAGCAAATAAGCTGAAGAAAATGCAAATGGATCTGGCACACGCTAAGAAGATCGTTGAGTGATATCACTCATCTGGCCGTCGATTTTTAACCCGAGTGGCATGGCGTGAACAAGATGAGAGGTTATGGAGAATCGCGGAAAACAGGAAAAAAGGGAAATTTTCTGTTAAAGCTTAATGTTCGACTCGGAACCTAAGGGAGTAATAATAAAGTGTACAGATAAATGAAAGGAATTTACCAGTAGTTGTCAGTGTCATGGTCAAGTACTCACCAAGACACATTCATAGGCTATTACTCTTTCTTTCTTTCCTTCTTTTTATCATATTTCTTACTCAATGGCATATGTATCATCGGTATCTATCAAATACATTATACCACAAAATACTATTTCTCGGCAGTGTAGTTCATTGGCATTTTTAACCAGTGAATCTGAAGTTACAGTTCCACTCTACCTACTTTAGCATAGACAGTTGTGTAATATTATCTATCGTCATCCAATAAGTGTGACTCATCAGTTTAGTACATGGAAAAATTTGTCCTAGGTAATTTTGTTCTGATTAACCGTTTTTTACAGGTAGAACAATTTCATTATTCCTCTGCTATTATTGTTTATTATTTTACCTTTAGGTTATTCCTATGTTGCCACCAATTCTTTCACAGCATTTATGTAGTCTTATTCCAAATGAAGATCGATTGGCTTTTTCAATGCTACTGACAGTTAAGGAGAATGGTGAGGTTAGTATTGTTTTGGTAGAAATTTGAATATATATCGTTATGTTCTCTCATCGCCGCTATTACTTTTTATATCCTTTTCGTAGAATTGCGCTCAATTTGTTGTTGTAACTAGTGATGATCTAATAACGGTAGCAAGTTTAATAAATTAATTGTTTCTAGCTCGGAATGAATATAAACATATATATATATATATATATATATATATATATTCACTCGAAGGATTTTATTTGACTCCGGAATAATTTTCCTCCTAAATGATACGCTGTTTTCGAACTTTCTCATTCACACATCAGGTTTATTAACATAACATAAGATAAGCTTTATTCCAAATCAGTACTTGTGATACAGAATGGAATTCTCAGCATTTTACTACAATATTGCATCCAGTTTTTACATTAACAATAAATAAAGTTCTACATAGATTAAAGTTATCTCAACAACATATTAGTATGTCAGTAGCAAAGCCAAAATTAAAGTGTTTGAAGGTGTTAGAAAAGTAGATACTACTAGCATGTTTACTGGCGTAAGCGATAGCAAAATGGTCGAGATATACAGAGTGTGAAAGAACGAACAAGAATTTTTTAAGTAGAGTTTGCAAGGAAGAGAGAAACAAAACAGCACATAACAAAAATAAATACAGAATGAAGAGCGAGAAAACGTTGTACCTATAAATGATGTGAGTTGGAAAGACGAAATCCATTGGTTCTACTGACTACTTAATAAGTTTAAGGTTTCATGCCTGATGCATTCTTTATCGCACAGAACACGGGCTAGGTAGGGCATGGATGAGTTTTTGTACTTACTAGTGCGGGCATATAGTTTCCTATATAGGCTTCTTGTTTTCCCTGAGGAGATACATGGGGAGAGTTGTGAATGTAGAGGGTGTTGTGAGTCAGATAAAATGGATTGAGCCCATTTTTCACATGAATCCATATGCCTGTCCACCAAAATATTAACAAGCTGGCTAAGTGGTAAACTGCTTACCCTGCTGACAACCTTTAACATCCTACGTAATAAGGTATACGGTTTCACGCATACCATCTCAACAGTAATGGGACTTCTCAAATCAACAATCAACATAGTTATTAGCTGGATCTAATTTATTGGCACTCTTTTACACATTACCATCAAATGTAGGCTATTTGTAATCAAATAAATGAGACTGCACCAAATTTTCAAAACAGAGCAATTCTTTACAGGGAAAATGAACTTTCTATTCTTTTAAGTTATTCACATTGATTTCTTCAATAGTTTCGACTAAAGGCAGGTGTACTGCTCATCAGTCCGCTCCGTCCTCCTTTATGGCTGTGAGCGAGACCTGGCCATTGACAGTGGAAGACATGAAAAGATTAGCTGTCTTCGAACATAGGTGCCTGCGTTGTCTCTCCCATGTGAAATGGTATAATAAGGTGAGGAATATTGAGGTTAGGCTTCAGTCGAGTTCTAGGTAGGTGGGAGGGGAAATCAATCGACGAGGTTGGGAAGTTACATCGACTGAGATGGTTAGGACATGTGTTACGTATCCCAGCCTAGTCACATCGCCTTCGTCGACAATGGACAATGTTAGTTGACATAGGATTGGTCAGGCTGGAAAAGAACTAGGGGGGGAGGTCAAACCAAAACATGGCTTCACCAGTCAATGAAATCCACAACAGTTAGTTTAAGCCAGTCACGTAGGAAGATGTAGACTTCCCGGTTGGGGTCCTCGGGACGGTAAAAATCAATGGTTGGAAACAATTGGTGATATGGCTCAAAGAGATCGTTCTCAATGGCTGGCTTAGATGCATTCACTCCTTGTGACTTATGATTTCCAATAAAACTGTTTTGTTCTTCGTTATTAGTATTCCTTTGTCTCACACCTCTGTTTACTGTCTCTATTTTGCATTTCTTGTACTTTCTTCTGTTGCTTTGTGTGGTACAAGGAGGGAGTGTGGTGACTTGAACTGGTGCACATCTGTTTAAAGTTCTATGTCGAAAACAGACAGATAGACAGTCAGTAGTTTCAAGAGGGGTAGTATGTGAGTGGACTGTTGTGCTGTTAAATATTTTTGAGTAAATTCGGCTTAGTCAAAGATTCATTAGTGAGATGAACTCTTGGCATAGTTAGGACTCAGTTATCTACAAGTAAAAGTTATAATTTTTTAAAATTAAGGTTCAGTCACTCTGAAATCAGTCTGGAAATCCTCGGCACTCAGCATAAAGGACAAGATTCGTATTTTCAACACCAATGTTAAGTTAGTCAGTGGCTTTATACGAGTGAGAAACTTGGCGAGTCGCGAAAAGGAATTCCAATAGACTACTGCAGACTTCTATCAACAGCTGTCTTCACTGGCTCTATACTAAATTTCAGATGGCCAGTCAGAAAAAATTAGCAACAAGAAACTATTGGAACGAAGTAGTCAAGAACTTATTGCTTAAACAATACGTAGTAGCAAATTGAGGTGGATGGGACACGTGCTGAGGAAACAGTCGAATGAAATCGCACGCCGGGCATACCCTTGAGTGCATGCCGAATGGGAAATGATGAGTTTGACGTTGCTTCAAGTGTGACATGTAGTAGGTCTTGTCAGTAAGCGATGGGGGACTATGAGCATTCAGGGGACCAACTGACGAGGACTGCATAGAATAACATTAAGTTGAGCTGTTTTGTTAAAGGCCATATTTTCCACTGTGAGCCCATTGGAACAATAATGATAATAAAAGCTCACTCACGAAAATGACTGGTATATACATATACAAAGACAGCTATGTAGATATTCATTTCTTAGTCTGTTTTTACAAGCCTTTTTTCACATTACTTTGCGTTCTGATTAGAAAGTAGGGTTCCAGGCTTGAAGTCTGAGTCGGTGTGGTCTGGTTTTTACTAGGTAGGGTTGTCAACTTAACAACTGATTATCCCTTATTCCCTGGCCCACTTACTGGCTAGTGTTAACTAACTAGGCGAGGTTAAGGATTGCGTCAACCGGGAATTCAACCCTTGACCTTATATGTCGTTGGCTAGCATTCTACCACTGAGGGATGTTTTATAAGCCTAATATACTACTAATATCATTTGTAATCATCGTTATAAAACTTTGAAACATATTTTTTCTTTCTTTAGATCATTGATGAATGGTTTGGTCGAAGCATAATTCGATCACGCTGTCGACTGACTTATGATGAAGCATGGAGTATTATCCAGATGGCAGATTCAAATTCACCTGTAGAAAAAAATTCAAGTTTGATAGATATATTGCCTAAGCCTGAAGCTCCTTTCACTTTTCAAGATCTTCAAAACAGTTTGTCTGCTTTGCATAAGGTGATTTGTTTTTCCTAATTTCTTTTTTTTCGTCTCGTAAACATGCCGTCACACTTTTGCTATGTTCAGTTGACTTTACATTCTGTATTTATGATATACTTAACTTTGTGCCATAATCCAGCTATGGTGGCTTCGAACTCATGTTTACCTGGTAATTTTCAGCTAAATACCAAAACTTTTGCGATACTGGTGTAATAAATTCTGTTTGGTTATAACCATATACACTTCGTAGTGGATAAGATTTTTATGATTCTCACTAGGAAATCTCAACGAGACGAAATATAAAAAAAAGGTAAAATAGACTGATATTAGCTGTAATCACTAAGTTTGTAAAAGTAGAAAAAAGAGATTTTAGAAAATGACTGAATCTGTCATTTACTCCTTATCAGTTTCACCGTGAGGTAACATTTATACTTATATCGATTGTAATTCAATATCTAGCTTTGATTGGTATTAACTTTAAAGAATTTAGGAGAACTATTAATTTTAGGCTGTAAGACTGTTTTTCCCTTTACCTCCGTTTAGTGAACATTTGTCTCATTCGCCTTTTCAGTAATGCATCAGAGGTTCCAAGCTAAGTTTTATTATTTTGGCTTTAACCACCAATCAACATTACAAACTCAGGTCTGTATCAGATCACTTTATATTTTAGTGTGTGTGATTTAATGTCTGGCTGTGAAAGGTTTATTGGTTTATTAAGATTTAGTTGATATTTTTTTGGCAGTAGCTTCACTGTCTTTGAATGACTACTGTGACTTGTTTTGACTTCCTAAAAACCTTTTGTGTGATCCTGTATCTATTAAGAAGTCTTGGTATATCATATTCAGGTACACTTGATATGATTGTAGGTGGCTTTTAATTCTAGTTTTCTAACACTTTATACCAATCAACCGCGTTTATGTTGCAAGTTTTCATGCATTTTTGATTTTAGTAGGGTAATAATAACAATAGTAATAATGAAATCTTTATTCTGGACAGTATTTATAAAGTGTACAAATTTTTCGGAGGAGTTTATTGCTTGACATTTTCCCTTCGTACAATATCTTCAAATAAAATATTAATTCAAGTGTTGGTTTGTAGGGATCTGATTGGTTTCACGATTTCATCATGAGCTGACATTAGTTAGAGAACCATTGGAAAACCTGGGAGTACTGGACAACTGTTTCGTCCTAGTTTGGGACTCTTCATCGGTACGCACCCACCGGGATTCCAACCCAGGACCTTCCGGTTACAAGGCGAGCTCGTATACCATTAAGCCATTGGGACCCGAACCAATGGTCCTTGAATTCTAACTTCTGCCAATTCACGATATAGCGCGACCGCTAGCCAATGTCTTCGGCGAGTATTTGTCCTCACACCCGACCTGCTGCACCCTACTGGTCACGACTTCCTACTGGAACCCGGGTAACTACCTACCTGAATAGGGCCAGTCGCCAGTGAGCATCTTATTGGTATTCAGGTGTTGGTTTGTAGGGATTTGATTAAATATTAATTGACAGTAGTGTATCCTGTAGCACAATGATCTCTGAGCTAAAACACAAACCATTCCATTATGGTATATCTGCTTTGTCTCCTTCAAGAAATCCACGACATCTGGTTGAAAGTCAAGTGTAAGATGTTCGAAAGTACATTTTGAGACTCAACGACGTAACTGAAGAACAGCTTTTTGAAGTATTGAAACACGAAGCCACACATACAATCAGGCCATTCCTCAAGTTTAGTAGAAACTTGCAAATGAGTGGCTTGCAAACACTTTAAATACACACAAGAGTAGATCATACCACTGGACGTCATATATTAGTCGGTTAAAACAAACCGAACGAGAGAAAATATATGCAACAGATTGATGAAATTTTTGATAGCCCAAGTTTTAAGCAGGCCGCCAACGTATATCTATATAAAGCATCGTTTTCGATCAAATTTTTGAAAAACCTTATAAGTTGTCCATCTTTATTGTTTCATACATTTATTCCCTTAATGAATTTAAACAAAGCAAGAACTACAGTTTTAGTAGAATAATATGGTATCATCATTTATTTCGTTGGCTTCTCATCAGCTGCTTACAGACTAAATAAATTATGAGGTTTAAGTACAGACATGTTTTAACATACTTCGAAATTTTACATGTTGTCAGTTGACAGAAATTTCCACAATTAGTAAACAGTGCTAAACAGTAATTGTGGAAATTTCTGTCAACTGACAACATGTAAAATTTCGAAGTATGTTAAAACATGTCTGTACTTAAACCTCATAATTTATTTAGTCTGTAAGCAGCTGATGAGAACCAACGAAATAAATGATGATACCATATTATTCTACTAAAACTGTAGTTCTTGCTTTGTTCATCTTTATTGTGTTGTAATTATCCCTATTCATTTGATGTATTATTTCTTCGCTTGATTTCTGAGTGGAACGTAGGGCTTCAGGTCTGAGACTTTGAATTTTCAGTAGTTGTTTAACTTTGTACGGAGTGAGGTTTAGTGTAGTCTCACACTCCCTTTCATGTTTACTGGGCTCACTATGGGTGAGTAAACTAGGTGAGGGTAAGGAGTGCGTCGGTTGGCAATGGAACCTCGAGCCACTTGCGTAGTTAGCGAGCATTTCTATAACTGAACTAAGAATACACCTACTACTTACTTAAACCACGATGATTTAATGAACTAGGGTATGCATGTACTACTGTTGAAGTAATTGACGCATTTATGTTTTGGTGTTATGTTCAATTGTAGATGCTTCCAATGTACGCGAATAATCAACTCTCGGAATTGTGTTTTAATTTAAAAAATAGAGTGTTCATTAAGCATCTTCAACAATACTTCCTGTTTTAGTCCACAGACTTTTACTCATATATATATATATATTCATTTGTAAACTCGCCCCTGTAAAATGTAAGATGCTGCCACAGGACTGGACTACGTCAACTCCTAGCTTAGTGATAGGCAGTGAAGTGATAGAACATGTTGACCACTTCACCTATTTGGGAAGTTGTATCAGCACCAACGGACTGATTGGCGACAAAATCTCAGCACGGATCCAAATTGCTCGAGCTGCTTTCGCCAGCTTACACCATCTCTGGCGTAGGCGTGACATCCGGCTATCAACCGAGGGACATGTGTACTGCTCATCAGTTCGCTCCGTCCTTCTCAATGGCTCTGAAACATGGCCAATACGAGTTGAAGACATGAAAAGGTTGACTGCTTTCGATCATAGATGTCTATGATCTCTGTCTCACGTTAGGTGGTTTAATAAGGTAAGTAATGTTGACGTTAGGCGTAGTGTTGGGCAAAGAGGGAAAATCAATCGACGAGGTTATAAAGTTACATAGATTGAGATGGCTAGGTCACGTGCTGCGCATGTCTAGCCATCGCCTCTCCCGACGGGAGGCGATAGAGGTGCACTGATATAGGTGCAGGTTGGAAAAGAGTAAGTGGTGGCCAAACAGAAACATGGCCCCTTCAATCCATGAAATCCTTGACAGTTAAACTGAGTCAGGTAGGGAGATGTAGACTTCCGGGTTGGAGCCCTAGGGACTCTAGGAATCAATGGCTGGAGACAATAGGTGACATGGCTCAAAATTGTTGTCAATGGCGCAGATGTATTCAGTCTCTGTAATCTTTCATATTTCTTTCTACCATTACCTATTCTGTTTCACTCTTATACTTGTGAAACTCTATTGATTCTCTTCACTCATCTTCTTGTCTACCTCTGTGTGTTATTTGGAACGTGGCAACTCGAACTGGTGCACTTTGGTGCCAAGTTCTATGTTAAAACCAGACAGACAGACAAACTCAGTTTTTTTTGACAGGAAATCAGTATTTCTAATGAGACAATAAATAATCCTATGTAAACATTGATTTACTTATCATACTCATTGTGAGAAATGATTTAAGTAGAGTGGAAAACATATATGGCATCATGATTTAAACTATTGGCTTCCAGATAACCAAGCCAGTGCTTCGTCAGTGGAGCTACATAATGCAGCTGTCAACCAGGTAATCATTTCACTGCAGTCATCACAAGGGTGTGTCTAGTTGTCATGTGAATAGATGACACGTAATAGTCTATTTCATCGCTGGATCAATCGATCAGCCAAATTATTTGGTACTTGTAATGATTTGTTGAAATTAATTAGTTATCGAAACTATTATTTTACATTTGAATGCCACTGTAATTTTATTTCTATGGTTTATAATCCTTCGTATTATTATCAGCGTTGTTATGTTATGTGACTTGAAGTGTTTTCCTTGTTTTTTTTTAAATTTATGCATAGATTGCTCAAAACTTACGTAATTCTCGAATACAGAATGGAGCTTTATCATTAGAGAAAGTGGAATTGAATTTTAATCTGCCAGAGCCACTACCGAATCCAACATCATCATCCTCGTCATCATCAACAAAAACACTGGAAGCTACAGAACAAGTATCTGAAAATATCGCACCTGAAAGGTATGCAATACACGGTGATCTTTATACTCTGTTGGTAAATGTTATTTTGTATATCATTCTGTGATTCTGTTATTACTAGACAATATCATTGATAATAACTATAGAAGTCATGTCCATGTTTTGTTTTCCATATTCATCAGACTGCTATCTATTTTCTTTTCAGTAACTACGTTCACTTTAGTTTATGCGAAATATACGGAGCAAAATGTTACAATATTTCTGAATCTATTTTATTCGATTTTAGATTTTCCCGTCGATTGATCGGATCGACGTGCTCAGTCTCAAGTTGACATGTTGGCTTCTTGTGCCGATGCTTCGTCGGTCCAGTCGATCGATAGAAAAATCTAAAATTGAATTAAATAATTAATGTGACCTGTTGCACAGGAGGTGGCTCTCGTTGGTAACGTTTTGGCGTTTAAAACTATGGACACTGGGTTCGAGCCTCCGTGGGAACATCATCACTCAATGCGGAATGCAGATACATCCAAATGACGAGTCCCAAATAGCATGAAATGCGCATCCTGGATTCCACTGCTAGTCGCCATCCACAAATCGATTTCTGAAATCTACTTGTACTTGCCACCTTCAGACCACTGATCTTGTGAAATGATAGAAACTGTTTCCTAGGCTTGAATTTACTCCTGAAACAGATACATTTGATATTATCCCTGGAAAAGCTGAAAGATGGGTATATTCGGGATAATGGTGAAAAAAAGGATTAACTTATATGTAGTTTTTTTTGTGTCTTGTCGATCAGTTATTTGTTCAGTGGATATTGGAAAGCAGTATCCTTATTCACCACATCTGCAGACATAACGTGATATCAGTCTATGAAGTTTTTGACAGTTGGTTTAAGTCACGTACGGAAGTATAGGTTGCCCGTTTGTGTTAATGTAACTGTGAAGACGACAGACTTGGTAAAAGAATGTTTATTTGCAATTCGGTGTCTATATAACGAAATTATGTACACCTTCACTTCCTAGAAATAGGGAGTGAAGTGGTAGAGCACTTATTTAGGAAGCTGCATCAGACCCAACGAATTGATCTCTGACGAAATCTCAGCTGAGAACGGATACAAAGGGCTAGTTTCGCATATGCCAGTTTACACCGTCTCTGGCGTAGATGTGATATCCGGTTATCGACCAAAGGGCGAGTGTACTACTCATCAGTCCGCTCCGTCCTCCTTTATTTCTGGCTGTGAGACCTGGCCATTGAGAGTGGAAGACATGAAAAGCTTGGCTAGCTGTCTTTGATCATAGGTGCCTGCGTTGTCTCTCCCGTGTGAAGTGGTATAATAAGGTGAGGAATATTGAGGTTAGGCTTCAGTCGAGTTCTAGGTAGGTGGGAGGGGAAATCAATCGACGAGGTTGGGAAGTTACATCGACTGAGATGGTTAGGACATGTGTTACGTATCCCAGCCTAGTCATCGCCTTCCTCGACAGTGGGCAATGTTAGTTGACATAGGATTGGTCAGGCTGGAAAAGAACTAGGGGGGAGGTCAAACCAAAACATGGCTTCACCAGTCAATGAAATCCACAACAGTTAGTTTAAGCCAGTCACGTAGGAAGATGTAGACTTCCCGGTTGGGGTCCTCGGGACGGTAAAAATCAATGGTTGAAACAATTGGTGATATGGCTCAAAGAGATCGTTCTCAATGGCTGGCTTAGATGCATTCACTCCTTGTGACTTATGATTTCCAATAAAACTGTTTTGTGCTTCGTTATTAGTATTCCTTTGTTTCACACCTCTGTTTACTGTCTCTATTATGCATATCTTGTACTTTCTTCTGTTGCTTTGTGTGGTACAAGGAGGGAGTGTGGTGACTTGAACTGGTGTACATCTGTTTAAAGTTCTATGTCGAAAACAGGCAGACAGACACCTTATCTGAAGTCGTCATTTGCACAGGTCGTCCGTGTTGTACCGCTTCTTCCCTTCATATTGTGTTTATTTATATTCCTTTCATGTCTCCTTAACGCTGTATCATTTGCTTTCTCTGACATCAAATCTTTCTCCCTGTTATTTGGTGTATTTATGCCGACGAACGTCTCTTTATTTACTGCTGATAAATCGTATCAGTAGCACATCTTCATTGGGGCAGGTGTTTGAGAATATTAGTGATATGGCTCAAAGTCGTTCTCACTGACTTATACATTCACTCTTTGTGATCTATATCCACTAAACTGTCATTTTTTGCTTATTACAGTATTTTTGAATCTCTTCCCCCACCTTTGTGTATGGCACGTTGAACTGGTGAGCCTTTGTGCGAAGTTTTATATTGAGACTCAGTCAGTCAGTCGCCTCAACTGTAAATCAGTTGGCATAAGTATACAGGCTCAGTTCAAAAGATGGCATTGTTGCATGCATTATGTGTTACTTTTGTGATATCTGTGTATCTTTTATATAAACATGAACATATTGCTATTGCGTATGACTACAAACAAACTTTGCTGCCTTAGAATGGGAATTCTCTTAAAATGCCTTTTTGTTTTATGTATTATTTATTTTTTTAATTTTTGATTACAGCTTGATTCCACACCGTATTTTTGGTACAAGTATGGAATTTTCAGCATAGATATCGGTAGCCCAAATTTTGCAGGCCGACCATAGATATCAGGTGTGCGTCGGCAGGGGATCGAACCTCGGGCCATGTGCATGGTCGGTGAGAGTCCTAACCACTGTGCCACCGACGCAGTGAATAAAAAAAGTCGTTAATTCGTGCCCAATGTCTTATATCTAAAAAATACAAAGAAATATATTTATTTGAATAACATCCGTTTCTCACATTGCTGGGTGACATTTGTCACACAAAGCTGAACAGATTAGAGTAGCACTGTGAAATTAGTATACAATCTATGACTGCCAGTCTTATCGTGTGAAAGTGTTGTTTTATGAAAATATGGAGCCTATGTGTCGATGGTGTTGAAAGGTTTGGTTTATAGAATGTCTGGGTCGTTGGAATATTTGTATTTGACTACCGATGAATGTTACAAGTCCGATACGTCGATGTTCTCCTTTGTAAGTTGTAGCAACCTATAGTCACGATTATTTTTTAGAAAACGCCTTTTGTATATCAATAATATGATCTCTACTTATCGTGAATATTGACGTATTCTGAGTAAATAGCCTACTATAGCCGTATACAAATGATTATGTTTTGTTTTAGTTCAGGTACATTATGGCCTCAGGGATTTTCTGTGAAAGTACGCAATCCTGCACATTACCTGATTGAAGAATGGATGATTGTTGCTAATCAGGCTGTGGCTCGTTTCCTTTTTGGTCATTTTGTTAAAAAATTGAAAACTTTTCCATCTTTATCATTTCCCGGTGTATATAAAACTCGTCAACGATGGTTCGGTGCTATGCTACGAAATCATCCAAAACCTAATGAGAAAAAATTCGAACAATTGGTAATTTAATTTTTAACATTTTTTTCAAACTTTCAAAATCTTTTGTGATGGAATCAAAGTGGCGATTTGTTTTCCGCTCTTTACGAATTACGCAATTCAAAGTGAAATTTCACCAGAGTTTCCTTTGAGAACTAAAATTATTCAGATCAAAATTTTTGATTTGTGGTGGAATGCCACGCTAAACTATACGATTTGCGAATTGGATTCGCTTTAGTAACTGTCCAGAATCTTCTTGATTTGAAATGATTCAGTTGTTTCAACTGAGTTAAACTGGAAAAAAACGTTGATGAGGTTGTCTGCGAAAAGCTACCGTCTGATGTTTGGGTCACTTCGATCTGGCTATCAAGCATTCCTGGTTGATGTGATTGGTATCTAACTACTCATATGAATTTGTCAGTAGTATATAACGTCGTGTGTCTATCTTTTTTCATTATCTTTAGTCTAAGAGACCATTGATTTCTCAGGGTTCTTACAGTTTCTGATTTCAATTGTGATGTTGCATATGAAGATGTCAAACTCAGCATTTGTATTCATTATTTTTCTAGTAGATTTTCTCAGATTCATAAACTACATTATGAGGGCAGTTTGAGTAACAAATCATAAATTCGTTAATCTGAGGGATCAATAACTATTGCTCCCACAGTATGTTCTGACTACGGTAATTGCAATCGCTAAATCAACTAAATTATTCCTGTAAAATGTTAATTTAGTTTTTATAAAATTAGCATTCTCTTTGATTTCTATTTAGCATTAGGACCAGAATCATGGCTTATCCATATGTTGACGTTGCCTCCTAAGAGACCTCGTGATGTCCACCATGAGTGGACTAACTGATCTGACTATTATATGGATAATCATTGCATCGAGTATTTGGCAGAAATCTATACATATTTAGCAACTATGTACAGAAAATAAGCTTTCGCAATTAGTACCACTGTAAACAACTCAGTGGTTTATGAACGTAACACATTTGAAAATAAGGGTAATCTTTAATAATAATGTATTCCTTTTTATTTCGGTAATTGGTGTCGGTGGTTCAGGCGTAGGACACTAGCCAATTAAAGAATTTCTCCGGGGTTCTACTCCCAGTTGACGCACACCTAGACCTCTTTTAGTTGTTAGCAAGCCGGTATAGAGGGAAGGTTCAGCGTGTAAGGCTAGCAACCTTGTCCCGTAAAAAATTAGCCATTGCTACTGAAACTTCAAAGCTCCAGTTCGAAACCGTATGTTCCACTGGGAACAAGGAAGGAATAAAAAAATATAATATCCGTAACTATCACCGGAATCCAAGACAGTTGTTTGCAGAAAGCTTGCATTTTTGGTTTTACTGGTAGTCACTGGGATAATATTCTGGCACTTGTGTAGAACACTTCATTAGATTTTTGTAAAGGTATCTAGGTGTAGCTTGTTTTCATAATCTTGTATAAATAAAGCTGTAATGTTCACTGTATTTCTCTCTCTTCAGATACAAATAGCGAAGTCCAATGATATAGATTTGGATGTTTCTAATTCTGCATCTCTCTCAGTAAGTAACTTTGAAATATATATTATGTTTTCACTGTTACCAATGTTATTTCTGTGATAAGTCTCTGAATGTGTCCATCACTATAGTTTTTTAGTAGTAGGTCATCTATTCTCGGAATTTTTATTACTCTATGAGCTAAGTAAACACAATTGTACTCTTTTACGCCCTTTTGTGTTATCGTATTAAGAAAAGTCAGCTGAAGAGCAAGTGTATATGTGTGTTTATATATCTATTTGCTTCCGTGGAGCTACTTCTATTGGCCGCATACATTGTACACTTTCCGAATTCACCTCTAACATTGTTATCAAGAGGATAATTCTCGATCACCTGATGAACTCAGGCTATGCAGCTGCATCATCAAGGTTGTCCTGTAAGATTATGAACAAGGTGGGACCAATTGTTACAATGCGTTTTAGATTTATGTATTTGTTTATGGCGTGGACGCTGAAGACTCATCAATAAATTTATGTAAACCGAACTCTGTGCACCGAAAAAGTGTTTAGTCTGTCATCCCACAATGGTCTTTATCTCTTCTACTCGTTTACTTTTATTTGAAGTAATTAATTCACTCGTATCAGTTTGTGCGAAATAAAGACAGAATCATCATTTATTTCGTTGACTTTTCATCAGCTGCGTGTATCCTAAATAAATTATTAAGTTTACGTCCGGAAAATTTTTCACATACTTACAAATTTTATATGATGTCAGTTGACTGGAGGTTACAAAATTAATGAACAGTGCTCAGAAAATTACTTTTATGTAGTTTTTACCCAGGGAGTCCAAGTTTAAACAAAATTATTGTGAGCATATAATAGTAAAGGAGTTACGTAATAAAGACGAGAGGTAAGTAAGATGAATTCGGTAACGATGTACTGAGTTCAACTGAAATCATAGAAAGAAAAGACAGACAAAATTACATTATATCGAAATGGCGGGGGGGGGTCAGGTCAAAACCAAAGATTGCGTAATCAAATGACAGAGAGAGTAAAAATATCCAGTTATCAGGGCAATGAAAGACTGATAAATGTTTCTTTCTGAATACATAAATCGTGTTTCAGGCCTTTGCCACAGGCAGCTTCGGCAAACTTGAGAAGTATTGAACTTCTTTCTCTATTGATAATTTTAAAGGATTTTGAGATGATTTCCGCCTCATATTGATACATATGTAACATCTTAGTTTGGCAGAAAATGTATGTACCACGAGATCCACGTTACTTAGTGTTGTTCTGAGATGGTATGCTTAATGATTATATGATTAATGGCCATTTAAGTTGTTTAAAAATTTTTTTCTCCCCTAAAATTGTTTTTCAGCATTCGATTAAAAAGTTGGTAGAAAGTCTCGCTGGTAAAGACTGTAACAATGAATCCCTTTTGCTGAATTTAACCTGCTCTTTGAGTTATATGACGTATGTTCGTCTTTCTGTAAGTTTGAATGAAAATTTTCACATTGTTTGTTATATCGTTTTTTGCCCCCGCCTTACTGTTATATGAGTTTTATGAATTAAAAATTTTCAGATTTTTGTTTAATTTTTAGCTCAACCTTTTTGAGTTGATGTGGGTCGCTTAGCTTTTCTAACGAAAATATGCATTATTATTTATATTATTGATCTTTCTTCAGTGGAACATATGGGGCTTCAGCGGCATTCTCCCATTCCATTCACTTCTCTGATATCCCTTTCAGCTAACTTTATTACTGCTGACAAACTTTCATCTCCTGTTCACATAATTTTCTCGATGTCACTTTCGCATGCCTGATTCGGTGCTCCCCATTCAGGTTCTACCCAAGGATCTGGCGTGTAATGTCACGTCAGCGTATATGTGGTTTATCTTCATCACCTTTTGCATATTTGTTACGTAATGGCTTCTTGGGTGGTTTGCTGCCGAATTCGACACTTTTTTGATTGACAAATAAACCTTTTAAAATATCGTTACAACGAAACTTACATTATTTTTAAGTGGTTTGCCGGAATTCAATTGGTTGTAGGTTTAGTCACGGGTTGAAATCAGCTAGAGAACCACTGGAAAACGGGGGAGTTACTGGACACCTGCTTCGCCCTAGTTTAGGACACTACAGTAGTATGCATTTACCGGGTTTCGAATCCAGGACCTTACGGTTATAAGGCGAGCTCGTAAATTTTTCAGTCACTGAAACTCTATCCAACTGACCATGGAATTTTCAATTGAACCGAGTAGTTGAATGGTATACGAGCTCGACTTGTAGCCTTAATGTGTTGGATTCAAACGTCGGTGGGTGTGGACCGCTGAAGAAGTTCCAAACAGGGAGAAACCAGATGTCCAAATACTTCGTGGTTTTTGTGGATAATCGGTTTACTGTTTATCATAGTAAGTAATGTAATGCTTATTGCATTGATGAATGTCCTGTGGAGATATTTTCTAGTCATAAATGTGTATGATGAACAAAAGAACCATCGAGTTTGAGCTCCTCTTAGTAATCTAATGAACAGTCTATAAATATTCTCTCAAAAAGAAAATTGCATATTTTCATTTCTTTCCATTTTTTTTTGTTTCTGTAACTTTAGGTTGCTCTTTACTTCAACCTAGATAGTATATACAACATACTAAGTAAACGATATCAAGGAAAAAATTTATTGGAGAATATCACTTCTGATAAACAATTCTTACAAATGTTATCCTTCAATCCACAATCAATAGTAAATGAAAGCAGTAAAAATTTATTGAATTATACATGGCATTATGGACTAAGTATACCATTGTATACACATTTCACTTCACCTATTCGACGATATGCAGATTTAATTGTTCATCGTCAGCTGGCTGGTCTGTTGAATTGTGATGATTCATTTTATCCAGAATTGAAAGCTACATTTTCACCAAGATCAAAATATACTTGGATTGATAAGTATTCGAGTGGTAATCATAAACAGAAGAGTTCAGAAATTGATTTATTAGCTGCATGGTGTAATGATCGTCGATTAAAAGCTAGACGAGCTGGTGAAGCTAGTCAACGGTTATTCTTGACAGCTTGTTTAAGAGTAAGTTATTTTTTTTTTATATTGTATACGAATTAAAATTTACATTATAAACATGTGTAAGAAAATATTTTTGTATTGAGATTTGTGTGTAAATAAACATAACAGATGTTTGATAGGTATATATATCTCCTGTTATAATGGAGAGTTTCTAAGTTGTGTCTAGAATGCACCTCCAGTCATGACACTATAAGCAACTGATCACTTGTAAGTATCACCCACACTGAGTTAGATACACAAGAGTGAAAATTAACTACGAAAATTTTCATTAAACAAAATGCATAGTAAATCATATTTAAAAGTATCTCAAGGAATCAAGGAATTTAATTCATAAATAAGCAAATCGGAAAGCGTCCGATAAGGTTATCATATCAGTACATACATAAATCATGATTAAACGACTAACAAGAAAGCTTTTCCTTTGTGACATCTCCCCAAGATACAAAATACGGGAAAGCATGGTTAGTGACATACCTTGCCGCTGAATATAGAAAATTAAATAGATTCCAAATCTCATGTTGGCATACTTAATTATATTCGGATAAATCACAACACAGTGCGTCGGTGGCACAGCGGTAGAATGTTCGCGCCAACCACACATGTGGTCCGCGGTTCGATCCCCGGTCAACGCACTCCTTTACCTCGCTAAACCAGTAATTAAAGGGGTATTTTGAATTTGGCTTTATTATTTATGTATTTATAATATGCTAACACTAATGGGTTAATAACTGCAGAACATGGATGTTATTCGTTTTGAATTCAATTTGATATTTTAACGGGTTGATCACGGATTGATATCAGCTAGAGAACCATTGAAAACCAGGGGGTACTGGACAGCTATTCCATCCTAGTTTGGGAATCATCGGAAGTACGCACCCACCACCAGAGTTCGAACCTAGGACTTTCCGGTTACAAGGCAAGCTGGCTCATAGATCATTCAGCCACTGGGACCCGACTCAATGGCTCATGAATTCTAACTTCTATCAATTCATGATTTGTCTCTCTGTCTGTTTTTCGACGTAGAACTTTGCACAAATGTGCGGAAGTTCAAGTCGCCACATTCCGTGTAGCACGCGAAGCAAGAGAAGAAAGTACATTCATGATTTAGCGTGACCCCAACCATTGTTGTAGGTGGGACATCCATCCTTACACGTGACATCTGGATGGACCTCACTGGTCACGACTTCTCACTAGAACTCCAGGAAACTCCATCATATAGCAAGTCACTAGCAAGCATCAGACTGCTCATATATTTTAGTTCATTCACATGGCCTCATAATTCGGCTAGATCAGAGGAGTACAAATAGTTCTGATTGGTTAGCGATTGGCCCAAGGTTAAACAAGTTTTCCAATGGGGGTTATTTCATGTCCCTACCGCAAACAAAATCCCGATTTGAGGAATAAACACTTCTACGTATGCAGCCATTTCAATTTTGACCTATTCCTATCAATCTGCATCATGCCACAAAAGTGCTTCTAATTCAATTTTACTTGGATATAGGTTTGACAGATTATAAACTAGATTTTTGGAAACGATATTCTTTGAAAGAGTTTTCAGAAATGTTACTTTCGTTTTCGATTGGATGTTATGCATGAAGTTGATAAACTTAATTCTTCATGCTATATTTATTTCTGAAACCACGTTTTCAAAGCTACTCGCTTCTGTTTTTAATCTTTGAATAAGTTGCTTGGTAATAGTTGATTTGAGATGTTGTGATGCGTCGAAAATTCTAGAAAGAAGCTGGCAGTTTACGTGAATGAGACGATTAAAACAATTGACGCTGAAATCAGTCGATAGTCAAACACTTATAAAATTTCAGTCCAGTAGTTCTTCTTGTTATTCTGAATTGAATGATCACAAAACGATACAGGGACTTAGAAGCTTGGTTAGATATTGCTAATCTGAAACCAGTAGTATTAAGAAAGACATAATATGTCTCTGTCCATTGCAGGTTTTAAGTAAGAACTAATTGATGGGGTTTGTTGATGGCATGCCACGAAATTGTTCCCTCAGTGGCGAAGATGTCCCCATTCTTTAGGAACTCCTGGATCCATAAATTTCTTATTTTTCAGCCTATATTTATTTCTCCTTCAGTAAACTTGCATTAGTTGTAGTTCTTTTGAATTCTTCTTCACTACTTCTGTGAAGTATATAGAGTGTGATAACTTGAACCTCTAACACTTTTGTGCCAGGTTCTGCGTTGAATATTCAGACTAAAGTCCGAAATAATCTATGTCTTTTCATGGATTCTATCACAGTGACTATGCATAGATATCTAATCAAGGTGAGAGATATCATGTTATTAGTTCTCTTGTGTCGCCTACTGTGTTGGAACAAGGGTTTGTTTTTAACACACAAATCAACATCAGTTAACGAGTAATTTGCGTTTCTTTTTTTTTTAACAAAAAGGATTGTGGTCCGTTGTATGAAAATGGAATTGTTATGGATCTATCCTTTAATAAAATCAAGATTTTGATCACATCGTTCGGTTTGGTTATTGATACAGAAGTTAAACAGGTCAGTCAAAGTATTCATGTATTCATTTATATTGAGTTTATCATTGTTTGTTGAAACTTTACATGACTTTGAATTTGAATAAAACATTACTTTGTGTTGGACAATGGGTAATGAATAGTATCAAAGTATCCATGACACAATCATATAGGGAGTCAGCTACGAGCCCGAATAACTCTGTGGTGCCGTTTCTAGGTGCTGCATTAGATGACTCTGGTTCGAATCTCAGAAGGGACATAAGTTCCTTCAAGATTGCAGATACATCTTGCTGACAAGTGCTAACAAGCACGAAACGTAAGTGTCCAAGGCTGCCTTCCGACTGCCTCTATTCAGATGTTGATAAATCTCTGAAATGGCTTCTCAGGTGTAAGTTAGTTTTCGAATAAGAAGTGCGTCTTAATATTAAAGGCATTTGATCGGATATGTACGTGGGTGATGTACATATTTACCTGAAGAGCTTTATATGCAGTGTTTACAGAAATCAAATCTCACTCCGCATACTCCTTTCTACCAGTGCAACTAGATGGTATTTCAAATCAACACGCAAATATGTTTGGCTAATAACCAACCCTACCACTCCATAAAAATGAACTAGATCGTCAAGTTAGATTTGATTAGTGAAGAATAACTTGTTAGTATCACGCAGAAGAAATAAAACTGCTCACATAATCATGGACAATTTATACAGTCAGTCTGAAATGGTGTTTTTTTTTTTTTTATAAATTTTATCCCTTTGCGTTTCTAATTGAAACGCAAGCTTGAGCTATGAAGTTTCAGTAGCAGTGGATTATTTTTACGGGGTGGAGTTGATAGTCTTATGGCCTTTCGCTTCCCCTCCCCCTCATTCCTCGGCTTACTACCGGATAAGCAAAGTAGTCATGTGCGTCGGTGGCGCAACGGAAGAATACTCACCGACCATGCATATGGTCCGGGGTTCTGTCGCCGGCCGATGCACTCCTTTACCTCGCCAAGCCAGTAATAAGACTGGTAAAGAGGGAAGGTTAGGCATGAAGCGAGCAACCCATCCCATAAAATAAACACCACTGCTACAGCAACTTCAACTCTGTAGCTTGAAGCCCTATGATCCATTGGGAGCGTGAAGGAATGAAAAAAGCGAAGCGTTCAGTTTTTCGTCGGCTGTGAGGTATTTACGTAGTTGGCGAGGTAAGATGGTGAAATGTATTAGTTTTTCTCAGGCCTTACAGTCCCGCTTTTACATATATCACCTTGGAAATAGCTTTTTTCTAGTTTTATAGAAAAATGAGGTTGATTTCTTACTACTATGTACCATATATCCTTGCCTTGATATATTGCATTTATTCTCTTCTTATTTAGTTTTTGAAAAATGTTTTCAAGTGGAGTTTTGATAAAATGCCTTACGCAAATGGCATGGAGAAAGATGTAACAAATAACAATGAAAAAAGGAACCATAATGGTAATAGATCAATCGCAGAAGTCAGTCGTTCAATTACAGTTACATGGGATGATTCAGTCACTGATTTTGTACAAAATTCTAATCAATCAAAAATATCTATTCTTTCAGTTTTACCTTGTCGGGTATTTTGTCTTCCAAATACACTAATCCCACGTGTAGAATTAGTAGAACCGAATTTGATATCTAGTCAAGATGTACAAAAATAGTAGCCCTTTTTAAAAAAAAAGTAACAAAGAGCTTTTTATGTACAGTGTATTATTTTTGAGAAAATAAAAGTTCTCTAGTAATGATTCTTTTCAAAGATTGGTTTTTACCAAATTATAGTTAGATTTATCGCTGAAAGTAGCTAGTCGGCATGCAACGCAATGGTTATGAATGCAAAAGCGTACAATGTCGTGGGCAAACATGTAATAAAGTCAAAAGTATTCATTAACACAACACACGGCATAGATTTTGCGTGTATTGATTCCACTGCTATCAATAAGTAGACAAATATCCCTGGTCTAGCTGCTTTTTGACTTTCATCCCCAAACCACATCATCTGTACCCTTTAACCCTGAAGACATGGTGTCTTTTCTTATTTAGGGTTAAAACTGTCCTGCTTTCTATCCGATAGCTAGTGTTACACTGTAGACTATTCCTGAGGACATATTACCGACACATCCTTACACTGTCAATAATACTTCCGGTTCCCATCTTTAAACTGAGCTTGGTTAGGTTATTGTGTTAACGTATCATGTACGTGCTGCATGTTTCATTCATTCCCCTTGAAATTTATCAAGTTAAACCCCAGTGAAGTCCTACCAATTGGAACTGGTAAACACACTTTGTAGAATTGCAGTTTTTGCGACGATTTATGATAACAAGCAGTTTAGTACTGGAATTAAAGAGAGGTTAATGCAACGGCGGAGAATACAATTGTTATACGGAATGATACTGGGTTGTTTAGCTTGACTAGAATGCGCCATCAGAACACAATGCTATCACTGGCTGATCATTTGAAACTACCTCTTACACTAAGATAGATATAAAAGTCAGACTGGAAAAACGGTAGCCAGAACGACCATCCTCATTATACGAAATACCTGGTATATTGTATTTACAATCCCTCAGAAAATCAAGCCATAAATAAACGAACCAAAAGCTGTCCAGTTAGGTTATCGTGTCATGTGAAAACCATGGCTTACAAGGAAGCTTGTCTGTTTTGAAATCAGACTGCAATTACTGTCGCATAGGCATGTAAAATAGAAAACATTTTCAACTTTAGGTATAACCAATAGAAAGACACGAATACTGAGTGGTTCTATGCAAATACAAAGTATTTCCAATCATATGAAGTGGCCAAATATTTATGAACTACACTATAGTAGATTGAGCAGAAACACAATGACAAGTCCGACAGCAGTATGCGAATTAATATGTGAACGCGCAGAATACGAATGTATGAAGTGGGTGTTCAAAACGATACCGTTTAGGTAGATAACAATTCGTTGTAGAGGTTTCTCATCTTAATGTACTGCAAATAATTCTAACGACGTACAGCGTAAAACTATGTCACACTGTAAAAGCCCATTCACATCAACTTGAAACTATTAATTTCAGTCAAGAATGTTAAAATAAAAAATTTTGAAAATCGTTTATTTCTCAAACTTATCAATGTGTCGAGTATCGAGCAACATATGTTACTCATCTGCTGTGACTAAAATGACGTGAACACTAAACAAAAATGTGTTAGTACCAGTTGTTTTCCCTTGGAATGGCATATGAATCAGTATTGAACAAATAGAGTGTGAATTTCTCCCGAAAGAAATCCGAAACGATAATCCAAACTATAGATTTAACCACACGTAGAGTGACGCGTAAAGTCCAAAATACAGGATATCCTGCAATACGGTACTTTATTACATAAAAATAGATATATAATATACAAACCTCAAATGTGAGGTGTCTGTGGCTAAATGCCGTCAAATGCACAACCACTGTGCAGTCAATAAGTAAAAACAGCAATGCTGTGTCAAGGTCGATCCACGCGTCGGTTCAAACGGCCCGCGAATGCCAAGCAAAGAATAAACAAATATGAACAAACAACTTTCAATAGTAAATCATACACTATAGGGTAAATGCAGCAAATAATGTTTAAGGAGAAGAAAAATAAGAAGTATACATTAATAGAATGATAATAGAACAAGTAATTTAACTGCAGTCGTAAGCAAATGTCATTGTTATAAATTAACATATACAAATCATACTACTTACTAATGGCAAGTAGTATAATGTTTAACAAAGGAAAGATTGAGAATGAACAGGTAGGAAAGGAATTAACATAGAGATTGATTTTCAAGAGTAATTTTGTGCGGAATCGATTTGTTTCAAGTTTGCCCACGGATTGATATCAACTGGAGAACCACTGAGAACCTAACCAGGGAGCACTGGAGAGCTGTTTCGTCCCAGTTTCCCGGGTCTCATCGGCAGTACGCATTCACTGATCGGGTTTCGAACCCAGGACCTTCTAGTTACAAGGCAAGCTACTGGCACCTGCCTCAATGACCCATGAATTCTAATTCGTGACTGGCTGGTAGTCATTTGTCAGCTTGATCACATACGTCTGACTTATTTAGTCCTGCTTATGTTGACAGTGTTCATCCATAGCAAATATCCTAGCTATCAGTCACTAAATGTGACTGACAACTTTATGAATGGACTGACTGGTCTTCCCTTACTGAAGGTTACCTTGATAGGCATCTTATATCCTAAGATCAAACTAATACACCTCCATAAGAAACATAGACACCCCCTTTATCACATAATTATATTTTACAGTGATACTGCAATTTCTTCTTTGGCTGTGAGACTAATACATTTTTGTCGACATCATTTCAAGCGAAACCTTTTATCCTACACATTATGAGAAAAGAAGAAACAAATTGAAATTCACAATCTTTTATATTTCAAAAAATAAAGTAACATAATACATAATATGCACGAAAAAAACTTCATAATTATTCTATTTCTTGAGATTTAAAAATGAATCAGCTTGAAAACCACAAGCATGTAAAATTCTGATTTTATCAGATAATGTTAACGGTATAGATACACCATCTGGATTAACAATTGTAAATGTTGTTGTCGAATTGGTCCGTTTAGCCCAGTTCACTTTAGATGCAACGACATGACGTAATGCTGAGTAACTGTAATCTCCTTTTAATCTAAAAATGAAAAGTACAACAGACAATGCATTTATGAGTATCAATTGCAGACAGTTTTTCGGTTCTCAAGTTATATATACATAAAGGTGAAATGGATACATGAACACGTAGTTTTTTACACACTATCTAGCTGTCTCAATCACAGAGCGAATACAATAATAACTGTTTGAACGAGTGTGATGTGGACGAGATACATTAAAAAATGAAATAGACAGGCGAACAAATATATTAGAAAAGTCTATTAAGCTAATTAGACAGCTAATTTTTCATGTCTTCCACTCTCAGTGGCCAGGTCTCACAGCCATAAAGGAGGACGGAGCGGACTGATGGGCGGGTGTACTGCTGTCTTTGATCATAGGTGCCTGCGTTCTATCTCCCGTATGAAGTGGCATAATAAGGTGAGCAACATGGAGGTTAGGCGTAGAGTTCTAGGTAAACAGGGGAAATCAATCGAATAGTTTATGAAGTTACATATACTGAGATGGTTAGGACATGTGTTACGTATACCTAATCATTGCCTTTCTCGACCGACTGGCAATGTTAGCGGTTATAGGGTCAGGCTGGAAAAAAGCTAGCGGCGGTCAAACAAAAACTTGGCATCAGTCAATGAAATCCACAACAGTTGGTCTAAGCCACGTAGAAAGGTGTAGACTTCCAGGCTGGGGTCCTCGGGACGGTAAAAACAAATGGTTGGAAACAATTGGTGACATGGCTCAAAACCGTTCTCAGTGGCGCAGGTGCATCCGCTCCTTGTGTCTTATGATTTCCAATGAAACTACTCTGTTCTTCGTTATTACTCTTCCTTTGTCTCACACCTCTGCTTACTGTCTCTATTATGCTTTTCCTATACTTTCTTCTCTTGCTTCGTGTGCTACATGGAGTGTGGCGACTTGAACTGTCGCACATTGGTGCAAAGTTCTATGTCGAAAACAGACAGACTATTAAGCTTTACTCTCTGAAGTCCTGGAGTCGAACCCTGGTAAGCGGGTGCGTACTGCCGATGATTCCCGGACTAGGATGAAACAGCAGCTGTCCAGTACTCCGGTGCTGGTTTTCAATGGTTTTCTAACTGATATCAATCAACAGATAGACACCACAATTATGAAAGTAGTAGTAGTACTCCGAATGTTTTAATGTTAATAAGAAACAAAACAAAACACATAGTTCAGCGAAAAAGTCTCTTCTCGGTGAATTCATTTCGCTCAGCTGTACAATCGTAATTAGATATTTTGGTTATTTAATATATACATATATAAAAATAAGTTAGGGTTGTTGTTCCTGGACCGATAAGAAGAACCTAGAAGACCTAGATTTCGCTGATGATCTATGTTTGATATCACACGAAATCGAAGACTTACAAGTGAAAACCGATAAACTGGTCGAACAAGCAGCCGGTGGAGACAGGACTCCAAGTGAACATAGACAGGACGAAGGTTATGAAAATAACCAACCACCACCGACACCAACAACAACAACACCAGAAACATCCAGCGCCAACCACCATCAACGGGAGGGATTTGAAAAAGGTTACTTCATTCGCTTATCTTATCTTATCTAGGGAGCATTGTCTCAACTACAGACAGTCGGAACGGACGAGGATGTCAAATCGAGCGAGAATCGGGTGGTGGGCGAGAAACACATCCATCAACCAACCTCAAATCAATCTGGAAATCTTCGTCACTCAGCCAGGATCAACAACAAAATTCGGTCGGATTTTCAATACAATCGTCAACTCAGTCAGTTCTTCTATGCGGATCAGAAACTTGGTGGGCTGGTCACAAAGAATATTTCCAACAGCCTGTTGCAGATCTTTATCAACCAACAACTATCTTCGCTGGATCTATACTGAAGATCAGATGAGCGGGTCGGAAAGAATCACCAACAAGAAACTATGGGAATAAACAAACAAAACAAGAACCAATCGCCTAACAAATATGCAGGAGAAAGTGGATTGAGATGGATTAGACACTCTCTGAGGAGACCGCTGGGTGACATCGCGCGTCAGGCCATTCCTCGAGTGGAACCCAACAGAATTGGAGGCAGCGAGTGGGACGTCAGTGCAAGGGTGACATGGAGGAGAAGGTGTGAAGAGGAGTTGAAACAGTATGGACTAACATGGTTTTAGGTGAAAAGTAGAGCAGAAGACAGAATTGGCAAGTGGAGACGTGCAGTTGAAGCCCTATGTTCCACTAGGAACCCAAGGAAACAATAATTATAATATTAGGGTTATTGTTGTCACGACATCGCAAAAATATGATGAGTAATCAAATTTTAACTACGAGGGTAAGGGTGAGGACTCATAAGAGGGAAGTGGTGAATTCGCCGAGAAGCGATTTCTTCGCTGAACTACATTGTTTTGTTTTCATTGGTTTCTGGATGAAGGGTATTCATGAGTTGAAGGAGGCAGATGTGTTGTCTTCCCTCCCTCCTTCTTTTTATCATCAAGGCTGAAACTAACCTTTTATGCGGTATTGTAACTGGATAAATCCTTTCCTTGGCTTTTCGTTTATGTCTAGTTACGGGAACATAATCATTATCATTATTATTATCCACGTCGACATCATTACCGCCAGCATCATTTGACTTCACTTTCTTTTTTGTAACCTTCGTTTTGGATTCAGAACAATGAGTTATTGAATGTTCACTGTTTAAATATAAAATTATTTTATAAATGAGATTAGAACTTGGAAATTCTATGAGCAAATAGGAGAACACTTAAAATTTATCAAAAAACTAAAAATTTATAGTAATAGAAAGGGTAGTTATCTTTTTTGTGCATTGAATTTATTATAGTGAGTGGACTCAACAGCCGGTGGAAAGAGTCACTAACCTCACGCGCCCACGCTCATAACCTTCGCCCCTCTTTTTCTAGGTTCAGGATCTGAGACTTTATGAGTAACGAACAGTCTATGGCATACTTTCATCAATAACTTCATTAGTTCGATACTGTAGATGAGATAGCCAGCCAGGAAGGCATAAGTAAAAAGACATTCTCTGTCCACAAGCCAGCCTAGAACCTATTACGCAACAAATATATGCAGAAGAAAATGGAGGTGGATTGTACACATGTTGAGAAGACCACGGAGTGATACCACACGATGACGAGTTGGGAGTCGTTTAGAGGGTGAAATGGATTTAGTCATGTGAGGAAGAAATGAAACGTTATGGGAAATTTTGAAGCAAGATAAAAAAAAGATGTTCTTGTGAAGACCGATGCTCTATTTGGAACCCAAGGGAATAATAATAATATTATAAAGTAGTTGAGTAGGTGTCAGAAATTTACTTTACAAATAAAATATATCGTAAGAGTGGTCAAGTCATACTGTAACGACAGAAGATAAGAGATTTGGCCATATTTAAGGTCGACCAGGTTAGAGGATAATAAACTGTTTTGATTGGCTGTCGATTTTCTGAAAGTCAAACCTTGAGACAAAAGGTTGCTCAATGAGATCATTTCATGACCATAACGAAAACTAAATCCGGATTTTAGAAACAAAAACTCTCACCTCTACAGCCATTGAATTCAAATGTTGCTTTTAATTTTGGCTGCTTCCTGTCAATCTGCGTCTATGTACTACTACTGATAAATCTAGTCATTAGCACAGGTCACAATACTACAACTTATTAATAGTGTACACAGAATAAAATTCTTTTCCCTTAAGATTAGGTAGAAGCGACCCGGCCGATAACTGCTATCTTGTCGTGGTGGTCGGGCTTGAATACCGCAATCACCCAATAAGCTAAACTGACTGGGATTCATGTCCCTACACGTCACACCATGTCAGGAAGGTTTTCTGGATAGCGGTTAAACTAGAAGCAGTTACCATGGGGTACATGGGCTCCAGTATCCAATCGGATCAAATGGCGTATCAACCCATATGGGTCACCGGCAATCATGGGAATGCAGCTCCTGACGCTGCTCCGCTGCCTTCCAGATTAGACTCCAAGTCAAAGGCTCGGGGGTGGTCTCTTAATAAAACCACCTGCTTCGGTCTGGGCGTCCGGGCAGTATCTCAGCCCTCAAACAATGAATTGAATGAAGCAAGAAACAATCAATGAAACTTATCGCGTGCTATTACACGTGTTGCAATTTCCTTCTTTCTTCCCTTCCCGATGATAGTTAACGAATACTGTTTGAACTTGTTTAAACATGACTGTTTTCCTTCCAGATGAAGTTCTTTATCCGTTCTCTACTTATATATATATATATATATATCTTCTATCTTTTTTTTCTTTTGATCTATGTTGTTTTATTATTATTGTGTGGCGCATCCTTCTTGGTGCCACATTGTACCAAGTTTTTTATGCTTTTAAATAAATAAAGGCAGAAGCGATCTTAAAATGACTAATATTGAGTTACTGTAATTTACTAATTTCATTTATTTTCTAAGATTAACCCAAGTATTTTTAAGTGAAGAAATGATTCATTAGGGAACCTATTTGAGATATAACAAATAGCAAAAACACCTAACTCTTTTTTTAAAACAGCGGATGGTAAGAACGATCTTATATCAATGAAGATTGAGTTTAACTACCATTGTATTATTGCAGTGTAGACTGCCAAACTATAGATCCTCCCAAAGACAGTACATTCATGCAGTAATGTTATGTTTACTTTTATTATTGTAAATCTTTATCTAGGTGACTTTTGTTGATATCAGATGGCAGGAAGTGTTCAACCTAGGTTTCGTATTAGTTGGCACTCCCCATTCAGCAAGGCGTGTTTGCAACCGAGAAGCAACTCATTTCCCTTCTGAGATTCGAACCCAAGTCACCCAGTGAATACTGCAGTCAGATACGTTGCCACTGAGCTATTCGGATTCATCACCAATGGCCTTCTATAGAACTGTAGTGGATACTTTGATTGAACACTAATAACTAGTGGGATTTGTCTAGTCCTTTCTTTGGTGCAGACTGATTTTTCTACCGGCTGCTTCCTGTAGCCGATTGCCTCCAACCATCTAATATTATCAAATCAATATGCACTATGATGGATGGTGAGCTACCTAGAATGTTGGCCCCACAGTGTAAACCTGACTGATTGAATTCACTCTGCACCAAAAAAAAAGTACTAGACACACATCACACCAGTTACTAGTGTCCAATCAAGTGACTTTTGTTTTTAGAAACAGTTGAGTCCTAGGCACTATATACTGGTAATGCAATTGGAAAACTTTCAACAATATAAAAGAATAGATATCTTTTAATGAGAAATAATATAAATAATGCAACTGAGTGACACAACATACACTTATGCACTAGGCGGCTATAAATATTATTTCTTCACTGAGGACAAAGTGAATATGATGTCTGAAGCCTAGTGATACTCTTTTCAGTCAATCAGTTTGCAGAAGATATCGTGCTCCAGGCCATCTCTTGAGTAGAATCCCAATGGGAAGTAACGAGTGGGTCGTCGTAGGGTGACATGGAGGGGGAGATGAGAGATTTATGGGCAATCATGGACCCAGTTGAAGAGGATAGCAGAAAATAGGATAAAGTGGAGATGTGGTGTTGGAGGCCTATTTTACACTCAGAACACAAGGGAGTAATAATAATAATAGTTAGAAGTAATCAGGTGATCAGAAAGTTTAAAATCCCAATCAAGAAAACGGTCAATAAATATCTAAAGATGGTTACCGGAGACTCATGAAGAATTTAAATCATTCACTTTATCCCAAATACTGCGCTGAAGATGTCGTCCAGAAAGACGATGAAAGCTCCGCAATTAAACCAAGGAGCTCAGAGAACACTATCAATTCCAACGCAGAAGATAGATCAGAATGACAAAAAAGTACTCATCATTATATGAAATTCAGATAAAGTTGAAAGTTAGTGAATAATATCAATACTGCAAAAAAAAGTATATACACTCAGCAAATAAGCTATTTTGACAGTAAACGAAACCTTAAACGAAGTCTTTAAACCAGAATATTACATTTTGACAGTTTTCGATTCTTTCTTTTATTATTTTATTGTTCTTAATATTTTCATTTGAATTTCAATTTTATAGTCATATTCCTATTTAACGATATTACTGTCAATGCAAATGCCTTGATTAATTATTACTACTGTATTATACGAAGAGTAAATTAGATGAGGTTAGGCGTAGAGTTCTAGGTAAACAGGGGAAATCAATCGACGAAGTCGTGAAGCTACAAAGACTGAGATGGTTAGGACATGTGTTACGCGTACACGCCTAGTCATCGCCTCCCTCGACGAGCTATGTTAGCGGATATAGGGTCAGGCTGGAAGAAAGCTAGCGGCGGTCAAACAAAAACTTGGCATCAGTCAATGAAATCCACAACAGTTGGTCTAAGCCACGTAGAAAGGTGTAGACTTCCAGGCTGGGGTCCTCGGGACGGTAAAAACAAATGGTTGGAAACAATTGGTGACATGGCTCAAAATCGTTCTCAGTGGCGCAGATGCATCCACTCCCTGTGACTTATGATCTTCAATGAAACTGTTTTGTATTTCTTTATTACTCCTTTGTCTCACACCTCTGCTCACTGTTTCTATTATGCTTTTCTTGTACTTTCTTCTCTTGCTTCGCGTGCTACACGGAATGTGGCGACTTGAACTTCCGCACATTTGTGCAAAGTTCTATGTCGAAAACAGACAGACAGACAGAAATTAGATGCAATATTTTATTATTATTATTATTATATCCTTTAATTCCTAGAGGAACATAGGGCTGCAGCTATGCGTCTCCATTGCCTTCGGTTTTCTGCCAACTTTTTCACTCCGCTCCAAGTCTGCCCACATGTTTTCATTCCCTCTTCACATGACCTCCTCGCACTGACGACAAACTCGTCGCTTCCCTTTCGGGTTCCACTTGAGCAATGGCTTGTCTACTGATGTCACTTGATGGTTTCCTCAGAGTATGGCCATCCAATTCATCTCCATTTCTTCCTGCCTATTTGTTTCACAATCGGTTCCTGGTTGGTTGGTTAGCTCCCAGAGATCCCTGTTGCTGATCTTTTTTGGCCAGTCATCTGATCTTGAGTAGTATTGAGCGAAGATAGCTGTTGATGAAAGTCTGTAGTTTCCCAGGTAGGTGAAGGAGGTTGTATATTTCAGGTTCCTTCCTTTTATGCTGATTGTTGTCTGTTGTTGTTGCTGGTGTTGACCAGGAATCTTCATCACCTGCATTTGTCTTCTCTATGTTCCCCAAAAACACTGTCTTCTCTAGATGCTTCTTCTGCCAACTTGTTCCTTTTCACTTTCATATCTTCCAGTTTGTGGGAAATCAGACATATATCATCACGGGTAAAGTCCAGATCCTCCAAGTCTTTTGTGTGAGCCCATTTTATGCCTGTTTCCTCATTGCCCGTTATCTGTCACATTATCCAATCTACTGTAGTCACGGAGATCATTGGCGATGATAGACAGCCTTGTCTCACTCCCGTCCTCACTTCGAAGGCTTCCGTAAGTTTCCCATTGTGGATTACTTGGCATGCAGCACTGTCGTACAAGTGTTGGATGAGATGTATAATTGTCGATGGGACCCCGTAGTAGCGAAGCAGTTGCCAAATGACCTCCCGATCGACGCTGTCGAAAGCCTTTTCAAAGTCAATGAAGTTGAGATAGAGAGGTAACTGCCATTCCAAGCTCTGTTCAATGATGATCCGTAGTGTGGCGAAATGATCAATACATGACTTGTTTCTCCTGAATCCAGCTTGTTCCGGTCGAAGTTTGTCATCCAGGTTGGCGTGTTTGATTCTCTCCAGGATGATGCAGCTTAGTATTTTGCTTCAGATGGACAGGAGCATAATTACGCGCGCCAGCAATATTTTATACATACCGCAAAATTCTCTATTGATATCAAAAGTGCTGTTTGGAATAAAGCTATTATTATTATTTTACTCCACCCCACCGTATTGTCTGATTACATGCAAGTGAACACATTGCTGCAATGAATGAGCATTTTTCTAGATTATTCACAACTCAACAGGGTCAGTCATTCTAGGCTAACTAATTTTCCTTTATTCAGATAATTTAATTAACTCCGACCTAACAAATAAACTCATTTGATTGCTTTATTTAATTAACTCAATTAATTAATTAATTGATTAGTTAATAATAATAATAATAATAATAATAATAATAATAATAATAATAGCAATAATTCACTATCATCAATAACACATACTAAGCTTCTTGCCAATAACGTTTAGCACTTTCCATTATTTCATCAATTGGAATTTTCGATAATATTGCAGGCACCATAAACAAACATAATGACCTGTTAATAAAATTTGTATAGGCTTCTGAGAAAAAATAATCTGCCATAGCTAATAAGGGAGGACCACGATTGTACAATGATTCACTACTTCTAATTTCTATTATTCAAAAAAAAGAAGAAATATATTAATGCTGAGACTATTTATAATTAAATAATTGAAAATAACATTTTGTAACGACAGGAGACAATGGCCAGGCCAGACAACAGATCGTTTATTATTAAGGACTTCATGCCTACGCGACAACGGCTACCCACAAAAGTTCATCGACAAGTATGGGAGATGTCATGTTGAAAAAGTGAAAAGCAGCACAGTAGATAAAAAGCCTATCTTTCTGCAGCTTGTATTCAAAGGTAATGATACTGCTAGTAGAATAAGATGCAGACTGAACGCTGCCATGAAGAGAACATATCCAGCCGCCAAGCTTGTATGTTGTTTATCAAACAACTAGTTGTTTGAGAAATCAAAAGTGGACAAATACCCACCTCATGTTACCTCCAACTGTGTCTACCAATTTACATGTACGTGCCAAAGCACATACATTGGAAGAACATAGAGAAGGGTTAGTGTCCACATTTATGAACACATACCAAATAACTTGAGACTGAAAGGTCCGCAAGCATTAAACAGTGCTATTGCTCGTCATCTATTGGACACTGGTCATATTGAAGACAACCTGAAGTCGTTGAAAATAATCAACAAGCAAAAGAAACCTAGCTTGCTACGCTTTGCTGAAGCAATTGCCATCAAACGACTTAAACCAAATCTATGTACGCAGAAAGAGACAATGGTGAATCTTGCACTGCCCTGGTGATAACAAAAAATATACAACTTTCATGAGTCACTTTTTCATGTTTAGAAAACTCTACTCTTTCATCTAAACATGACTCCCCCTACTTGTTTCTTTTCTTTTTTTCTACTGGCTATTAGATAAGATGCTTTCTTTAGTTACGTAATCTACTTTTTTGTTATGCTCTTTCTAGCTAAACCTTGTTTCTACACACATACATATATACACAACCCTGATTTTTGTTTCCAAGCCTGATTGTCTAATTATTCTATAAATAGTCAGTGTTTGTAACTCCTAATCAGTTAAATCATTCCGGACTAATCTTACTTTTAACTCCTACCAATTACTCCTTATGATCGTGGAAAAGTATGTTCATATCTCTAATGTAATTCATATTTTCAACGTTTAGGTTGTAACCAGTAGAGAATAATCCTCGAAATAATAAAAGATGAGTTCATATTATCCTGGTACCATTGTTGTTTTTGCTTTGTTCAAGTTTATTATTAAGGAAATGAACACATATTATAGATTTTCATGTACATTATATTATAGTTTATTGTTAGCAGATAAACACAGTCTTCTAATTGATGGTTTCTCGTTGAACGTTAATCTTTCATTTTTTTGTGACAGTTGTTTCTTGAATGTCAGATCATCTATCCGCAAAATGTATCCGCGCCTACGCAAAGTCTGTTGTGGTTGGTTGTTGAATCAGTCTTTATTCTTATTTTTCTCACAACCAATATTGGGGACGTTAAACAGTGACGTAAATTACTGTCTACCAATTTTGACTCACCACAATTTGATTGAAAGACAAAACATACTAATCAACATTTAAGTTGTGATTTCTTTCTTTCGTTAAAAATAACATCCACCCAACAACAAGACACACACACACATCTTCAAACTGTCGATAGACATTTCCTATTTCCAAATTATATTATTTGCTTGATAACAACTCTCAGTGGAATCCAAGATGCGCATTTCGTCATATATTTGGACTTGTCGTCCACTGAATACACCTACACCTCTTCCAATAAGTAAGGAAGTGCTCAATGACACTCAAAACCCGAAATTCGACGTTTGAAACACTATTCATTGAGCCACTAAGCCACATAGATTTTGAATAAATATGAATTCATCTAATCATTGAAATGAAAATACGAACAGCATTAGAATTACAAATAAGGACTTTCAGCTTATTAGCCGTGAGTATCTAAGATTTATGCAATCTATTACATTATAAATCCCTCAGATTCCGAGTCGATTATGCGGCTTAACAGTAGCACATCACCATTTTACTTAGTTCTCTGTATTCTGTTTCACCTCCACAATTGCCCACAACCTCTACACTCCTCTTGACACGAGCTCCTCCATATCACCCTCGAAGTGATGCCCAACTCATCAATTCACAATTTCCATTCCAATGGAGGGCCCAGAAAGCGATTATACAGCCTTGTTTTACTCCTATATTCACTTCTTCAAAGGCCTCGCAAAATTTTCCGTTGTGGATCACCTGACCTGTGGCATTAGCATATAGCTGTTGAATGGTGTTGATTAAGATTTGGAGCACTGCACTTTGTAGCTTTGAAGTAGTCTCCAAATTACTACTTGGCTGTTGACGCTACTGAAAGCTTTTTTTTCAAAGTCGATGTGAAATCCAGGTATATTATTTGACTGTCAGTGTCTGTGTCGTGATTTGATTTTCCTGAATCCAGCTTGTTGCGGACCGAATTAAAACACAGACGTGGTGCAGTATAAGAAGCAAAAGATGTGTCACACACACACAATAACTATGTAAAGAAAATAGATATAATTTAAAGTAGGTGGTAACTTGATTATTCATATTCCATTAGTATTGATTATATTAAGCTTTCTGATTGATTTTACAGTATGATTGGCTGATTAGTTTGTATTGAAATTGGAAAGAAAAAGTTTAGAGAAGAGACTTTTCAGTGAACTCATTCACTTCTCTCTGCAATCGCGAATATGTAAAATTATTTGTGTATGTACATGTATATTCAGTCTATCAAACATAGCAGAAGAATAAAAATTAGTTTGGAGTAGCGTTTACATCATCAAAATATATTTCAAGTCAAATTGTAACATGGCTGGGGCGGAGTTGTTGTAGCTTAGTAAGCTAAAGGTTGAGTATTATGAGGAACAGCATGGAGACGAGTAACAAAATATATTAGTATTTCAAGTTCGACCACGGAAAGACATTACTACTTAGAGAACCATTGGAAACCAGGGAGTACTGGACAGTTGCTTTCTCCAAGTTTGCATCATTTCAACAACACGCTCCCCACCCACCATGGTCCGAATCCAAGAATTTTCAGCAGAAGTTAGAATTCATGAGCCATTGAGTTAGGTCCAAGTAGTTTGCCATGTAACTAGGAGGTTCTGGGTTCGAAACTTGATCAGTGAGTGCGTACTGTCGGTGAGACCTGGAAAACTAAGACGAAACAGCTGTCCAGTATTCCCTGGTTCTCAATGGTTCTCCAATTGATATCGATTTGTGGTCAAACTTGAAACAAATCATACCCCCACAAACTAAATCATGGGAAGTGAATTATGTAGCTGGTAAAGAAAGTGGAGAAAGACTTTCCGACCTCGAGTATGCAGACGATATCGTCTTACTGTGAGATAGCATGCAGGCTGCCCAAATCCTACTTAATCGGTTGGCGACCAGTGTCTGTAACTATGGTATGTGCTTTCCACCATCTAAGTACAAAGTACTGTTACGAGATTGGCAGGAGCCTGCATCTGTACCTGCACTCACTCTTGCACGTGAACAGCTTGAAGTTGTCAATAAGTTCATGTATCTGGGTAGTTGTGTGAGTGCTGGTGGAGGGGTGACGGATAAGATTTCCAACCGTATTATGAAGGATAGGGTGGCAAACATCAACTTGAGCCACCTCTGGCGCTGTTGAGACGTTAGTCTGGCTGTCAAAATTCGCGTATACAATGTTTTGGTGTGAGCTTTCTTGCTCTACGCCTATGAAACCTGGCCTCTCTGAGTAGGCTGAGGATGTGTGGCGGCTCTGCGTGTTCGATCATCGCTGTCTCCGCAGGATTGCTTGCATTCGATGGATGGCATCATCGCGTGAGCATTTCTGAGGTTCGGTGGCGTATGTTTGAACACAGTGGAGATCATCATTCATTGAGTGTCGTCATCTGGAAACACCGGCTTCGGTGGCTTGAACATGTGCTCCGAATGTCATCCCAGAGGCTTTCGTACAGGTTTATGTTCGCAAGACCTGAGACGGGATGGGGAAGGCGGAAGGATGGTCAGTCCATGATGTGGCGTCGTGGGATGAAGGATATTTGTGCTAGACTAGAACCGGTTGGTGTATCACGACTCCCTGGTTGGGGTCCGAGAGACAGCTCAAATCGATGGCTCGAAACGTTATCGGATATGGCCAAGAATCGTAATCAATGGCGAACGTGTTGCATTCCATATTAGTTTGATTAATAAATGTATCACACAGTGAAACAGTATTGTATACTGGATGACGTTTCGAACACAATTTATTGTTCATAATCATATCAATTTTTGTCACACGACTTCGAGATTTGATTTTTATAGTTTTCTCTGTCTTCTCCTATTTGTTGTTGTGTTCGAAACGTCATCCAGTATACAATACTGTTTCACTGTGTGATACATTTAATAATCAAACTAATATGGAATTACTTAATACCACAGTGCCCAAGTTTTACACATATATGAACGTGTTGCAATTTCCTTCTTTCTTCCCTTCCCCATGATAGTTGACGAATACTGTTTGAACTTGTTAAGTATGACTGTTTTCCTTCGAGATGAAGTTATTCATGGGTTCTCAACTTATATGTCTATTTTCAATCTATATTGTTTTGTTATTATTGTATGGCGCATATTCTTGGTGCCATATTGTACCAAGTTTTTTTGCGTGATTCATATGGATAGTTTTCGATTCTATCTTTTTGAGAACATTCTCCTTTTTTTGATTACAGCTTGATTCCACGCCGTATTTTTGGTAAAATTATGGAATTTACAGCAAGTGATATCGGTAGCCCAAATTTTGCAGGCCGATCATAGATATCAGGTGTGCGTCGGCAAGGAATCGAACCTCGGATTTGATTCTAAGTGCTCCATTTATACTTACACTGGACTGTGTATACCTGCCTAACGGCACTGTTGAGGTAATTATTTTGAGTTTTTGATGCTACTATTTATTATTATTATTATTACTGTCTTTTTCTTATCTTTTGGAGCATTTCATAACTGCACATTTCTCATGAAAGTTTCGCAAGCATTACACTGGAGAAGTAGAGATCGATTTCCAGCGTTCAGATCAAAACAAGTCAGTTTTCGTCGCGGCATAACTTTTTCACCGGGTTCTACAGTTATAAATATATCCGTAATATCAAGAGAATAATTTTATTTGACAACAAATTATTATTATTATTGCTCCCTTGGGTTCCTAGTGGAACATCGGGCTTCAACTGCACGTCTCCATTTGCCAATTCTGTCTCCTGCTCTACCTTTCACCTGCATCCATCTTAGTTCATGCTCTTTCATCTCCTCTTCACACGACCTCCTCCATGTCACCATTGCACTGACGTCCCACTCGCCACTTCCCATTCTATCAGGTTCCACTCGAGGAATGGCCTGACGCGCGCGCAATGTCAGCCAGCGGTCTCCTCAGCGAGTGTCCAATCCATCTCGATCCACTTTCTCCTGCATATTTGTTGGTTGGAGATTGGTTCTTGTTTTGTTTGTTTGTTCCCATAGTTTCTTGTTGGTGATTCTTTCCGACCCGGCCATCTGATCTTGAGTATAGATCCAGCGAAGACAGTTGTTGATAAAGGTTAGTCTACAACAGGCTGTTGGAAATATTCTTTGTGACCCGCCCGCCAAGTTTCTGATCTGATCCGTATAGAAGAACTGACCGACTTGGCGATTGTATTGAAAATCCTACCGAATTTTGTTGTTGATCCTGGCTGAGTGACGAAGATTTCCAGATTGGTTTCAGGTTGATGAATGTGTTTCTCGCCCACCACCCGATTCTCGCTCGATTTGACATCCTCGTCCGTTCCGACTGTCTGTAGTTGAGACAATGCTCCCTAGATAAGTGAATGAAGTAGGCCTCTTTCAAATCCCTCCCGTTGATGGTGGTTGGCGCTGGATGTTTCTGGTGTTGTTGTTGTTGGTGGTGGTGGTGGTTGATTATTTTCATAGCCTTCGTTTTGTCTATGTTCACTTGGAGTTCTGTCTTCGCCAGCTGCTTGTTCGACCAGTTTGTCGGTTTTCGCTTGCAAGTCTTCAATTTTGTGTGACATCAAACATAGATCATCTGGGAAATCCAGGTCTTCTTTACGTCGGTCCAGGATATCCCTGTCTTCTCGTTTCCCACTTGACAACAAATACTACCCTAATAACAGTTATACCAACTGTTGATCCCAGAAAATTAACATTTCTTGCTGAGGAAAATCTATCAATGTGAGGTGAAATAAAGATGTGTAATAAAAATCAGTGACAGCTTGATATTAGCCACACACACACACACACACACGGTGTAAACAGACGATAACGCCGGCATCATAGTCGTCTGTCATCCATTGTGTATTGAAGAGACTATAAACATCGATAAACAATTACTACTGTATCAAAAACTCCAAATAACTGAAGACATGGTAGCAATCGGTTTAAAACAATTAGAATTTTGGTATACAAAAGAAATAAGTCATTTCAACCAATGTCACTTGCTGTAAGATCGATAAATGCATGCAATATCGCTCTATTATATCGTATCTTTTACGTATTATGACCTATCCTATCTTTAAATTAATTGGTACACTTCCACAAACAATTTATTTTCTTAGTTTACTCCTTATTTATAATCCTAGTGAGTTTAGAATATCAAAATATGAGATCTTACTTTCTTTAGTTTCTTCATTCGTGGCAGTGTTACCAGGATTCATGTTGAGCAGATTTCTGAAAGTCATAAAAAAAAATAATAATGATAATATTTTAAACATTATTCTTTCTAAACCCTTCCCATCATAACAACGAAAGTATGGAGGGTGATATCACTTGCAAAGCTAACAAGTCAGAGTTGAAATTTCATTACCATGCAAATTACGAACCAACTATCAAATGATCATATAGTTAGCTAGACAAAAAAGCTAATTGGTTGTAAAGCTGTCATATTCAAAATATCACATACATTGTTCAAATGCCGTGGAAAAATAGTCAGAGTAAAAAAATCCCATATAATCTATCAATAATTGGCATCCATCATACATCCACATTTAGGCCGTTGGTTGTGTAGAGGTACAACGCTTGCCAATCATGCATGCGGTTCAGAGTTCGATCCTCAGCCGACTTACTCCTAAACACCTCTCTATTAATCGGAAGGAAGCTGCTCGATGAAGAGGGAAGGTTGAGTGTGATGCTAGCCGCCACCCTACCCTGTAAAAATAAACACAAAGTGCAACACAGAGATTTCAATACTCAAGGCTGAAGCCGTGTATTCCCCACTAGGAGTGTAATATACGTGAAAACGAACAAGTTATCGGAAAACGTAGCAGCAGTAGTAGAGACCGGACTTCACGTAAACACAAAGAAAACAGAGGTGTGATGAAGATACCTAACAGATAACAATAGACATCAATCAATATCAATGGGAATAATGTAAAGGGAGATGATGCATCTTTCACTTTTATCTAGGCAGCATCGTTTCAACTAACGGCAGCAACACACCGATGAGTATCTCGAAACCATTTAGGATCAGAAAAGCAAGACAGACATTCATTTGACTGAGAAATCAGTGTGGAAATCTGCTGCATTCAGCATAGAGAACAAGACACTAATTTTGAAATTGATCAGTACCTCCTATGTGATTCAGAGATTTGAGGCACACTTTCATCGACAACTGCATTTGCTGTATACTGAAGATCAAGATGGTCGGTCAGAAATAATTAGCAGCAAGGAATTCTGGAAACATATCAACTAAGAACCGATTGCTCAACAAATGTGAGAATTAAATGAAGATGGATTGAACATAGGCTGAGGAGACTGTTGAGTAAAATCACGCGCCAGACCTTAGAGTGGAACTCAAATGGGAAGCGTTGAGTTGGGCGTCGCTTTGCTGTTGACATAGCGTAGATCGTGTAAGGAAGAAGTTAGAGCTTGTGAGTATTCCGTGAAGCCGAGAGAGAGAGGCAGAGAGCAGGATGAAATGATCCCATGATCCATTTAGAACACGGGTGAGCAATAATGCAATCTAATAAGGCATCTAATGAACCTACTGTTATGCAAATAACTTTTGTTTACGTGAACCACACTGAAAATTATCAATTAATTGATTAGATTATGAACAATACATTTCGTTCGAATCGTCATCCAGTAAATTATACTGTTTTACAGTGTGGTATATCTCATAAACAAACTAATATGGTATCAGTTAACAGGTATAATAAAATCAATTGTTTCTTCCATTACTTTCCCTTATTTTATTCTTTTACGTTCCTAATGAAACATGGGATTTTAAGCTAGAGCTTTGAAGTTTCAGTAGTAGTGGTGTTTCTTTTTATGGAATAGGGCTGCTAGACTCATGCCCAACCTTCCCTCTTTACAGGTTTCATTACAGTCTTAAGAAGGTTTAGAAGAGCGTCAATCAAAAATTAAACCCCCAACCATATATGCGTGTTTGGCCAGAATTTTCACCGCTGTACCACTACTGACCCAGATATATATATACAATTTGATTGATATGTGCACTGTTTCATAGACACTTCAACACAGTTAATTATTAGAAATTCGCAGTGATTATAAATGTGACAGGGTTTTGTGCCGGCTGCCCACAACCGCCTAATAACATTAATTCAAAGTGTAGCTGGTGACGATAATGAGTCACCTAGTCTGGTGACCATGTTGACAACTCGAGTGATAGATACTGGTCAACAATAACACTAAAAACTAGGCACAAAACATTGCTTACACCAAAGTGACTCATCAATATGATGTGTATATTGTTACATTACTGGTACAACCAAAGAGTTTGATTAGTCTACTGGGATCAATAGACAATAAGATGATTTATGCAATCAAAATATAACTAAATCATCCAGTCTTAGAAGTGTGGTGAGAGCAGGCTGCTAGCCAATTGGTAGACATTAATCTACGTCAATGTCTAGGTCACTAATATTGGCCGTGAGAAAATATGAACAAGGCTGATTCAACAACCAATCACAGCAGACTTAACGTGGGCGAATATGATTCGCAGATAGATGGCTCCACATTCCGAGGTTACCTGAAACAACCAATCAGAGGACTGCGTTTGTCTACTTGAATAAGTTATAATAATGTATGTGAAATAAATATAAATACGTGTTGATTTCCGTAATAAAACAATCTGTTGCCGACCCTTGTCTTCTGTTGTTACAGAAGTACCCTATAAACTATTTTTTCAAAAATATATCACTCGGGTAATCCCTTAAAAATAATCTATGATATAAAATAGTAAATGTCTAGAAATCAATGCGACACTACATGTGAATAGAAGTAACTAAATAGTGTTTACATGAGAAGTGACATACCTGAATTCAACCAATTGTGAAAATCGACCATTCTCCTTTTTTAATAAAGTAGGTAAATGCATTAAAACAGTTTTGAAACCTAAGAAAGTAGCATAATTTGGTGGGATAACGTCTGGTTTACACAACCGTGGAAATTGGTCTTCAGTTATACCTGATAATATAGGCAAGACTGAGGAATCATCGGTAGTTCTACGGGTACGACTTGAAGACACTTCAAATAATTCTATTTCACTTTTATCTATATCTAATAATTTCAAACACAATGCCTCTGCCATTTCCAGGGAACGTTTTTTTTCCTCCTCAGATTGACTGTACAGATGAGTACATACACTTTGCGGCAAATCACGTAAAACAGGTGGCATATATTTCCGTTGTGTACAAACGCGCCCCTATACAAAATGATAATCAAAACAGAATATAATTGGAATTAAAACACCATTGTCAATAATAACGATTCTAGGCAAGTGAATGTTATTGTAGACATGATGACTTAGTAAGAATTAATGAGAACATTGTCTGCCTGTCTATCTGTCTGTCTGTTTTCGAGATAGAACTTTACACTTATGTGCACCAGTTCAAGTCACCACACTCCTTCCTTGTACCACACAAAGCAACAGAAGAAAGTACAAGAAATGCAAAATAGAGACAGTAAACAGAGATGTGAGACAAAGGAATAATAGTAACGAAGAACAAAACAGTTTCATTGGAAATCATAAGTCACAAGGAGTGAATGCATCTAAGCCAGCCATTGAGAACGATCTCTTTTAGCCATGTCACCAATTGTTTCCAACCATTGGTTTTTACCGTCCCGAGGACCCCAACCGGGAAGTCTACATCTTCCTACGTGACTGGCTTAAACTAACTGTTGTGGATTTCATTGACTGGTGAGGCCATGTTTTGGTTTGACCTCCGCTAGTTCTTTTCCAGCCTGACCAATCCTATGTCAACTAACACTGCCCACTGTCGAGGAAGGCGATGACTAGGTGTGTATGCGTAACACTTGTCCTAACCATCTCAGTCGTGGTAATTTCACAGCCTCGTCGATTGATTTCCCCTCCCACCTACCCAGCACTCGACTGAAGCCTAACCTCAATATTCCTCATCTTATCAAAACAACTTCACACGGGAGATAAAACGCAGGCACCTATGATCGAAGACAGCTAATCTTTTCATGTCTTCCACAGGTCTCACAGCCAGAAATAAAGGAGGACGGAGCGGACTGCTGAGCAGTACACTCGCCCTTTGGTCGATAGTCGGATATCATCTCTACTAAGCTAGAGACGGCGTAAACTGGCATATGCGAAACTAGCCCTCTGTATCCGTTCTCAGCTGAGATTTTGTCAGAGATCAACCCGTTGGGGCTGTTAGGTCATGGACTTTCTAGTTAATAAAAAAACATCTTATTTATACATTCTAAGCTACATTAAAGTTCGTCTAGGTCAAAGAAGTACAAATTGTTCTGATTGGTTGGCGATTGGCCAAAGATTAAACGAGTTTTCCAAGATGAACTCTGCAACCTATTGACTTAAAAAATTTAATTTCAGTTTTAGCAGCTTCCTCTTTATCAATCGTCATCACGCTATAATTGTATCACATCCAATTTAATGTATACTGTTATCAATAATACTCTCATAAACGACAAGTCTCTAAGCAAAATTTAAGCATACTACAAGATAGGCTAGATAAATTATTCATTCGATATAAGTATATCATTAAAAGAAGAAGACGTATAATAATATCATCACTTACAGTCCTGGATTGTTGTCTTCGATACCAAGCAGCTGTATTTAAAGAATAGTAATTTCCAGGATCCCGTCTTTTTCTTTTTCCGTATAACTTAAGCAGATTTCGAATTCGCAGTAACGATTGACATCTGTCTGCGGATATTTCTAAGGAATCACTATTCGCAGTTGAACTAGAGGCAGTTACACTAGCAGTAGTAGTTGTTGTTGTCGTAGTACTCTTACTATTGCAAGCTGTAGTAGTGGTGGTAGTATTACGTGTAGACTTATCTCGGGAGTTATTTCTACTGTTTACAGGTGATAAATTCTCTTTCTCAACTGATAACTCAGTAGAAGAAGGAGAAGCATAAGAAGTATTTGAGCGGTCTACAATTTTCGATGGTGAAATACCATGTTTCTCTAGTATAGCGTTTCTTAATGCTCTTTTACATCGTGTACTTTTTCGCACTGGTAAAGTTTGAGAGCCAAATTTGAACTGTTTTCGACGTCCAAAAGTCCTGTAAGCAATAGATTTTTGACGAAGATGCGACACCATTGTACGTGCAATAATAGGGCCTACCTATGAAGAGAAAAGTATCAATAAACAAAATATTTTTTTCTAAAAATAAACATATCGTTATTGAAAACCAACCAAACAAACACCATTTTAAGCACTACTAAGTTTGGTCAAAGATTGATATCAGTTAGAGAACTATTGAAAACCAAGGAGTATTAGACAGTTGTCTCGTCACAATTCAGGACTCTTAGATCAGTATGCAGTAATGACCCCACACCAGCGGCCGAACCCAGAACCTTCGGATTACCAGGTGAGCTCGCTGACCATTCTGCCAATATGACAGAATCCAGTGGAACATTAATTGTAACTCCTCTTAATACGCGATTTTAGCACGATCGCCAGTTAAAATCACCAGCCATTATTCGTCCTCACACACTCGACCTGGTGGGTGGGTCCCACTGACCATGACTACTTCTCACTGAGAAATGCAGGAAAAGTTCATTCCGTATTCAGTCACTACCAACAATCAGACTAATTTTCAAGAGTAAGTTCGAAGGAAGATTTGATTTCTTAGTTAGAGAACTATTAAGAGAACAAAAGACTATTGGCCAGTTGTTTCGTCCCAGTTCAGGACCCTTCGGAGGCAAGCACCCATGCCCCCGCCAGCGATCGAATCCAGAACCTTCAGGTTATGAGACAAGCTAGTTTACGATTCTGTCAAAAGGACAGAATAATCTGCTAGCTCGGGTGTAAGGCTAAACACTGACCAGTGACATTGGCTGGCAACCGTGCTATTGATATTGCAAATTACCAGAAGTTTGAATTCATGGTCCATTACAATCTGTCTCAGTAGGACAATGGTAAAGGAGCCTGCCACGTAGTCTAGACATCCTGGGTTTGACTTCCAAGGGATTATGTGTACGTACTGCTGATAAGTCTGAGACTAAGAAGAAACAGATAACCAGTAGTATTCCCTGGTTTTCGAATACTTCTCTGTCCAACTGATGTCAGATGCTGATTAAACTAGAAACAAATCAAATCCCTAAAAAATGACTTCTGAACATTACTAAATCTGCTATACAGCCTAAGACAAACAATATGCATGAAATAAATACAAGGATTATAAGACAGGATACAGGGTTAGGCTGGAAAAGAACTAGCGGAGGTCAAACAAAAACATGGCCTCACCAGTCAATGAAATCCACAACAGTTAGTTTAAGCCAGTCACGTAGGAAGATGTAGACTTCCTGGTTGGGGTCCTCGGGACGGTAAAAACCAATGGTTGGAAACAATTGGTGACATGGCTCAAAGAGATCGTTCTCAATGTCTGGCTTAGATGCATCCACTCCTTGTGACTTATGTTTTCCAATTAAATTATGTTGATCTTCGTTACTACTATTCCTTTGTCTCACACCTCTGCTTACTGTCTCTATTGTGCCTTTCTTGTACTTTCTTCTCGTTTTGTGTGCTACAAGGAGTTTGGCGACTTGAACTGCCGCACATATATGCAAAGTTCTATGTCGAAAACAGACAGACAGATTATAAGACAAATACATGTCTTATATCAGTATCCTTTCATAAAGCAGAATAAATCGAATCTTTATATACCTGTTAACAAATTGAGTGATGATAAAGACTATATGTTGTCTGTTTCATGTATTTATGAATGTTTTGAGAAATTTTCATTAATTTTTTATTTAAAATCATCAAAATTTCGACTGTGTATGATTCATAAACAACATACTAGACTGGTCAAAATATTTCACAGCTGTGATTGACGAAAGAAAAACATGTTATCACTATATAGGATATTCGACTGATACAAAGTAATACAAATATTATTACAAAAAGACAGTATTCTGTCGACATCTTTACTTAAGAGAAGGAAATTTATTTATCAATACATATTCCAAAATATCATTATTTAGCTGATGACATAGTGTCTTTCATGTTAACACTAACAAATCCCCTCATTTCCTCATGACCTATTTATGAACATAAAAATAATCATTTCAACAACTGTTATCGCTACAACACATATGCATACATAAGCGAAGATCGTATTCTCTATCCTAAAATCAGTAGCCAACTGATGGTAGCCTATTAGCTACAAGTTATTACGTTCTGAACCTGAAAGAAACAACCTCCTTTACCTACCGAACTGGGAATCATCCTCTCAACTACAGGCGGACAGAACTGATGAGGATATCGAAGCAAGGAACGGGAAAGCAAGGAAAGCTTTCATTACTCTCAAGTCTGTGTGGAGGTCAACACAGCACTACTCAGCATCAAAAATAAGGTCCGGATTTTCAACTCCAATGTGAGGTCAGTGCTACTTACTATACGGATCACATACTCGGCGCGTCACCAAGGGCACTTAGAACAAACTACAGACTTTCATCAACAGCTGTCTTTGCTCAATACTACTCAAGATCAGATGACTGGCCAGAAAAGATCACCAACAGGGATCTCTGGGAGCTAACCAACCAACCAACCAACCAGGAACCGATTGCGCAGCAAATAAGCAGGAAGAAATGGAGGTGAATTCGCCATACTCTGAGAAAACCATTAAGTGACATCACACGCCAGGCTATCGCTCGAGTGGAAGCCGAATGAGAAGCGGCGAGTTTGTCGTCAGTGCGAAGGAGACATTGAGGAGGTAATGTGAAGAGAAGAATGAGAGTGTGTGGGCAGACGTGGAGCCAGGTGAAAAGGTTGGCAGAGAAGCGAACGCAATGGAAACGCGCGACTGAAGCCCTACGTTCCTCTAGGAATTAGAGGAAATAATAATATATAATAATAACAATAATATTAAGTTCTGAGTTCAAGAATTGTGATATACATTCTTTTTATAGGTTATGATGCCAATAACTTGTACAATAAACAGTTTAATTGGTACTAGCAGTACTTATTACCTAACTTTTAAACAACAAAAAGAAAGATTTACAACAGCAGATTTTAACAGAAAATCGATAATCTAGGTATGCTGCGAAATTTCATTAATTTTTTAAAACTGATTGATTTTCAAAGGATATTCTAGATATTCTACTTCCTCAAAAAGTATCTAAACGACAAAGTGCATCAGTGTTGAGTGACTATGGAGTGCAGAGAATATAGCTTCTTGAATTCGACCACCACAGACTACCTTTTAGAACTTATGTCCATACAAAGACTTTATTGCCTGTTACCGACCCACATGGGTTAACTTGGAATATATAATTCTAGAGATTAACCTTTTCAACCCCTTCCGCAGAGTATGTCTGGCTTACTGATGGTTAATGGGAAACATCTTGTGGTGGTGTGATATAGACAATGTGTGCTAGAGGAATATTATTTTCACATATTCCCTCAGTTTAATTCGGCATTAGCAACAGAATACTATGTATATTTGAGCATTCTATATTTCATGCCGTTTGATATAAACCGAAATCATACGCTCAGTGACTTGGTTAGAGAATATATAAGCTGTACATATATAGGCAGCGGTTTGATTAATGAAAAATATACCTTGGCTCCCGAGTCTTACATCTTCTGTTATTACAATCTTACTACTGTGAAACACCTATTCTTCAGCAGTACTGTTTTATTCACAGAACACCCCGCCCCACCCCCCGGTCCCAACGTAGTGTAGTAAATAACTTACACCAATGGTGATAACTGCTTTCACTTCAACAGCTATCCAAACGACCATTTATAGTATGTGGTAGGAGGTGAATGAAAAATCACTTCAGTCAATATAACGCCTTCGATTATTACAATATGCAAGTTAGCTATTGATAGTGTTGAATACATGATTAGTAGTATGCATGATTCTAACCTTAAGAAAAAAAATAACGTTCAGTAACTTAAGCTGTCCACAGGAAAATATGGAGCGGATTTTCAGCTTAAACAAATCTAATTTATGGAAATATAAGATATGGTATGCCTTCAGCATTAACTAAAGATTTCAATAATACTGTAATGCATCTCGGTAAACTAACTATAATTATGCTAATTATAAACACCCTGAGCAATGTGCTATATTCCCACTTAAATGCGTTTAAACGAAATTATGAGAATATCGAATCGATACACCTAAAGGATAACAGCGTAACAAAAAATAACACACAAAGTTCTTCCGTCCTAGTTTAGGACTCTTCATCAGTATGTATCCACTGGGATTATAACGCAGAACCTCCCAGTTACAAAATGAACTCTTAGACCATTCAACTACACACAAACCAGCCAGTTCAAGATTTCAGACTGTACAACCATTATGGAATCTTGAGTGAAAGATACTCACAGTGAAGACCGGAATGTACAGTGAACTGAGTAAATGTCAATGGCGAAAATCAGTATAAAAATACCAAATATCTACAATAATGTGATCGATTTTCAATCATATTACCAAGTCTCGAATAATCACTAACTTCTACCACTTTCACACACCTCATAGAGGATAACCACATTTATTCAAGTTGTATACGCACAACTGTGTAGATGTATTTATTTAAACGCATAAAAAAACTTAGTACAATATGTCACCAAGAAGGATGCGCCACAAAATAATGATAAAACAACATAGATCAAAAGAAAAAAAGAAAGGAGAAAAAATATATAAGTAGAGAACGGATAAAGAACTTCATCTGGAAGGAAAACAGTCATGCTTAACAAGTTCAAACAGTATTCGTTAACTATCATCGGGAAGGGAAGAAAGAAGGAAATTGCAACACGTCCGCCACTGATTACGATTCTTGGCCATATCCGATAACGTTTCGAGCCATCGATTTCATCAACCAGGGAGTCGTGAGACACCAACGGGTTCTAATCTAGCACAAATACCTTTCATCCCACGACACCACATCATGGACTGACCATCCTTCCGCCTTTTCCATCCCATCCCAGGGCTAGCGAACAGAGACCTGTACGTAAGCCTCTAGGATGACATTCCCACCACATACCCAAGCCGACGGAGCAGGTGTTTCCAGATGACGACACAATAAGTGGTAGTCTCGACTGTGTTTGAAACCAACGCCACCGAACCTCAGAATTACTCACGCGATGATGCCATCCATCGAATGCAAACAATCCTGCGGAGACAGCGATGATCGAACACGCAGAGTAGCTACACATACTCAGCCTACTCGGAGAGGCCAGGTTTCATAGGCGTAGAGCAAGAAAGCTCACACCAAAACATTATATACCCGACTTCATACAGCCAGACTAACGTCTCAACAGCGCCAGAGGTGGCTCAAGTTGATGTTTGCCACCCTATCCTTCATGATACGGTTGGAAATCTTATCCGTCACCCCTCCACCAGCACTCACACAACTACCCAGATACATGAACTTATTGACAACTTCAAGCTGTTCACGTGCAAGAGTGAGTGCAGGTACAGATGCAGGCTCCTGCCAATCTCGTAACAGTACTTTGTACTTAGATGGTGGAAAGTACATACCATAGTTACAGACACTGGTCGCTAACTGATTAAGTGCGATTTGGGCAGCCTGCATGCTATGTCACAGTAAGACGATATCGTCTGCATACTCGAGGCCGAAAAGTCTATCTCCAGGTAGCAGATCTACACCACCTTCACGCACATCCTTCAGAGCTGACTCCAGAATGTCATCGATGGCAAAGTTAAAGAGAAATGGAGAGATTGGGCAACCCTGTCTAACCCCACTGTTGGTTGGGAACAGTGGTGATAGTTGGTTGTATGCCCTCACTCTATCTGAGGCTTTCAAGATGTTAACAAATTTCTCAGGTACACCTCTCTCTAACAGACAGTTCCAGAGCACAGTTCTGTCCAACGAATCGAAGGCAGCCCTAATATCAAGAAACACAACGATCGTTGGCCTGCAATACGTGTGGCGGTGTTCCAACAACTGACGAAGGGTGAACACATGATCAATGCATCCACGACCTGAACGAAACCCAGCCTGCTCTTCGCGAATCAATCCTTCACGTATTTTGCACAGTCTGCGAAGCAAGACAGCAGCCAATATTTTAGACGCGACTGGTAACAGACTGATACCCCTATGATTGTCACACGAATTACGTCGACCCTTTTTAAAGATGGGGACGATAATGGCTTCGTTCCACATTGATGGTACACTCTCTGTCTCCCACACCTTCCTGAACAACCCAGTTAGAGCCATTGTGAGAGTCTCGCCACCATCTTTAAAAAGAGCCGGGGGTAATTTGTCTGGGCCGGGCGCCTTATGGCGTTCCTTACGGACCTCCGCTTCGGTGGGTGGGTCGGTACTAACCGACCAAGGAGCACTCGGGCTAATGATAGTAGACACTGAAGCTGGTGGCCAGCTGAACTGCTTCCCGAAGTGCTCTGCCCAGCGTTCCAGGCGTCTTTTCAGGCTGGTAATTGGAGTGCCATCTGCCTCACAGACCGTCTCGCTGACACCTTGTTTCTTGCTGCCGGTGGCTCGTATGAGTTGGAACAGCTTCCGACTGTTGCCAGATGCAGCAGCTGACTCCATCTCACACGCACGTTCTGACCACCAGGCTTCGCGGTCCTTACGTAAACACTGTCTAATCTTGCGCGTGAGCGCCTTTCGCTGATTGTTGTATTCGCTGCCAGCCGGAATGGACCGGCGTTCATCCATGAGTTGCAAGGAACTCGCAGAAACCCAGTGGTTGTTAGCGGAGCATTCTTTCAAGCCGCAAGCGGCTACACTCGCCTTTTGCATGGCACCTTGCACATGAAGCCAATGTTCATCTATACTACTTGGGGGTTGCTGGCAAGCATTGTTTTTAACTCATTCTGATATTTCAAAGAAGTAGCAGGTGCTACTAGTTTGCTCACATCAACGCTTAGACGACGGCTTTTACGAACCCCACCAAATCGCAAGACGAACTTGGCACACACTAACGCATGATCGGAGTCCAGGCATGTGCTCCAGAAGGAGCGACAGTCTTGTATGCATCCTCGCCACCGGAAACTGACCGCGATATGATCAATCTGAGTCCAAGCTTGCTTCGCAGAGGGAGGACGCCAGGTAGCGCTACGGCGATGGCTGTGCCGGAAGTTGGTGCTGGCTAGAAATAGGTTGTGATCCGCGCAAAGCTGCAGAAGACGGTCCCCATTATCTGACCTGCGACCATGTAGTCCCCACTGACCACCTAGACGATTCTCCTCTGAGCTTAGACGCCCAACCTGTGCATTCAAGTCCCCAGCCAGCACTACGATATCCCTCCGACCCGCCTGTTTCAAGAGATCGCTCAGTTGGTAGTAAAACTCATCCTTCATTGCATCCGGGCTGCAATCCGTCGGTGCATAGGCAGAGACAACAAATAGACACCGCCTATCTGGCCTACTACTCCTTACTTTATAACCTTCCAGCCTCACAGCACATAAACGACTGTTAATGGGAATCCAGTCGAGCAGTGCAGCTTCGGCTCTAGCGCTCAGTGCGACACCGACACCAGCTACGCCGGATGCCGACGCCACAGGGTCCCCGGATAAGCGCAGGTGGTACATACTACTAGAACTTCCAGATGGAGAGGATAGTCGAAGCACTTCACTGGGATCTTGAATGCGGGTCTCCGAAATGCAGCAGACATCGATAGCGAGGCTTTCCAAAGTTCTTGCCAACCCTGCCTGTTGTCCGATTTGCATCAGCGTCCGAACATTGTAGGTAGCCAGCTTGAACGCGGCACGCGGTTTCAGGATATCTGTATTAGATGTCACATTGGGGGCAAACATTTTGAGGACTACTCACTAACATTTCGAAACGACACAGATAGGCTGGGAATCTAGACAAAGGCAAAAGGCTATCGAAGGTTAGGAAGTCAAGTTTAGAAAAGATATAATACAGGAAACTATGTATAAAAATAAAAGTAAGGTAGGAAGAACACAAGTTACTGGAGGCATCGATACTACTTGGAATCATTGTGCAATAGCACGCGATAAGTTTCACTGATTGTTTCTTGCTTCATTCAATTCATTGTGTGAGGGCTGAGATACTGCCCGGACGCCCAGACCGAAGCAGGTGGTTTTATTAAGAGACTACCCCCCCCCGAGCCTTTGACTTGGAGTCTAATCTGGAAGGCAGCAGAGCAGCGTCAGGAGCTGCATTCCCATGGTTTCCGGTGACCCATATGGGTTGATACGCCATTTGATCCGATTGGATACTGGAGCCCATGTACCCCATGGTAACTGCTTCTAGTTTAACCGCTATCCAGAAAACCTTCCTGACATGGTGTGACGTGTAGGGACATGAGTCCCAATCAGTTTAGCTTATTGGGTCATTGCGGTATTCAAGCCCGACCACCACGGCAAGGTAGCAGTTATCGGCAGGGACTGTGTAGATGAGAGGCATAATAAACAATAACAATGATAACGATGACAAGGTTTACAGATCTGATGTATAGATGAAGATATACAAATGACTATTCCATTAAGAAAGTAATTGAAAAAGTTTTACCCCCTCTACACACCTAGTTTTGGTGTCTTCAGTAGTATATAGCCACCGGGGTTCTAACTCAGGACTTTCCGATTACAAGGCAAGCTCATAGACCATTCAGCTATTGCAGCCCAATCACGAGGTTGGGAACCCAGTGGGCACCTACTACTAAGGAGTCCCAAGCTGGGGTGAAACAGCTATCCAGTACTCCCTATTGGTTTCCAATAGTTCTCTTATTGATTTCAACCTGTGATCAAACCTGTAACTAATTAAATCCCTGCAAATCAGAATTTAATAAAATAAATTTTCTCACATAATAAATGTCCTCTTGTAAGCAGCACCCAACACCACCAAACACAACCATCATCTTATGCAGACCTATAGAAACAAAACATAGGTAATAAAATTATAAAAATTATTATTACTGTAATCATAACTTATATGACTTACATTTCGTAACATTGATATTTTCGTGATTCGTTTTAAGAACGCTTTAATCTTTGGATCACGCATTGCCCGATCGAACGTCATCCAAAATAAGTGTTCTTTACGTAATAATAACAATGCTCGATTATCTTTCCGTCTGCGAATTGTTCTTGGTAGAGAATAAACTGAGGAAGGACGAAGAGACACAGATAATGATGTAGGAAGTGTTAATGAGGAGGGGATTGGAACTCCAGCTAATATATAAAGTTGCCTACGTATTGGACCAACTAAAACATGTTTCACCTAGAATATACAAATATGGGTTAATAAGAAACTAAAATGTACAAATACAATGATATATATATATATATAAATTCAAGAATGGCAAAATTAACTTAAATGTGCATTTCATTAAAAGATGAGTTACCTTCCACCAGTGTTTCCTGTACTGAAATATAAGGAGTACTAACACACATGTTAGACTAAGAAATAGCTAACGGATGGAAGCGTTGTCAATATGCGCTTCTAACTTCTCATTGATATTCATGTAATACGGTTTAAAGTAATTTTCACTTGTTAGATTTTCTTCACAAACAAATATCAGTTAGAAAGATAATAATCTCAAGGTCCCGGATTCCATCCCTGGTAGAGTTGTGAGTGTATACATTGCTGAAAAGTTCCAAAATAGGACGAAGTTCCATGGTTTTCAATAGTCTCTTTAACTGATGTTGATTCATAATGAAAGTCTAATAACAGAAATTAATTCGAATCCCCACATATCCCAGACAACTTATGTGGTTACTACTACTAATAACACATTAACCTTAAGTAATTTAAACAAACTATCAATATTCACCACCAGAAAACTTTTTTGCCTAACAGTAGCCTGCTTCCGCGAGGCGTTTGGAGTAAACACAGGAGTCAGACAAGGGTGCTTATTATCATCAATTATATTCCTAGTTTTGGTGGAGTAGATTATGCGTCAGACAGTGGGAAACGAGAAGACAGGGATATCCTGGACCGACGTAAAGAAGACCTGGATTTCCCAGATGATCTATGTTTGATGTCACACAAAATTGAAGACTTACAAGCGAAAACCGACAAACTGGTCGAACAAGCAGCTGGCGAAGACAGAACTCCAAGTGAACATAGACAAAACGAAGGCTATGAAAATAATCAACCACCACCACCAACAACAACAACAACACCAGAAACATCCAGCGCCAACCACCATCAACGGGAGGGATTTGAAAGAGGCCTACTTCATTCACTTATCTTATCTAGGGAGCATTGTCTCAACTACAGACAGTCGGAACGGACGAGGATGTCAAATCGAGCGAGAATCGGGTGGTGGGCGAGAAACACATTCATCAACCAACCTGAAACCAATCTGGAAATCTTCGTCACTCAGCCAGGATCAACAACAAAATTCGGTAGGATTTTCAATACAATCGCCAAGTCGGTCAGTTCTTCTATACGGATCAGATCAGAAACTTGGCGGGCGGGTCACAAAGAATATTTCCAACAGCCTGTTGTAGACTAACCTTTATCAACAACTGTCTTCGCTGGATCTATACTCAAGATCAGATGGCCGGGTCGGAAAGAATCACCAACAAGAAACTATGGGAACAAACAAACAAAACAAGAACCAATAGCCAACCAACAAATATGCAGGAGAAAGTGGATCGAGATGGATTGGACACTCGCTGAGGAGACCGCTGGCTGACATTGCGCGCGCGTCAGGCCATTCCTCGAGTGGAACCTGATAGAATGGGAAGTGGCGAGTGGGACGTCAGTGCAAGGGTGAGTGTCACGGAGGAGATCGTGTGAAGAGGAGTTGAAACAATATAGACTAACCTGGATGCAGGTGAAAAGTACAGCAGTGGAGACGTGCAGTTGAAGCCCGATGTTCCACTAGGAACCCAAGGAAACAATAATAATAATAAATAGCCTGCCTTAACCATCATTGGATTAACTAAATTTTCTACCCATTTAAATGCATCGTATTTCGCTCCATTTCACTGGTGTTTTTAGATCATCCAATCACGTCAGTGAGTCACATTCAATATTCGTGCATATTTCAATTCCACTTCGACTTCCCTGTCACCGTCTTTACTGTTGTCATCATCGTACTTTTAAATTCTTTAGACAAAATTTGACTGACTATTTTTTTAAAATATTAACACTAATTCACACTCATTTAGTAATAGTCTTGAGAAGTTTTATAATTCATCCACTTCAACACTACCACCACAACCCCCTCCCCCACCCTAATATACCACTTTAATGATCTTTATTCTTATCATTGACTGTCTATTGACTGTGAAATTTCTAGTACCATTCAATGCTTTTTTTCCGTAGTATAAATACGAATGTTGATATGTATGCACATGATGTGTTTTGTTTTTGACAGTCTGTTATATTTTGGTATGTGTAGATGGATCGATATTTCATTATGACCGACAATATGCTTCTGTCTGTCCACTAACTAAATAAACATGTATGACCTTGCTGTCACATAACATTACAACCAATCATGGTAAGACTGGTTCATGTGTATTAGCCATTTTCATATATACTCTTGCTTTGTACACTTTTAGTTATTCTTGTGTTCACACACATTTCGTACATCTAAGTACCCTTCTACTCACACACTTGTGTGACATTTATTTTCCTTGTCTGGGAAAATACAAGTATCATCGTAAACCTGGTGGTCTTCTGACTTTCCTCTCTTCTGCGTCAGGACTATTAACTACTCGACGAGTACATAACATAATTGGCGACGGGGAAAACTCTAATAGCTCATTCAGCAGCAGTACATAACAACTGTACAGCTTGTAAATGAATTCGCTAAAAAAAAAGAAATATTCCTTCACTAAACACAAAAGAAAAACTGTTTTCCCTTATGGAATTAACAGTTTTATATTTCGAGAAATAATTAAGACGCAAATTTTGCATATTATAATATAAACAAATTGTCTTTAAGAATACACCCACCTACCCACACACCCCCAAAAAAGAGAAATGATGAAAAGAATAAGTCAGTTACCTGAGTTTGATATATCATCCATTTAGATTCTGGGCCTGGAAGACGTCCAAATAAGTCTTGATTTGAAATCTCAGAGATTCTTTCTAAATCTGTTAATTCACTATTATCATAATTATTGTTGTTATTACCACTAGTACTGGGAGCAATGGTAATAACAGTACTGGTAACAGAAGTATTCGTCGTCGTCGTCGTAGTAGTAGTAGTAGAAGCAGTGTCCTCTTCTAATCCAGACAAGTCATTCAATTGACTTGAAGAAATAATATCTGTAGTATTAAAGATATTATTAGGGTGTAAATGTTGTTGCATTAAAACACAAGAGGCTAATTCACTTAATAGTTGCATAAAATCTTGATCTATTTGACTCGGTTTCCAATCACTTTTTAACCATGTGTAATTAGATTTGACAGGTAATTTCGCTGTCTTCCAAGAAGTTAACTAGAGAATATAAAAAGAGGATATAAATTTTAAAAAAAGCAATGAAACAAGCACATATATTATTAATCTACAATACAATAACTTTGAAATAGTAGAGAAGATTTGTAGTTGAAATGGATGATTTTCATTAAACTCTCTTCTCTGATCTGGTTGATTAAATTATGAAGCTTTAGTTGTCCATCTAAGCAACATCTTCAGAGCTTTAATAGAGCTTTAATAATGAATTGAACGTATTCGAATTCTACATGAATGATATAAGTGTATCTCCAGGTCAATGAATATGATCCCTAAGCTTCTCAAATGATCCAAAGCAGTTTGCTTACAAACAGGGTAGAGAAGTACTTTAGATGCTGCTGCTGTATTTCATCACAACATTGTATCCTCCTTAGACAAAGGGGCCAAGTATGTCCGTTGTACGTTTCTTGATCACACATCTGCTTTCGACTCTGTACCTGGAGGCCTTTTGTCAAACAAGCTTAGCCTTAAACAAAATTAGTCCTGGGCTATTAACTGGCTGCAAGCTTACTTCTCCAATAGGATGCAGTACACGGTATATAATGGTGTAGCTTCCTCTCCTTTGCTTACTAAAGCTGGTGTTCCTCAGGGTGCTCTTCTCTCTCCGTTTCCGTTTTCCTTCTTTTTACATGACTTACCTCTTTCAGACGAAATCAATTTCGTTAAATATGCAGATGACCTGACTGTTTCGCTACCCGTTAAGTCTCAGTCAGATTGTTTCAAATTAAATAGCTTCCTGTCGGACATCAGTCAGTGGTCTAAACCAAGTGGCCTCATGTTGAATCTCTCAAAATGCCAGACTATTGACTTCTCCTTTAGGCATAAACCAGATCTACAAACACCAGTAAGCACTTATGAAGCCTGTAGCATTGAGGGGACTAAAACTGAAACCAAGTCTAATGCAAAATACCTCGGTCTAGTTCTATCTTCCGATCTTACTTGGTCATCTCATAGCCTAACGATTTCTAAGAAAGTGTTTCGTCTAACCTACTACATTAAGAAACTTAGACTAACTGGAGTCACTCAACCTCTGCTTTCACAATTTGTCAACTCTCGTATCTTACCTATTCTACTTTACTGCTCCCCGTTAGTCTTTCCTGGGCTACTGAAAATGGACTATACCATCTTTTCGCTTCCCCCCCCCCGCCGCCGGCTTCTATTTTTCTCTTGACTCTCTTAAGAGATAATTCTTCCTGATCTTCTGAGTTCTGCTCCCTGTATTACATCATCAACTTCTCATCTGACCTCATGTGCACCGAAATTTTAAAATTTTGATCTTCTCTTATCTAATTACGTAACTATTGATAATTGTCTTTTGTTACCACCCCAACAACACAAATGTTAATTAATTTCTTTTGAAGAAACTTCTCTCTACCGAGATATATATATATATATATTTATGTCGTCACACTTTAGACACCCTGTAAATCTCAACACCTTATTTTACTATGGCGCTCTGACAGTATGCTTGCTAATGGACAAAAGTTTGTTAAAATTGTACACTTTTTATTTTTATTTAAAAAGCATTCAGGTTGTACGCAGCTGATGAGAACCAACGAAATAAAATGGATCCAGATTATTCTGCGCCAATGTTTCTTTTTTTGTTTTTCATAGATATTTTAGGCATTATTAGGTATATGTTGTACGAAATTGTGAGATGGAAATTAAAGGATACCGGCTATTCAAACAGTACTTAAATTCAGAAGAAAATCGGGTCCCAATGGCTCAATGGTCTACAAGCTCGCTAGCCTTGTAACCAGAAGGTCCTGGGTTCAAATCCCGGTGGGTGCATACTGATGAACAGTCCCAAACTAGGACGAAACAGCTCTCCAGTACTCCCAGGTTTTCCAGTGGTTCTCTAACTGATGTCAGCTCATGGTGAAATCCTCCATACAATCAAACAAAATCCCTACAAAACCAATACTTGAAAAATATATAACCTAACCAGAAAATTTTTACAATAAACCTGTTGATATCAAAGATGATATTTTATTTTACATCTATACATTTCTAACTACGTCTAGCCAGGAGAGAGAAGTATCTTAAAGTTTAGAAGTTATTGAATTATTTGAGACTGACAAGCAGTGTATAGTATACTGTTCAACAGACACAAGAGCTTGGCAAAGAGCTACGCCTATTTATATAAGTGCTAATGACACTGCTTCATAGATGGACAGATGTTTGAACCCGGTTAGATATGCATCGTGAAGTTACACAAATAACGTGAAACACTTAAATGGTTCGATTTACGACGTCAATTATTTGTCTATCCTGAAACTCGTGTCTGTTCAGAAAATATTGTGGGATCCAATTGGCTGGAAACTATTGGTGATATGGGTGAAATCGTCCTTAAAGTCGCAGATGCATTCATTCTTTGTAATCTCCCATACCATTAAGTTCTCACATCTCTCCACGAAATTATTCTTTCTTCCGTACACTTCTATTGAGTTAGTATTTTTTTCTCCACTATCGTGTACTTTACATGGAGTATGTGACAACTGTTGCACTTCTGTACGAAGTTCTACGTTGAAACTCAAGCAATCAATCAGTTAGTCAGTCAGTCAGTCAAACATAATATATTAAGTTTTTAGACTTATATTTACTTTTAAAACAATTAGTTCCCTTTATGAATTTAGATAGAGCAATAAGAAGACGTAATTTGTCTGAATCGTGTAATGTATTTGCGCAACACATTTCGAACGCAATCTGATCACACACGAACTTGTCATAGGAATATATATGAAATTAATAAAGAGGTAAGAGGTGAGAAAAATAGACTTAGGTCAAGTTAAAAGGACATATTCAAGGTCAAAATAACAATGAAGACCACTAAACCAAATAGCAGAGGTAATAGTACATCTGCTGTGGTATCAAAACAAAATTTAACAAGGAAGATTTAATGTGATGACAAATTGTTTTTGAACGCATAAAGGTGGCTTGAACTTTCTAATTGCTAGGGGTTCCATAAACTTTAGGATACGCCCCAAACACGTTTTATAGATAGGTTTAAAAGATCTGTTAACATCAATTTTATGTCCTGTCTCTATAATATGTTTCGCAATAGAAGAGCTAGGTCTCCTGTTCTCACCGTTAATTGGTTCTGAAGATTCCATTTGTTTCTGGAGCCATTTAGGAATATGCTTTGAAGCCCTTACTTGCAGAGATCGATGAGTCCTCCCTATGTATGTGTATCCAGACGTACATTCAAATTGGTAAATACAGTGGGATGTGACGTCATTTTTCGCATGTTCGAAGGGCTTGGATAGTTCTATGGCTTTACATTCTCTATTATTATGATATTAGCTGCTTAAAGAGTCTTTTTAACAGCAGCGTTCAACCTTTGTCTAGTTATCAAGCTGCTTTGATGTCCCATATAGGGTAGCTTGATGTACAGGTCTTTCTTAGGGGCGAGTTGGAGAGTGGGTCTTGGTGTTCTGACTACTTTATATCTCCTGATGAACTTGTCTGGATAATTGTTATCAACCAGAGTTTGTGTCAATTTTCTTTCTCTTCATCAAGCGTGTCTTCAGTGCATATTCGTTGGATTCTACTGAAGAGGCACCTTACTAAGGCTCTTTTGTAGCGAATAGGGCAGAGACTGTGGTAATTAAGATACTGTCCTGTCCAGGTAGGTTTTCAATAAATAGATCTTTTTATTGACCCATCAAGCCGTCGACTAAGCAATATGTCTAGGAAAGATAAACAATTATCTTCCTCTTCTACAGATGTAAGCGATATGCTATTCTGAACTTCATTCATTCGATTTAAAATTGAGGTGGCAGAACAAGCCACCTTTATGCGTTCAAAAACAATTTGTCATCACATTAAACCTTCCTTGTTAAATTTTGTTTTGATACTATAGCAGATGTACTATTACCTCTGCTAATTGGTTTAGTGGTCTTCATTGTTATCTTGACCTTGAATATATCCTTTTAACTTGACCTAGGTCTATTTTCTCACCTCTTACCTCTTTATTAATTTCATATATATTCCTATGACAAGTTCGTGTGTGATCAGATTGTGTTCGAAATGTGTTGCGCAAATACATTACACGATTCAGACAAACTACGTCTTCTTATTGCTTTATATTTACTTGTTATAAAAGTCAATTTGAAAAGGACACAGAAGATTAAAAGAACCAATGCAAACTATAATGTAACAGTAGAAGACGAGAGATTTGTTTTAATGTTTAATGCAATTTCGTATCTCTATATATAGCGAAAGTATGTACACCTTATCTTCAACGCACCGGATCTTCTGTGTTGTGCTACTTTCTGGCCTTCATATTGTATTTCTTTCACGTCTCCCGTGTATTTCCGCAAAGCTGTATCATTTGCTTTCTCTGACATCAAATCTATCTTCCTGTTATTTGATGTTTTTATGCCGATGAACGTCCCTTTATATACTACTGATAAATCTTATCAGTAGCACACACCACCACAATAATACGGTGGGTGCATACTGCTGATGATTCCCAAACTGGGATCAAACAGCAGCTTTCCAGTACTCCCTGGTTTTCAATGGTTCCCTAACTGATATCAATCCGTGATCAACTCGTAAATACAGTATAGCATGAAATTAATTTGACAATATTTTAAATTTACCGTGATCACACTAATAAGACATTGATATTGTGTTGATAAATAATAACTTACCGTTCTATACGCTTCAGTTTCTGGATCTGCTACACCAGCATTTCTTAACTGATTAACAAAATGTTTAGCCAACGGTGAATATATTAGAATACTTTCTTGTGATGGTGATAATGAATTCTAAAATAAATGAAAGGGACAAGTATTAATCATAACAGCATTATTATTATTATTACTTTCAATGTAGATTTCGTCACGAAACAACATCAGTTAGGCAGATCATTGAAAACCAAAAAAAGAACTGGAGAGCCGTTTCGTCCTATTTCTGGACTTTTCAACAGTTTGCATCCAAGACAACTGCCTAGTGCTCCCTGGTCCTCAATAATCTCTCTCTCTCTCTCTGGTTTCCTGACTAAACCTAACAAGTGAAATAAAAATTAATCTAAATCCCACAACTCCCATAATTTGAATATCAATTTTCATCTCAGTAATGGCCACTGGATGATCGATGTCCTGAAGCTTCAGTGAGAAGTCGTGACCACCATCAGTGGAGAATCTAGCGTATCAAAGTGGAGTAGATGCTCCTTGAAGGCATTGGTGAGGATAACACTATATCACAAGTTGACGAAGTTAGAATACATGGGTTATTGAATTCCTGCCCATGTAACTGAATGGTCAGTGGGTTTGGTTTTATGATTTGAATTTCCCAGATGCTGTCGTCTGTGAGGTCATAGCTGATGTAGAGTCCTAAAATAAGACAAAACAGTTATTCAGTGCTTCCTGGTTTTCAATGATCTCTCTAATCGGTGTTGCTTCGTGACGAAATCTAACAAGCGAAATTCAGTTGTTTATTCATCTAAAATGTAAGCAATTTATAAATAACTAGCATCTTTTTACGATAATGTGAAGTTTATATACGAAGTACACATACACTAACACATGAGAATGTATAGAATACAGTGTACATACATTCGTGATATATCACCACATAATAAAATGATATCCAAAGATTAAACAGAGAAGTAAGGAGAATAACAATAAATAGCACAGAAATATATCACCAATATATGATATAAATTAAAACCAAATAATTCTAACCCTAAGCTGAAAGCTTTATACTAAATATGGAGGAGAATATCCAGTTGTCTAGATAAGTAGGATGAAATCTAAGTACTTGACTACAAAGTTGAAATCTGTTGAACCACAGCTTCACTAAATATAGTCTAAGCCACGTAAGAAGGTGTAGACTTCCTAGTTGGGGTCCTCGGGACGGTAAAAATCAAAGGTTGGAAACAATTGGTAACATGGCTCAAAATCGTTCTCAGTGGCACAGATGCATCCACTCCTTGTGACTTATGATTTCCAATGAAACTGTTTGTTCTTCGTTATTACTATTCCTTTGTCTCACACCTCTGTTTACTGTCTCTATTATGAATTTCTTCTGTTGCTTTGTGTGCTACATGGAGTGTGGAGACTTGAACTGTCGCACATTGGTGCAAAGTTCTGTATCGAAAATAGACAGACAGCCCTGTTTAAAATATATGAAGTGGAGAAAATGTTTACACAGTGTACAGAATTCTCAGTGGAATTTATTGCACAATACTTCCTTCTCATCTAGGATAACCAAGTAAAAAAGCGACCTATAGTATATCATGTGATGCAGTGCTGTTCGCTCTGAAGCACAGACTGATAATCTCTTATGATATCTTTTTTCTTCGTCTTTGAGAAATGTGCACAGGTATTTTGAAAGTCAATTAAAAGTCTGCGTGAGTAAAGTTTGTGACTCAAGGATATAATTGTAAATGGTTAAAACAACACGAAGTAGACAAAAATTCGATTCATTGTGTTGGATGGAAATTCAGATAGCTCAGTGTTTTAAGTAAGCTGACAACTAACTACAAAGATGATTAATGTGAACGGTCTCTTTGGCAATAGAAAACCTTACCAAGAAATATACATCCATATATACACATATAACTGAAATTCACTCACACAACCACCAGTTGAATCCTGTGGCACTACGGGAATGCGGTTGCGTAGATCACTCCATAATTTAGCCCATTTTCTTAACGTTTTAAACCGTGATTGAAGTGAACAGGCAGAACGACCAGGAAAATACGGCAGGATACTGTTGAAAATTTCTATTGGAATATTTACAGGAGAAAAACAGCAAAAATTTATGACAATTAAACTAAACTATTTATAAGTTTAAATAGAAAATTACTTAGATGAAATATGGAAACTTATGTTATTGATACCACTGCTAAACCTGAAAACAAATTGAACGAGTTTACACAATACCTCTCTATTTAAGATATGCCCTTTCACAAATATGTAGGAGAAAATAGAGATAGACTTGGCACACACTGAGGAGACAATCGAATGAAATCGCACACCAAGCATACCCTAGAGTGGAACCTGAATGGGAGACAACGAGTGCGTCTTCCAAGGGCGACATGGAGGAGATTGTGCAAGAAGAGAATGAGAGACTATGTGCGATTGTAGGCTCAGTTAAAAGGAATAGCAGAAAAAAGAGCAAAGTGGTGACGTGCTGTTGAAGCTGTATTTTCTGCTAGGAACCCAACGGAACAAAAATACTAATTATTCCACTTCTGATAAGTTTTTTAACAGATCTATATCAGTATACTACTAAATAACATTATACACCTCCTTTTGACTTCCACATCACACAACAACAAAATACGAAAGAATTGTGGAGTAAAAACACTCATATTGAACCAGCGGTGAGATATATTTTGATCATTAGCAATTAAAAAGGACTAATCTCAATCTTACACTTCTGCTGCATTACAATTAGTCAAAGTAACCATTTTAAACAGCCAAACTTCGTTGCTGTTCAGCCTCGTTTCTTCTTTTAGACAGCTTTCTAAACTTCATTAGGACTCACAAGAACAATCAATATATACTTAATATTCATGTTGTTGAATAACTGAAACATAACTGTTGGTCAGTTATGGTCAGTCAGTGCAATGCCATGGAAGACAAAAGAAAGTATTATGAAGCCATGGCAAGTGAAGCAGAACAAGCCGCAGGTAAAGAAGACCTCGCCACACTCTACCAAACAACTAGGCTCCTATCGGGGAAAAGTTCAAAACAAATTAAGCCAGTGAAGGATGACAGTGGAAAGTCAATCACCAAAGAGGTGGGGCAAAGGAAACACTGGGCTGAACAATTCAAAAGACTTCTAAATCGACCATCACTTACAACGCGCCCAATAAAACCAACAGAGGAAGCAGAAATACCAGTGGATACCAAACCTCTGACAACAGCTGAAATCCTGAAGCCCATAAAAAAGAACAACTGGAAAAGAAACGGGACCAGAAGTAGTCCCAGCAGAATCATTGGAAATGGACTCAGAGACAATAGCGGACTTGATGACACCACTAATAAAGAAGGTATGGAAAGAGGGCAAGGTACCTGTGGATTGGAAGGACTACTTATTCAAACTGTCAAGGAAGGGAGACTTAAGTCAATGCAAAAACTGGCACGGAATTATGCTCCTGTCCATCTAAAGCAAAATACTAAGCCGCATCATACTGGAGAGAATCAAACACGCCAACCTGGATGACAAACTTCGACCGGAACAAGCTGGATTCAGGAGAAACAAGTCATGTATTGATCAAATCGCCACTCTACGGATCATCATTGAACAGAGCTTGGAATGGCAGTCACCTCTCTACTTCAACTTCATTGACTTTGAAAAGACCTTCGACAGAGTTGATCGTGAGGTGACTTGGCAACTACTTGACTACTACGGTGTGCCACCAACAATTATACACCTCATCCTACAGCTGTACGATAATGCTAGATGCCAAGTAATCCACAACGGGAAACTCACGGAATTCTTCGAAGTGAAAACGGGAGTAAGACAAGCTGGCTTCCTACTACCTCCAATGATTTTCCTGATTTTCGGAGGTAGACTGGATAATGCGACAGACAGCGGGCAGCGAGGAGACAGGTATAAAATGGACCCACACAAAAAACTTGGAGGATATGGACTTTGCCGATGATATATGTCTGATTTCCCACAAACTAGAAGATATGCAAGTGAAAAAGCAACAAGTTGGCAGAAAAAGCATCCAGAGAAGATAGGACTTTAGGCGAACATAGATAAGACAGATGTGACGAAGATTCCTGGCCAACGCCAACAGCAGCAACAAAAACAACAGACAACAATCAGCATAAATGGGAGAAACCCGAAAGAAACAACCTCCTTTACCTACCGAACTGGGAATCATCCTCTCAACTACAGGCGGACAGAACTGATGAGGATATCGAAGCAAGGAACGGGAAAGCAAGGAAAGCTTTCATTACTCTCAAGTCTGTGTGGAGGTCAACACAGCACTACTCAGCATCAAAAATAAGATCCGGATTTTCAACTCCAATGTGAGGTCAGTGCTACTTAATATACGGATCAGAGACTTGGCGCGTCATCAAGGGCACTTCCAACAAACTACAGACTTTCATCAACAGCTGTCTTCGCTCAATACTAAAGATCAGATGGCTGACCAGAAAAGATCAGCAACAGGGATCTCTGGGAGCTAACCAACCAACCAGGAACCGATTGCGCAGCAAATAAGCAGGAAGAAATGGAGGTGAATTCGCCATACTCTGAGAAAACCATTAAGTGACATCACACGCCAGGCTATCGCTCGAGTGGAAGCCGAATGAGAAGTGGCGAGTTTGTCGTCAGTGCGAAGGAGACATTGAGGAGGTAATGTGAAGAGAAGAATGAGAGTGTGTGGGCAGACGTGGAGCCAGGTGAAAAGGTTGGCAGAGAAGCGAACGCAATGGAAACGCGCGACTGAAGCCCTACGTTCCTCTAGGAATTAAAGGAAATAATAATATATAATAATAACAATAATATTAAGTTCTGAGTTCAAGAATTGTGATATACATTCTTTTTATAGGTTATGATGCCAATAACTTGTACAATAAACAGTTTAATTGGTACTAGCAGTACTTATTACCTAACTTTTAAACAACAAAAAGAAAGATTTACAACAGCAGATTTTAACAGAAAATCGATAATCTAGGTATGCTGCGAAATTTCATTAACTTTTTAAAACTGATTGATTTTCAAAGGATATTCTAGATATTCTACTTCCTCAAAAAGTATCTAAACGACAAAGTGCATCAGTGTTGAGTGACTATGGAGTGCAGAGAATATAGCTTCTTGAATTCGACCACCACACACTACCTTTTAGAACTTATGTCCATACAAAGACTTCATTGCCTGTTACCGACCCACATGGGTTAACTTGGAATATATAATTCTAGAGATTAACCTTTTCAACCCCCTCCGCAGAGTATGCCTGGCTTACTGATGGTTAATGGGAAACATCTTGTGGTGGTGTGATATAGACAATGTGTGCTGGAGGAATATTATTTTCACATATTCCCTCAGTTTAATTCGGCATTAGCAACAGAATACTATGTATAGGAATTAAAGGAAACAATAATAATAACTGTTAGTTTGTTAAACTCTTCTGAAAAGAGGTTTTATCAAAACTATGTTTTAACTCTCTATTAATTACTTCTCCTTACAAACCTAACATTATTCACTGCTATCACGAAGGCTGTTCCATTGGTAATCTTCACTTTAATTAAAGTCAATCACACCATCTTTGAGTGTTTACTAGTCGGAATGATAACAACTAGCCTAGGTGGAGAATTTCCTATGGCATTACTTTTATTATAGTGGATAAGATAGATGATCATGCTCTGACAAAATATACTTTGACGTTTGTGAAATTCAGCATGTGAACGAACTGATGACCATACTAGATGATTATATATTTACTCGGGTAGATGAAGAAACTGGCTAGCTTAGTAAGAGATTCAGGAAAGGAGAGAACATTCGTAAATATAAGACTGCATTATGGATAGGATTTTATTTTGATAAATCACACAGTGTTATACAGTAATATTAACTGATAACGTTTCGAGGACAAACTATTGCTCATAATCTTATATCAACGTAAATATATGACTAGACTTTTCTACTGACCTATCAAAACGGATACAGGCGACCAAATTGTTGAAAATTCAGGTTTTACAATTTTCTGCAAACAATCATAATAATTCTGTGAATTTGTACACCTTCGTTAGCTACACATAACTAAGACAACTGCCGTCAAAAACTTTCAATATCGCTTAAGTGTGTAGAAAACCATTCGCTGAGAACTTTCGCTTTTTGTAGCCTTTACTTTCTGGGTCAGATTAGATTTCCATTTATTTTTTGTTTACGTTCCGAATAAAATATAAGGTTTCAAGCTTAGAGCTTTGATAATTTTTATTTTTATGGTTGAAGTTGCTAGCCTCACGTCCAACCTTCCTTCTTTCTCCGGTCTTACTACCGGCTTAGCGAGGTTTAGGAGTATAGGACCCCGGACCACACGCCTGGTTTGGCAAGTGTTCTACCAGTGAACCACCGACGCCACGGAAACAATAGTTTTCTTCTACTCCACTTCTATTAAAATAAACGATCTCCCCATAAATTTATTTTTTTTATATATTTTGATTACAGCTTGATTCCACACCGTATTTTTGGTACAAGTATGGAATTTTCAGCATGGATATAGGTAGCCCAAATTTTGCAAGCCGACCATAGATATCAGGTGTGCGTCGGCAGAGGATCGAACCTCAGACCATGTGCATGGTCGGCGAGAGTCCTAACCACTGTGCCACCGACGCATTGATTAACTATCCAAATAATATAAACACTTGTACGATGGCTTTGGAGTTATTAATACCATCTTCGTTATTATCCACTAAATGATACACTTGAATTCCAATTCTACAAACTAAAAAGGCATTAAATGTCTACGCTGAGAATTTCTTATATGTAGTTATAAAGCTTTTTGAAAAACTACGCAAAATATGATTGAACTGCTGTCGGATTATCATCAGATAAAGAATATTTAAATTAACAAGGTTAGTAGTTAAATATACTTACGCAGGGTTGGACATGTGTTCCAAGATCCTATAGGGATATATGGTCCGTAATTAAGAACAAGATTATATAATTTATGGTCTTCATAACATGTCCAGGGCTGGAATTGTTCACACAGTTCTAGGTATCTTTTTCTGCAAGATGATGCACTTCGACCTGGTACAGCAGTAGTAACCAAAGCCCAAGAGCCGACTCCAGTACCTCCACCATGCCCAATACGCCCACCAGCAGTTCCATACCGTTGAACAGCCATCAAAAGTTGTAAATCTTCTTGAAGGGAAAATGGACCAGATGAAATGTAAACTTGATTTTTGATTTGTGAGTTATCCGAGATATCTCTATCCACAACATCTAGTAGCTTAGGAACAATATTCTGAAACGCTGCACAAATCGCAGGCGCTCTTGAACGACATTCGTTAGTTGATCGAGTTGGATGATAAGCAGAAACAATATCCCAATCCATTATACCAGGGGGATAAGAATTAAGCAGATTTTTCAAGATATCCATTAGTGCAGTATCTTCTGAAGTGGACCATGAGCGGTACTTAAAAAAAAAATTCAACATGAGAGATTTATCTGAGAAATACAAGTATACTGGAATGAAAAGTAAGGTGTATATTGCACTTAAAGTGACTTATATACATGTTCCTCGTTAGAATTGTATTTTATTCGGCTTTCCTACTGTGATGTGCGCTACTCACAAGATTGATAAGTAGTGTGTAAATGCAGATACAAATATGTATATTAGCGTCAAGAATATCGAATAGCGGGGAGACGGACTTAATGAACGATACTTGAGTAACAATATGGAAAACACAACAGGCATACAAAGCCGGACCATACCGAAAATATATGCACATCGTACTTCTACGTATTTTGCCTATATCTGGGTATCGAGTTGTAAATAAATAACTCGGTTACCAATTCTCTTATCTTTTGCCATCTTACACTACAACTATTCAGCCATTGAACAGTAATCAGTGTGTAGAACACTTCATTCAACAAGTACATTTAACATTATTATTTTTATTGTATCCTTTAGTTCCTAGAGGAACATAGGGCTTCAGCTGCGCACCTCCATTGCCTTCTGTTTCCTGCCAACTTTTTCACCCCGCTCCAGGTCTCTCCACATGCTTTCATCTCCTCCTTGCATGACCTCTTTCAAGTCACCCTTGGACGACATTTAACATTACATGTAGGTAATAATCAACAAAATTTATTTTACAGATGAGCATAATTACCAGAGTAAAATTAGGATTTAGCACAGTTTGCCAACGTTGAATGCATGCAAATGGTGTACGGTTGGTATTTAAAGCTTTGCATATCTCATCCCAACGACCATATTCACCATACTCTTTTACAAGCTCAGTCAATCTTTTATCTTCTTCATCTGGCCATTTCGAACGATTGATATTAGGTTGTAAACGGTGAATCCAAAGTAGTCGAGCATTCACATCACTTACAGAAGTTTTACCCTACAATCAGAATTAATAAGATATTTTTTTTAATATATAATCAATTATATTTAAATCTGTTTCATCATGACAAAGTTTATATTTTATTTATTTTTTTTTATTCCTTGCATCCCAATTGGAACACAGGGTTTCAAGTTTTAGAGTTGTTCTTATCACTAATTGGTAGAGGTTGAAATTCACGGGCCATTGGATCCGCCCCCCCCCCAGTGGCTGAATGATCATCTATGAGTTTGCCTTATAACCCGAAGGTTTTGGGTTCGAACCCCCGCGTGCGCACGAATGAAGTCCTACTAAACTAGGACGACCAAGCCGTCCAGTACTCTCTGGTTTTCCAATGGTTCTTTGAATGATGTCAACCTGTGATAAAACTTGTAACCAAACAAGTCCCTGCAGACCAACACTTGATAATACATAACTGTTTATTTTGTAATCTGAAGTACTATTTTCATCCCCGGAAAAGAAATGGTTACCTTATCAGATGACATTGAAGGTATATCTAGCTAAGGTTATACTAAAAAATAAAAAGTATATTGATGCTTACAAATATAACACGGAAATCATGAACAAATTCATGATATCTTTCAATAGTAGGTAAGTGGTTACGCTGGTTGGATCTAGGCACACAGATGTGAAGCCTTTACAAATCTAGCCACAATTCTAACTAGCAGATATAGTTTACTAAGATAAATCCATGCAAATGAGAATTAGCCATAGAATAACCATAAGCTATTACTACTTTATAAAACAGTTGTGATTCCAGGATTACTTATCCTATTCGATCAGACTAATGCTTAAAACACATGGAGATAAGTAAAATCAAAAATAGGCCAAGGTCTGTATTAACCCCACTTGATTGTCACCAGGGTCATGCCACCATAATAATTCCAGTCGGTCTCCACAATTTCACCAGTTTGAAAGCTAACTACCTCGTATGACTAATTTATCACGAACATTGGACAATCTGTAAAGTTGTGAGATTATTTATAAGTAAATGAATATAGATATAGAATGTTGATATAAGGAAAACTTATTGATATCTGATGATTATTACATTTCAACTATAATGTTGTATATAAGTAAAAGATGATAATTGGAAGCCAACTAAGAACTTGCCTCCATATTTGATATCTCACTCCAGTCAGATGGTCGAATAATACTATCAGCTGATGAAAGCAAATCATACCAATTTTTAGAAGACTGTCCTTGGAAACTATCTGTATGAAAATTATACACTCTTTTGCTTTGTAAAATATCTTCATCAGAATCAGTTAATGCCTTGTTGGCTATACGTAAAACTAAGCTTTTTGGAGGTGTTGCAGATATACGGTGTATTTGATAGAGTTTTGATTTACAAGCCTTTAACTCTGAAAGAAGACAGTTATGTGATTCTGCAGATGAAGATGAATCTTCAGTACAAGTTTCTTCTGATCGTGATCGACTTCTGGACTTCGCAATCTTGCTTAGTAAAGTGCGTTCTTTTTCTTCTAAAGCTTGGATTTGACGATTTCGAGCACAAGTAGCAACTGCTTTGATCAAACATTCTAGCTCCTTTTTCAACCCTTGAATGAACGAATTGGAGAAATCAATGCCGAAATAAAATTTGTAATTATCCAGACTGATATTAACAACTTAAAACTAAAAAGCAGACAGTATATAAATCTTTTTTTATAATTAAGTCATTTCTTTTCAGGTTGGTGAAAATGTTGAATGTTCACTTTGTTGTATTGCGACTGTGTTAATAGATTCATCAAAGTAATAAGAAATTGGGATTTATGAATCCAAGACTTTGCATGATAATTCAGTCAAAATTACTCTTCACAGAATACTATGCGTTGCCAAGTGAATGAAAAAGATAAGGATAATACACATTTGAAGAATGTTGCATTTGTGTACACGTAATGAAATTCTTGTCATCTGTTGACAGTGCTAGGTATTGGGATAAGGGTGCTGGGAACAGGTTAATGGTAGACAAAACTGAACATCTTATTATGGGTGTTTATCAAGAAAGCAACATACTTAGCCAGTTGCTTGAGATTTCAGTCCTTACATCACATGTCCCCAAGATGCCTTAGTAGTGTGCTCAGATCACACTGAACTTTGTTTAACACATAACTTATACTCTATTGAATGGCTGAATACATTCATACCAAGCTCAACTAGCCTGTCATCCAACACCCACCCGAATGTGATGTAGTCATATGTGCTCCATCCGTAGCTGAGGTTACAAAGGCTATATCTACTCTCAAACGAGGCAAAGCAGCAGACCACGATGGAATAACTCCAAATGTGTTTAAGGAAAGTTGTAACAAATGGCTGTTTGGATTAACTATGGTATTAGGTAATACCTAGGAATCAAAAGTAGCTCCAATACACTGGTGTAAATCATAGATTATCCCAGTTTTTAATCATAGGGGGATAAACTTGACTAATATATTATCTCATATTCTAGGTTCAAACCAAGCGCATACCTAATGGGGCTCAGCAGAAACAAACCGGAGAAAACTAGGCATGCTGTGGACCAGGAAGATGATGTATTGATCATTTCTTCACCCTTCAACAGATTCTAGGACAGGCATACTTACTGACATTCAACAATTGCTATATTTCTTGACCTGAAAGCGAAATTAGACTCAATTGACTGTAAGGTGCTGTGGTAATGTTTAGCCGTGGAGCGAAAGCCGAGGAAATATATCTCAGTAATCATGGCGCTCAACATTAACTCTTGCAGCAATGTAAGCGCTTATGGAAGCTGTCATTAAAAGTTATGACAACCAGTGGTGTTTATCTGGGAAACACAACGTCCCCATTTTTATCTAATTTCATCATAGATGTACTAATAGAATTGACCCTAACTTTAGCAACTTAGGGATTAACCTTTCACCAGGGAACAGTCTTGTAGACTTAGAGTATGTGGATAATACTGTCCTCCTAGGTGAAGACTCTGTTAAAATGTAGTCTTCTGAGCACCCTAATCAGTAATCTTCGAATGTTTGGCATTCGATTAGCTCCTGTCAAATGTAAGATGATAATGCAAGACTGAACTGGACCGACTTTTAGATTAAAGATAGGTAGTGAATTGACAGCGTTAACCATTTCACTTATTTGGGAAGTTCCACCAGCCCCAATGGACTGATTGCTGATGAAATCTCAGAATGGATACAAAAGGTTCATATGGCATTTTCCAACTGACATCATCTCTCAAGTACACGTGATACCCAGGTGTCGATTAAAGGAGTTGTGTATTGTGCAGTGGTTTACTTCGTCCTCCTTTATGGCTATGAGACACAGTTAGTGGAAGTGGAAGATATGAAAAGGTCAGCTGTCTTTGATCACAAATGTTTGCGTTCTCTCTTATATTAGTTAGTATACCATGAAGAGTATTATTGAGGTCAGGCGTAAAGTGTTAGGTAAGGAAGGAAAGTCAATTGATAAGATTGTGGAGCTACACCGAATGAAGGGGCTAGGAGACGTGTTACATTTGCTTAGCCATCGCCTTTCATGACGAGTAATGTTAGCTAGCATTGGGTTAGGTTGGAAAGCAGTCAGGGATGATCAAACCGAAACCTAGGATCAATCCACGAAGTATTTGACAGGCGGCTTGAATTAAGTAGGGAGGTGCACGCTACCTGGTTGGGGTCCTCGAGATGTTAAGAACCAATGGCTGAAGACTATTGGTAATGTGGCTCAAAATCTTTCAGTGGTACATGTGCATTCACTTTTTATGACCTCCTATATCCATTAAACTGCCATGTTTTTCCATGTTACTCTCCTTTCTTCTTTACATTTCTGGTTATCATGTTTCTTCTGAGCTTCTTTTTTCTCTTTTGTTTTAGTGTGCTGCATGGAGTCTGGTGACTTGAAATGGTGCACTTCTGTGCTAAATCCCTTGTTGAAGTCAATCAGTTCAATACATTCATAAATGACGCAACGCAAAAACAAAGCACTTTTAAACATCACTAAGCAACATGTTTATAGATACAAGCCCGTGATTCATATAAAATAAAAGACTCCAGGTTGGGTAATAACTAAATAGACGGTAAGTGACTTTACCGTATGCTAAAATTGAACATATGAATGTATCTATGGTCTATATATTTGAAGAATGTGAAAACTATGTTTTGACTGATCCACATGTACAAATAAAAATCTACTGACTTGACGTTTAATGTGCATGAGGGTCAGAAGTCTGGCTTACTGGTTACACAAATATTAGGTCACAATGCCATCTGCTGACTTAATAAGTACTGGTAGTCTGTTGTCACCATAAAGAAATAGGCTCATTGACTTAGGCTTCCAACATTCGAACTGTCAACCTCAAGTTCGAATCCCCCCGCACCTAAATAGGGACACCGAGGTTTATCATTATCGTATCACTACATTATCATGTGACCCCAGTGAAAGGTATTTACAAAGATTGGTTTAATGAGGTAAAACCATTAAGTGTGAAACTTTTAAGCTGCACAGACTGAAGTTTTCACGTATATTAAATAATAAACCACTAAAAATACGATGAAACCAGAAGTTCCTGGGTTCGAATCCCGGTGGGTGCATACTGATGAAGAGTCCCAAACTAGGACGAAACAGCTGTCCAGTAATCCCAGGTTTTCCAATGGTTCCCTAACTAATGTCAGCTCATGATGAAATCCTGAAACCAATCGAATCCATACAAACCAACACTTGAAACCAAGTTATATCTTAACCATAGCCGAAAAACTGACTAACCATGAGCTATCGGAATGATAATTTACAATACAATTTAACGGGATATTATGTATATATATATGAACGTTTCGAGGAGTATGAAATTGAAGTACTTACACTTTTTTCCGCATGTAGCCCGTATATCACTTAAGTTCCATTCTTTTCTTTGAGTTCTGATAACTGTATCTGCGTTACAGGGAGGTGACTAAAATCTACTGCTGAAGTATGTAAGAAATTTACCTCTCCATCAGAAAGCTTCAAGAAAGGTTTGCGTATCAGCCGATCCAGGCAAGTAGAAACCACACGGTCACCAGATAAGTCTTTCTAAAGTAATTAGGAAAAAACCTTTTACTTCTGTGTAATAAAACCCACTGAGTTATGAATGTTATGCAAATATTTATGTGATTATGAAATAACTCCATTGTGACATGAATTTTTATCTAAACTTGATGTTCATTGATGGCCAATCGAATTTTCTAAGCTAAAGAAATCGCGTTTTCCCAAAAGCAGTTTTTTCCGTTAATTTAGTTTCTATCATTTTATAAACAATAAAAATACATACAACTACCATCCTGTACGATTATAATATTGAAAAAGGTTTCCTTACGAGATTTTACTCCTAATTAGTCAAAATCGTGAAACTAAGTTACGTAGTTGAGCTAATTTTTTTTGTCATAACCCCAAACTACACTAACCCTTTTTAAAAATGAAATGGTCCAGACCAAGTGAAGTGCAACTAATCAAACACAAAACATAAAATAGCAAGGAAACGAAAAGAGCGTTAGCGAAACAAATGTGGTTTATAAGTTAAGCGCCTCAATTTCGAAGTGAACCACACTATATTGCTACGCAAGTATGAAATTTCTTTTTAATCTTTCAAACTAACTGCCAAAGAAAAAGTACCTATATACCACGACGGTAAATAGTTGTGTATCTTTCACAGCAGACACCCTCACCATATGCATAGAAAAGCCAGAGCAATGTGTTCGAAACATACTAGTCCAACCTCAACATTTACCATGGATCTATTTCAGCTTCACCCACCTACTTCCCGCTTTTTTGTTTTCCCATCCCATTAATTTTTCCCCTTTCTTCAGTTATAGAAAAACCATTATTTCAATTTGCTTCTATGCTCATCCCATTTACACCTGTGTTCATCAAAAACCATTTTTTTAATCTTAAGCAATTTCCTTCCTGAGACCTTCGTAGTCCATATTCATACCTTCGAACTTTCATATCAAGTTGAAAATTATTATCACCTTTAATCTTCTTCTTTATAATGTGGAATTTAATAATAATTGTAGCTATGTAAACTTATGTATATGAATGCAATTTACAGCTCTTGAAGATGAAATCGCTGAAAATATATCTTTGCTGAACTCTTTGTTCTTTTCTCTCCAGTAGTCATGCAGCCGAACTGTTTTAAAATTTATTTCACGCAATTATTTCAGAAACTTTATCTGTGACGAAATATATCACATCCGCAAATATAACCAAGGCAAAACAGAAGCTACAACCCAAAAATCACCTTAATGTACAAGAAATGAGTGGAAATCATGCATCCTCTGATCGTCCGTAAAACTGGAATAAATCAGTTCCCAAAAATTGTAAATACACACATTGATTAAAATAGTAAGTGGCGTTAAGATCGATTTGCGAAGACGAACCATTCAGAGGTCTGTTTTTCTAATACTTATAAAACAGCACAGACATTATACTGCTCCCCAATAACAAAATCTATCTGAATGCATAGGCAAAACATAAGGAAAAGGATTTCAGTCTGGATAAATTAACAGACTTGAACGTCCACCTAACAATCATATGACAATAATTGTACAACTTATCATAAAACGAAGAAAAACCGCTTTCTTTCATAGCTGCATGTATTCAAAAACATTCCTGAGACTTTAAAGATATCTTTACCAGATACATATTGTATCTGGTCTGCTGACTACAAATGCCCATATATATGCTACAAAAAGAAAATGATGGAGTTTTTATTTAAGTTGGAAGGTGGCCGGTCTCTCGTAGTACAACGAAAGGCCAAACAAATACTTTTGAGTGATTCCCCGCTTGCTAAATATAAGGGAGAATCAAAATATCAGCACATTTGCAGGACTGAATATCTGCTAAAATGTCCCAAATGTCCCGAATTACCCCTCAAACGCTTTTAAGTTGTTTGTCAGGGAAGAAACTGCAATGTTAGATGAAGACACAGCCCTTTCTTCACTTAATAATCAAGAGTATTACATCATTTGTATTCCACTGATGCCTTATTGCTGTTGAAATAATCCACAAAAATAAAAGAAAATGACAATTTCAGCGTAACTTCAGGCTAATGAGGGAATTTCGCCCAGATTTCCTCATTAAGTGCCTCAAAATTATTTATCTAGGTAATTAGCTTACCAGATAATGACTAAATACTTTGATCTCATTTGTAATTGATGATATAATTTCCGGCAGTATGTGTTGTACAGTTTTATTTATAACGACACAATCAACGATACCATCACCGACACCACTGTGATTGCTATTTGCCATCCAAAAGGAACGATGCACCTGTACGACAAGGTCGTGTAGCTCAAGGCAAACCAATTTGAATCCAATATCCAATATCGTTTTTACGAGCTAGTATAAACCAATTTGATTTCTTTGTGTCCGCCTCTTGATTGTAAGGTATAGGTTCCTGATCTTTGGTAAACTTCTGCGTAGCTCGTCCCGCCACTCGACTGTCGTAGCTTTGGTTGACTCCAAAAGGAGTAGTGCTGGAATTAATTATATGTGGTTTGTAGTATGAGGTGTGTTAAGACTGTAACTACTGTGAATGGAGTTGATCCTTTCACCATTTAGTCCTCCGGTATCTTCGTCAAAGAAAAGAGATAATAATAATAGATATAAATAATGAAGTTATTCAGACAGACGGAAAAAGAAATAAAGAAAACGTAACAACAGACAGCTGATGAAATTTGAAGTTGACATATATATACATATATCGGTAATAATAATAGGTGTAATCAAAGTTGCCAGGAGAGTAAGGCGGGATAGAATGTAAAGAAGTAAAATGACATGTTTAATTGTCTACCCCTGAATGGTGTATGCGATTTTAAGGGGATAGGCCATTTGGATGCAGTCCTTCGATGTAGACTGGAAAACAATCAGTAAACCCAGACACAACAACAGTTTGATCATCAAAGTACTATGTGAACTTCAGTGTTGTAATGTTGGGCAGTGATGTTTGCTAAGCTAATAAGTGATCGTACATAAACAGTCGGACGTAACAAGAAAGAGTGCCGAATTGTGTGAATGCCTGAACACGTGTCTTAACCTTAACTGGCGTGCTCAAACAGTGAAGGTAGGGAGCCAATCCTGGGTAATGAAAGCAGCAGACTAACAATTCTGTGTACATATTTTTCATCAGTGGTACAAAAATGGAAGGTGGGTGTTAGTCAAGTAATTCGATGAGGGCACAGATACGTACAGAACAGAAAGGATAGAAAATTTCAGAACTAATGGAGCTAGAGGTAGAAAAATAGTACACAGCAGCGAAGTAGTCAATATTAGATGGGATGTTTGTGGTATCGTAGTCGCTGGTTTGACTCAACTGGAGTCATCTCATTTCCGAGTAGTATTATTTCTAACGTTATAAGGAATCACCTAGTGGACACCAGTTTTACAATTGAAAATAATGACCAAGACGACGAAGCCGAAGGCTATTCGTTATCAAACAAAAATGTTCCATAACCAGTATTAAGGACAAATCCCTCTCCTTCCTAAATCCTCAAAAGCGGCCAGTGTTTTGGATTTTCCGCTAACGCCTTCCCCAAGCTATCCATAAACACGTTCAACAGTGTTTCGACAAGACCCCACAGGAAGCACTCCAGTCGTTTGGGTCAACTTTTGAGCGGTCGATGATTGACCAGTCCGGCAGGACATGAGAAGTAACCAGTAAATGATTACAACTTCCTATCCAGAGCCTCCACAACATGGGACACCATGCCCACTCAGACGTAGAGGGAGATTGAGGAATTCAGAAGGATAGGGCCAGTTACCGACTCGGAACCACATCTTCTTTATGATTTGTAAGTCTTTATTTATCAACTGAATGATGAATGCACTTCTGTTTGTTTGACTAGGTATTCCCTACTTCAATATATGCGTGAAATTTGGGCAATTTGTTAGTAATTAATCCCATATTAGTTTGTTTACTAGATATAACACACAGTAAAACAGTATTATTAACTGGATGTCCAGTTAATAATACTGTTTCACTGTGTGATATGCCTGCTTGGGTGGCACAGTGGTAGAGTGCACGCCAGCCACGCATGCGGTCTAAAGTTCGATCCCTGGCAGACGCACTCCTTTACCTCCCTCAGCCAGTAGTACGACTTCTAAAAGGGTAGGGTTGGGCGTGAGGCTAGCAACCCCATCCCGTAAAAATAATCACCACTGCTACAGAAACTTCAAGCCTCTAGCTTGAAGCCTTATGTTCCACTGGGGGATGCAAAGAAATAAAAAACTGTGTGATATATCTGACAAACAAAGTAATGTGGTATCCCCCACTTCACTGACTCTCCGCTGTGCTTTCAAAAATACAGCTTCATAAACAATATTAGTCTTCAACGACACTGCGAGTTGCCGGTCATCTGTTTAGGCAAATATTTGATACATAAGTCGATTTCTAAATAGGCGAGCCCGTCGCGTTCACATTTTGAATTCTATTTCGCTATAGATGACTGTAGTCCATATATCCACTTTGCATTTGGTTGCTTTTGGAATCTATTTACTTCTCGCTAATACGTATTGTTTAGTTTAATTTTTCTTAATCATTGTAATGCCCCACTTACCGGACATAAAAAGTGACCTTAAAACTACTTTTGTGGAGATGGATTCCTTGGTAACTGTCAAAGTTAGGTTACCTTAATTTGATCGAGATGAACTGGAACTCCGGTTTCCTGAACTACAGCACCACTTTGGCCAGTATAGCATTAAGTCTGAAACCACCACTTGTGGGGATTCGTGTTGTCAGGTACCTTATGAGAATAGCGAGTAGGTACAAGACCTTACACTTCATCCCCCTAACCAAGCATCCATACACAATGCTTAAGTACGAGGTGATAAAATGAACCTTTATGTCAGAAGACCTGCGTACGAAACGGTTGTTTCAAGGGGAAAACAATGACTGTCGTATTGATTCCTCCGCGAAAATTGGGGAAGTTGATTTTAAGCAAACAACCAAGAATTGATCGTTCAATCTTCAACTCCATTGGCACCCGGATCTTATGCATGGTCGGCGAGAGTCCTAACCACTGTGCCACCGACGCAAATCATCGTTACTTACTTTTTGTCTGCCTTCATCTTGCCACGTCCCTTCCATGACCCAGGCATTATCCAACGTCACCAAATGACCCAAATTGCGTTGATAATCCGTGTCCAAAGAGATGCTGGCCGCAGACCCAGTAAGTAATACCAGAAGTTCCAGAAGGCACTCCACCAACAAACAGAAAAATAAAATTGCCTTAGAAGGCACTCAAGAAAACGAATAAAAATTGTCAAGGAAATTAAACCTAATTTCCTATTGTTACGAAGACGCTCCGAACTGATAAATACTATATACTTTCTTCGACTTTAACTACAAAACACCAGTATTGTAAGAAGGAAGTTATATTGTTTGGCAATCAAAGCGGAGAATAATACAAGTCTATAAACAAATGTTTTACACGAAATTATTATGTACTTTTATTCGTTTTCGTTCGTCTTCGTCGAACTTGTACACGATCGAACCACTCGCGCCTTCGAGTTGCCCACCAATGACTACCAGTTCCAAAAACAGACGTTCAATGTTCACCTCCACTGACAGGGTTAATCTACTTTGATTACTAATTCTGCGTGTAGTTTGTTAGGGTTTATTGTTTTGGTCAGGATTCGCAGAGGTGTAAGTTCACAAACCTGTAATTTTGTATAACTGGCATATGCTGATGGTTCAGATATACTGAGCATATTTTTTCGGAACATCCTGGATTCATAGCCTTATTGCACTTAATTTTACGTGTCTCAGTTTTCAGTTCTCCCACAAATAGCATTTTTCGTTCTGCTTTTGAATTAAGCATAGAAGCTGGACTTCTTGTCCAAAGTTTGGTGACACATGCACAAGGTTTGATAAGGGGATCTATGTAAGATTAGATGCTGAGTTTGTAGGAGCGACCCTACAACCAGTTGTCGGCATATATTAACTATTAGTTCCAGTCGCCGATGATGGTAGCGACAAGACAGTTGAACGCCTAATGCGTACTGATGAGCCGTTTAACTACCGCTTTTTGTGGAGTATGTTTCTTAGCACTCCGAGCACAGGTTTTCTGCCAATCATTAGGTTAGCGGGCGACTGAATTCGGGGCGTTTTTATGTGATTGGCCATCACGACTGAGTGAGAGGTAATGGTTACAGGTGTGGAGCTAGAAGAACACTGGTGCGAGGTTCTTAACAAAGATGGATTGTATGTAATGAATCACGCTAAGATATAACGCAGATATTGTACGCACCGCGTATGCCGGTGAAGGCACAGTAATACTACTAACCTGAATATCCCAATTCAAACTTCATAAATGGTTATTTTTAACCCCCAGAGCCGACAACGATTAGGACAGTGGGGAGAATCGTCCATGATGGTGACAACAACCCCATTTTGTAATATGTACATGCACTATGTGAGTATACAACATACCTTAGAAAGGCAAGCCGCAAACAACCGATTTTTTGGTTGCAAAACTAGGGCTGACAATTTGTCCAGTTCCTTCACAATAAATATTCCGCCTCGGCTCAGTATTTTAATTTGTGCCAGGTGGTTGAAGCAGGATTAGGCCCATTTCAACTAGTCTTTCGTCTGTTTAGGCTGGTTTTGGCCACTTTTTATTGGATGCCCGATTGCATAAAATCGTATTCTGAACCACAAATACAGTCCCATCAAACGTTCGGCTAAAGATCACCTGCTTTTGACAGCTTCTGAGTAATACATTGATATCGAGAGATTCAAAGGGTTACGAATAGTGTCTATACGCACTCACGACACATTCGAATAGGCGCAGGTGATCGTTTAGTTGGAAATCAAACTTACATTTCAGGTCTGGCGACTAAAGTTGTTGGGAAGAATCACGTGTCCCTCTCTCAGAATACTTTAATTGTGACAGGTTCCTAACTTTTGTTGCTTTACCAAGCCTAAACTGAGGGTCTGCAGGCCATATATTTTTTCATGTGCTCACTGTGACTTCAGAAAGTCTGTAGATGTTGAGAACTAATGACATAAAACGATATCTTTAAGTAATACGGACTAGATTTCTCATGTTAGATAAATTTATTTGAAATATCAAACAGTTGTGAGGCTTTAATAACTGTTAATACTCTTATCAATACTGCATCATTGTGTGATTATTATTATTTATTATTATTATTGTATCCTTTAGTTCCTAGAGGAACATAGGGCTTCAGCTGCGCACCTCCATTGACTTCGGTTTTCTGACAACTTTTTCAACCTGCTCCAGGTCTGTCCACATGCTTTCATCTCCTCCTCGCATGACCTCCTCCAAGTCACCCTTGGACGACCAACTCGCCGCCTCCCTTTCGGGTTC